TAGAGGTTTCAGCAACCGATAGCGATGCCGGTACTAACTCACTCATTACCTTTTCAATCATCCCTTCTGACACTTCTTTTGCAATCAACTCTACCACTGGCGTACTGACTGTGAGAGAAGCGCTCTCCCCTCATTTACATACATTCAATATTGCTGCTACAGACTCAGGTGTACCTTCTCTGTCAGCTACTGCTAGTCTGACAATACAGGTTGTCAGCTTCAACTCTACCTTACCTTTCTTCTCTCAGCCGTCATATGAAGGAAGCATCGTGGAAAACTTACCACCTGGAGAATCTATTGTCAGGATCCTTGCCACAGACCCGATATCCAGTGATCCTATTGTCTACTCTATTGATGGAGGCAGTGTGGAGTTTGAAGTTGATGCTAACACTGGTGTCATCAGCAGTTCTATTAGCCTCGATAGAGAGACTCAATCCCTGTATGAGTTGCAAGTAATAGCTACTGCTTCGGATGGCGAGAGGCAGAGTTTTGCACAAGTGGTGGTTAGAGTCACAGATTCAAACGATTTCCCTCCAGAGTTCAGCCAGCCTGATTATCGCTTCTCGGCCATTGAGGATTTAACCCCTGGTGACCCTGTTGGTGCTGTGCTAGCTAGAGACTTATCAGATGTTGGGAGCAATGCACTGATTGTCGCCTACAACATTTCAGATCCAAATTTCTCGATTAGCTTATCAGGTATAGTCACTCTAGTTGGAGAGCTTGATCGAGAGGTTCAGGATCTATATGTGGCAACAATCACAGCAGTTGATGGAGGGGTTCCACCACTAACAGGAACTAGCCAATTGACACTTGAGGTACTCGACGAAAATGATAATCCCCCATCTTTTTCAGATTTGAGCTATTCGGCAAATGTGTCTGAAGGACAACCCTCGGGAGTGTTTCTGGTGCAGGTATCAGCCACAGACCCCGACTTGGGATCAAATGCAGATGTTTCCTATTCCACCAACTCCTCCCTAGTGTCTGTTGATTCATCATCCGGAATAGTGGTGACTGCTGCAGTGTATGACTACGAAGAGACACCCGCGTTTTATGCAAGTCTATTTGCAACTGACGGTGCCCACACTGCAACCGCATTGCTTACTGTTTTTGTATCTGATATCGATGATACACCACCGATGTTTAGCCAAGAACAATATACAGCAAGAGTGCTTGAAGGACCACCCGCACAGTCAATCGTTATCAAACTAAATGTCACAGATCCTGATTCCAGCCCTGATAATGTGATCTCATTTGCGATAACAGCTGGAAATGAAGCCTTGGCTTTTGTAATAAGTCCAGATGGAACAGTGTGTACATCAACTGAACTTGACAGAGAAACAACTTCTCAGTACTCACTAGCTGTTCAAGCTTCGAATTTGAACGCTTTTGGAGAGCGACTCACAGCAACGGCATTAGTAACCGTGGTAGTTCTGGACATAAACGACAACCCCCCGGGGTTTCTGAGGGAACCGTATCTCTTCTCAATTGAGGAAAATTCCCCTGATGGGGAACTAGTGGGAACCGTCGCGGTCACTGATGTAGATCAGGGTATCAACGCCAACATCACGTCTTTTAGGATCTCATCTGGGGACCCAGGTGGAAAATTCTCAGTTGACCCCCTCAGAGGCTCAATTCAAGTCACAGGTGAAGGGGGGTCACTTGATAGGGAAGCACAAGATTTATATGAGCTCACTATTGAAGTAAGTGATGGGGGCAGCCCGCAATTATCCTCCTCTACCATTGTCACTATACAAGTAACAGACGTGAATGATAACCAGCCAGTTTTTGAAGAAGACTTCTATTCAGTCGTTGTTCCTGAAGACACACGTGTGGGTTCACCTCTGCTAACAGTGGGAGCAGTGGATGTTGATGAAGGAACAAATGCAGACATTTCTTATAGCATTACTGACGCAACACTCCCCTTTAGAGTAGATCCAATTAGTGGGAATGTGTCCCTCGCATTGCCCGTTGATTTTGAGCAACAAGCTCAGTATGAGTTTGTCGTACTGGCAGTTGATGGAGGCACTCCCCAACTAACTGGTTCAGTGTCCTTGCTAGTCCAAGTATCGGACGCGGATGATCGACCTGTAGTCTTTGAACCAGACACCTACTCGGCTAGCGTGTTTGAGAACACAGCAATCGGTACTACGGTAGCTGTGGTGACTGCTAGGGACCTCGACACACAGCCTGGCACTCCAATCACATACTCTCTGTCTTCAGTAGCTGTGCCCTTTTCAGTGGATCCACTGAGTGGAGATATTATCGTGTCTGGACCATTAGATAGGGAAGCAGTACCTTCTTACATGTTTACAGTACTGGCCAGCAATACTCCCAACGTCTTCGCTAGTGCAACTGTGTCGATTCAGATCGAGGATGTTCATGATGTCATACCACAGTTCCCAGATGGTCCGTTCCGATTCCAGGTACCGGAATCTGCCCCGATTGGAACGGAATTGGGTCGTGTTGTTGCCGTGGATGGAGATCTGGACCTGGCTGGTGAAATAGTAGAGTACAGACTCATTAATACGTCCGACTTTGACATCAATGCCACAACTGGTATTATATCAGTTGCAGATGTGTTGGATTTTGAAAAAGTGCCAAACTATGACATTGTGGTGACGGCACGAGACGGGGGAGCCCCTAGTCTAATTGGTTCGTCACAAGTTCTGATAACAGTCTCTGACGTGAATGACAATCCTCCAATTTTCACATCACCTCTCTCTACAACTGTGCCTGAAACAGAACCAGTTGGTACCACCGTAGCCTTTACAACAGCTACAGACATTGATTCTGAGGACTCCGACATTCGTTTCTCCCTCTCGCCCCCCAATGTTCCATTTTCTATTAACCCCCTGTCAGGGGCCGTGAATATTACAGCCCCCCTCACTGTGCAGACCTATACTGTCTTTGTCACTGCAACAGATTCTGACGAACCCCCACTTTCCTCCACAGAACCACTGACTGTAGTAGTCACTGATTCTAATGAGCGTCCCTCATTCACTGAAGCCAGCTACAACATTGACATTTCTGAGTCGACTTCCATTGGAACTGAGCTGCTTCAAGTCACAGCTACTGACTCGGATGTTGGGTCCAACGCGAACCTGGCGTTTTCAATTCTCAGTGGTGGAGATATTTTCGCGATCAATTCGTCCACTGGTGTCATCACACTCGCATCGGAACTTGATTTTGAGAGTGAAGATAGATACAGTCTAATTCTTACAGTCGAGGACTCCGGCTTTCCACCATTATCCGCCACAGCAGAGCTGTCTGTTACTGTATTGGATGAAAACGACAACGCCCCTATGTTTACTCAGAATAATTACTCTGCTTCAGTTGCTGAAGATGTGCCACCCAATACCCCAGTACTTTTTGTCAATGCAGCGGATGTCGACTCAGGAAACAATGGAGCGACTACTTACAGTATCTTCGCAGCAACTGTGCCGGGATTTTTCACTCTAAACCCAACATCTGGGGAATTGTCGACACTTCAAGTTCTCGATTTTGAGTCTCGCGTCAGTTTTGAGTTGGTCGTTCAAGCTCGTGATGGTGGGCAGCTGTTTATGTCCAGCACAGCATCAGTGTTCATTGAAGTTGGGGACATTGATGACAATCCACCAGTTTTCTCACGGGGAAACTATGATCTGTCCACCGCTGAAGACACATCAATTGGGTCGGTAGTTTTCACTGTATATGCCAGTGATGCTGACACTGGTACCAATGCATTGGTGGAGTTCAGACTCACAGATCCGTCTTTTCCGTTTGCGATTGATAGCATGTCAGGTAATCTCAGTGTGGAATTTCCTGGTTTGGACAGAGAGAATGTGAGCGACTACAGCGTCACGGTTGAAGCATTCAATCCACTGTCTTCTCGATTCACGTCCACAGCGACACTATCAATCACTGTGGAAGACATCAACGACAATGCTCCTCAGTTTGATCCAAACTCACTCGTGATATCAGCACTCGAGTCGTCTCCAATTGGAACGGTATTGGGACTACTTCGAGCAACTGATGCTGATTCTGGAAACAACTCAGTCTTGGAGTATGGGCTGGAGACCAGCACAACCCTTGTTACCATCAACCCAATCACAGGAGAGATCTTACTAGAAGAAATGCTAGACTTTGAAGCTGATGATGAGATAGAGTTTATCGTCAGTGCAACAGATATGGGTACCCCACTGCAGCTGAGTACCACTGCCACCCTCTCTCTCAGTGTGCTGGATGTTAATGACAATCCCCCAGTACTACTCGGTGATCCATTGGAATACACATATACCGAGGAATCAGAGCCTATTCCAGTTGGAATGGGAATAGAAATATCAGACCCAGACACCTTCCCTCTTCACAGTGCCTCGTTGTCTCTGTACATTGGATCTAGTGGGGTCGAAGCTCCATCTACTGACTTTATCACATTGGATAGGGCATTCTCAGAGAGCCAGGGGCTTAGTGTGAATGCTTCATCACACGTGATAGAGTTGGAAGGAGAACAAAGTATTGAGACCTATGCATCGGTGCTTAGACGGCTCAGTTTTGGCAGCACATCTCTGGAGCCATCGGCAGATGATAGAATCGTGGAGCTCACTGTACAAGATGGTACGTTCTCCAGCGATACCTTAACCATTACCATCACTGTTGAACTGATCAACGACAATGCTCCCGTTCTGGACTTGAGTGCCAGTTCAGATGGTCTTGACTACCAGACTGTGTTTGTTGAAGATGGATTTTTTGTTTTTGCTGTTGCAAGTGATGCAACCCTCAGCGATGCCGATGGATCGGTCGAGTTTGTCAGAATCTACATTGAAAACCCACTGGACGGAGAACAGGAGCAGATATTGACATTTTCCACCTCTCGTGATATCACAGTTGAGCAGAATTCATCGGGTCTGTATCTACTCGGTCCTTCCCAGCCTGCTAGCTTTGAGTCGGCATTGCGTGCAGTCACCTACCAAAACATGGCCGATGAGCCTCTGCAACCCCAGGCGGAGAGACTTATACGATTCGAGGCCAGCGATGGGTTGCATGTTAGCAGTCCGGCCACGACATCTATTGCAATACAACCCGTAAACGATCCCCCGTATGTGCTTCTTGGTATTTCGACAAGAGATGCACTCTTCACTTACGTTGAATCGGTTGGCTTTGTGGAGATATTCTCGTCAATTTCGTCATTACGCGATGATGACTCAACAGCACTTTCAATTGTGAATATCACAATACGAAGTTTTCAGTCCGGTGTAGAGGGATTCAATTTCACTACTGATGGTACCAATGTTACCGGGCAGTCTCTTTCTGGTACTCTGTTGCTGACTGGACCAGCCGATATCGATGAGTTCAGGACCGTGTTGAGAAGCGTTAGATATATCAACTCTCTCGTTGAAATGGATCAGTTTGATCAACTGGTTGGCAGTCGAGTGATTGAGATCACCGCGAGTGATGATAGATCAGCCACCAGTCAACCTGCCAGTGCGTTCGTAACATTTGCAGCTGTGAACGACCCACCTTTGGTTGATCTGAATGGACAAGATGTTGGGAACAATTTCAATGCTCGGTTCACAGAAGGAGATGGAACTGTGGCTGTCACATCAAGTGATGCAACAATAATGGATGTTGACTCAGACACTCTTGCATTTGTCACAGCTCAATTGCTCGATGTAGCTGATAATGAAAGCGAAACCCTGTTTATCAATGAAACAATTTCTTCCATTTCGACATCGTATGATCGTCTTAGAAATCTATTGACCTTAACTGGACCAGCAGATGTGCAAGATTTTCAGACCCTCATTCGTTTTCTCTTTTACATGAACACTGCCAACGAGCCCCAAACAGGGTCGCGCACGGTTGAAATAGTTGCTAGTGATGGCATGGCAACCAGCAACCCTGTCAGATCAACCATTATCATCACAACAGTCAACGACCCTCCGAATTTGTCCTTTGAACCCTCTGGTGCTCCATTCACAGAAGGTGGCAACCCTGTTGCCATAGTTAGGGAGAATAGTGTGACCTTGGATGACCCTGACACCCCTATTCTTATGTCAGTAGAAGTAACCATTGAGAATGCTTTTGATGGACTAAACGAGGTTGTAAGTGCAAATGTGAGTCTAGAATATCTGACAACAGTACAGTTGACTCCTGATGTGAGTGTAGCATATGTCTTCACATTCTCTTTCCCTGCACAAGCAGAAGACTTTGTTTCACTTGTGGAGAGTTTGACATACGAAAATCTAGCACCTGAGCCAAGTCCACAGTCACGATTGATCACTGTACGTGTATCTGACGGAGCTAGCTTCAGCAATGTTGTCAACATCTCCGTCAACATTGTTCTTATAAACGATAATCCCCCTCGGTTCCTCGATGACAACATCACACTTTCAGTTTCAGAGAGTGCTTCAATTGGAACAGTGCTAACTCAAGTAGAAGCCATAGATGCGGATCTAGACTCGATTGTCACATACTCACTATCAAGCTCATTTTTCTCAATAAACCCGCAAAGTGGTGTTCTCATAGTGAATGGCTTGCTTGATAGAGAAAACAGCAGCATGCATTCTTTGTTGGTAACTTCTTCAGATGGTGTTAGTCAAGCTGCTATTCTAATCCTCGTTGAAGTTGTTGACGCCAATGATAATGTACCCATGTTTACATCGGAAACATTTGAAACGTCAATAAGTGAAGGAGTTGCTGTAGGAACACTAATTATACAACTTATGGCTACTGATAGAGATGTGGGAGACAATGCGGAACTGCGTTTTGAACTTTCAACGGGAGACTCTACATTTGAAATTGATCCAACTGAAGGGATCATAAGAACTGCAGCTGGCCTTGATCGAGAAGCAAGAGAAGCCTATGTGCTAGTTGTAACAGTCACAGACAGTGGAGTTCCACCACTATCCTCTAGTGCTTCAGTCACGGTTACCATCAGCGATGAAAACGACAACCCGCCTGTGTTCAGTCCTCATTCCGTGTCAGTATCCGTGTCTGAGGACATTGGAATAGAATCGGAAATATTTACGGCCAGAGCCGAAGATCTCGACACCAGCAGTGATCTAGTATACAGCATTCACAGTGGTGACACAACAGGTACATTCGGTATCGGTTCCACATCGGGGGAAGTGGTACTCGAAGCCCAACTCGATAGAGAGACACAAGCTCAATACGTGCTGAATATCACAGCAACTGATGGAGTTTTTTCAGCCTCCTTAGAGTTGGTGATAACTGTACTGGACGTGGATGACAACCCTCCAATCTTCACTCAGAAAAACTACTCCTTTTCGCTGCCTGAAAATTCTACGGTCAGGACATCACTGCTGCAGCTGAACGCCTCTGATAGTGACTCGGGCCAGAATTCAGTGTTGGAGTTCAGCATACTAACAGGGGATCCCACTGGTAGATTCACTATTAATCCCAACACTGGTCATCTCATACTTGCTGGAGAACTGGACAGAGAGCTGGAAGATTCATACAATCTCCTGGTTCTCCTTAGGTCTCCCTCTAACCCAAGTCAAAATGACACGGCGAATGTTGAAATTTTGGTCATCGATATCAACGACTCTCCGCCCGTGTTTGAAGAAAATTCCTACAATTTTTACGCACTGGAAAACGTCACAAATGGTAGTGTGATTGGTTCGGTGGTGGCAAGTGATCGAGATGTTGGCTTAAATGGCGAAATAAGTTTCTCAATCTCACCGGCATCAGACATGTTTTCAATTGACACCGAGGAAGGTAGCATAAGGACAATAAGTGAGTTAGACCACGAAGACATGGTTCGGTATGAACTCACTGTCACTGCTCGAGACAACGGCTCCCCGCAAATGTCAGCTTCGGTCACTGTCACAGTTAGAGTGGGCGATGTCAATGACAATGCACCTTTATTTGAAAGTGGTGCCCTTTCTGTTTTTATCCTTGAAAATCTGCCAGCTGAAACTGAAATTGTGACTGTTACTGCTGGAGATGCTGATGGTGGAGCAAATGGAGAAATCACTTACACTATTGAATCTGGTAACGTTGATCTCTTTCATATTGATCAAATCACTGGAAATCTGACTGCGGTAGTGCCACTAGATTTCGAGGTCCATCAATCCACGTTCCAAATAGCTGTCACTGCATTTGATGGCGGGTTTCCCTCTCTATCTTCTTCAATCCAAGTTCAAGTGAATCTTTTAGAAGTCAACGAATTTTCTCCACTGTTTGGGCTCTCCGAGTACACTATTCAAGTCTCTGAAGATGTACCTCCTTCCACAGTCATCATTGATGTCAATGCTACTGACATGGATGCTGGTAGCTCAGGTATCATAGAGTACAGTCTCTTGGCTGTGGACGATAATATGTTTGCTATCGATCCTACCAGTGGGGAGATATCTACACTTGAAGAAATTGATAGAGAAACGGTGTCACGCTATGAATTCACAGTAGTAGCTACGAACACAGAATACACCCCAATGCTCTCTTCTGAAGCGTCTGTCACTGTTGAAATCCTGGACGTGAATGATAATACTCCCACCTTTGACCAGTCTGAGTATTCTACTGCTATTGTGGTGAGCACGCCGGTAGGTACCACTATTCTCAGCCCCACAGCCGTAGACCGAGATTCCGGAACCAATTCCGAGATTCGGTACACTGGTACGGATCCTACTGGACACTTTGAAATTTCTCCAATGTCTGGTGATATTGTCCTCGCTCAATCCCTTGAGTCTACACTGACAGTTAATTTCTCTATCACAGCCAGTGACATGGGCAATCCATCCTTATCGAGCAGTGTACTAATCACTATAAGAGTAATTCAAACCCTCGACGTCGAATTTTCTCAAAGCGGTGCTGGGTTTTTGCTTGACGGAGCACCGCGCCTATCACAGTCATTTGGTCTGTTTGCTAATGGTCCACCAGGAAGCAGTGGTACATTGTCTGTCTCCTTAGCCAGTGCCAGCACTTCCTCTGCATACGTAACTTCCCTACCAGAGGCAGTTGAAGTAAGAGGTGTGGTGCTAGACAGAGAAGTGTGGCACGATCGCCCGGAGGTGAGCGTCGTTGTTCAAGTGTTTGGAGAGTTGGGGGAGGTCCACTGCGAGCAGACAGAGGTGGTTGTGACAATCCTCCCTGACCCTGGTATTGGAGTCGGTCAAACCCCACAAGTTATTTGCCCGAGTTCAACCACCGACGGTTTCTGCGAAGCTTTCGTGCCACTCCCGGAAGACTGGTTCAGCCACGAACTATCTGATGCCGCTGCAACAGTGACTGCTCGACTGCTGAACTCTGATAATCTTCCGGTCACTATCGGCTCATTTGAAATCAGAGCTGAGCCGAGCGACGCAATCAGCAATGATGTTGTCCTATTTATTCCCTCAAGGCCTCAGTCACCAGGTGAAGTGTTCACAGCTACAGTGTCAGCTCATGCTGGACACCCTGTCTCGACTTTCAGCATCAAATGCACAGTTTCACAAAATCTACGCATCGAAGAGCTTGTTGTGGATGCAGAAAAGTGGACATATGAATCACGTCTTTCAGGGACAAGTGAAATTGGCATAGTTTCGTTTTTGAGCGATCCTGAATCATCCTCTGAGGGAGCAATTCAAAATGCAGAAGATCTTTTCTCATTCCGTGTCCGTGTGATTCGAGAAGTGGGCCCAGGTACCACGGAAATAGTCAACTGCACCGCTGCTTATGTTGGTAACATTCTTAATGACAAGCTACAGCCACGAGGTCTAGTTACCCCAGCTCCAGTGAGGGCAATTAGTGCCAACAACAACAGGGAGTCAACCCACGGTGTGATACTGATAGCTGAATCTATACCTAGAGCCTTACTCTCTTATGCCAGCCAAGCTCAGATAGTCAACACTGCCGTTTTTGATGGAGAACTTATCCAAGTCCAGTTGATACATTCAGTAGTGTACTCAAGTGTACTTGAAAGTGTGTCAAGGGATTTGGTCACGTGTGAGAGTCAGTCGACGGCATTCCAGCTGTCTCCAGACTGTTCCAGTGTCTCCCTGAATGGGAGTGAGACTGAAGGAGCAGCTATGGACGAAATCACAGTTCGTTTTGAGAATTTCACAGACACCATCCTTCTCCGTGTTTGGTATCCTTACGTAAGACCTGGCCTTGTTGCAACACCCAGCACTGTACAGGCTGTGGATGGGTGGATAGCTTCAAACACTAGTGGAGATTGTGCACAGCAGTACCAGCCAATCACACTGACAGTGTTTGCCACCTTCTCCTATCACCCAACAATGGGGCCAGAGTTCTCAGTCGATATACTACCAATAGTCAGCAGTATGCTATCAAGTTCTGATCCTTCATCAGTTTCTGTATACAGCAGCTCCATTTCAGCTGTTTCTCCTGGTGTTAGCACGATATCAGCCGGAAACTATGTCTCTCCTGCTACAATAGCAGTGTCTGACGAACTGCTCAGAGTCTCTGCAATAGAGACTACGGTGTTTAGTGGTCTCTTACTTGTGTTGCCTGAACCAGCGAATTACGGAGTTACTTCTCGCCAGCTGGCAACGAGCACCATCGAACAAGACTTTTCCTCTCTTACTGCTGAAGTCTTCTACTCAGTCACTGCTGTTATGACTGATGGTACTACTTTCCCTCTGCCGCCAGAGAATGGTTTACAGTTGGAATCTCTCGATCGCTCAGTGATCCAAATATCTGAAAACAACTCCATACAATTGGTTGGAAGAGGTACTGGAGACGTTCTTAGAGTTAGTTGGGTACCTCAGTGTGCAAATGGCACCATCGCGACTGACGTGGTGTCACTTGATATCAGTATCCCTGATCCGGTTTCAATCGAAGTCACACTATCGTCAACCCGGATCACTCGCCCGGGAGACAGAGCTGAGCTCGGCGGTCTACCAACATCCTCCACCCTCTCTGCTACAGCAGTCTACGCTAATGGTTTCACACTTGACATCACAACAAATCCTGAAATTTCTATTATGTTCATCGGTGGAGAAAATCTGGTGAATGTATCGCTGCAGGAGGAACTTTCACTGTTTCGAATCACACCAATCCTTCAACATTGGGGTTTGGAGAAGTAAATTTTACCGTAAGCTTCAAGGAGCTACTTAATGCCAATATCTCACTGAGTGTTGTTGGATTTGAAGGACTATCTGTATACTCACTGCCTTACCCTCCATATGTTGGCTCAGAACCAAAGTCGATTTTCTATCAGTTTGAGAATACAGGAGTATTCCAACAGGCTGGGTTGGAGCTAGACGCTGTTTTGAGCGACAATTCCACCTTTTCACTGACTAGCTCACCACTTACACTATTTCAAACTGTGAATGAGGCTCCACTTGTGTCGGTTACTGGCAACCTTGTTCAGAGCCAGGGAGCCGCGTCAGTGATGGTCGAAGGGCGCTTTGGAACAGGTTCGGCCACTACGAGTTTAACTTTCTCCTCACAGCCAGTAACCATCACCTCACTTCTTGATTTCTCACTACTTGACAATAGCAGCAGTGATACACTATCCGGAGAGATTGGTTTTGAGGCCACACTATCTCTGCGTGCAACATTCAATGATTCAACAACTTTTCCCAATTTCATACCAGAAGCAGAAGGAGTATTTCCAAGTCTAGTTTCCCTCACTTCTGACAATCCTATGGTTGCGAGTGTGAGTTCAACAAGTGGAGAAGTCACACTCATAGGGAACCATCACTCCCAAGTCGCACTGACTGCTACTCACATTAGTAGCGGTGCTTCTGTTCAGCTTTACTTCTTCTGCAACCTACATCCTGCCGTTGGAGACATCGATATCGGGGATTCCAGGGGCCCTCCCGTGCCTTCAGTCAAACTTGAAGACTCTTTCAGTCTTCCTGTCAGAGTCAACTCAGGATCTCAGCTACTGCAGTCGTTTCAACTTATCATGTTGTACAACAGCCAGCAGTTGAGTATAGTTGGGTTTTCAAATGGGGAAGACTGGGTCACTGGGACACTAGCAGTGAATGATATGCCAGGTCAAGGACTGGTGCACATTGAAGGAAGTACTAGCAATAGCGATGCTGTGAGTGGACTAGTACACATTGCCGACTTGGTTTTCAGAGCTGAGAGAGTTGCAACTGTTTCTCTAGACGGGCTGGTAATATCGCTGATGGACACGGGCGGGGAAATGATCCCAACAAATGGAGTGGCAAACAGAGGCTTCGTTGCAGCGAAAGTCAGTTTCATTGTAAGTGAAGGATCAGGAAGGAGAAGAAGAGCAGCCGAAGAAAATCCTAGAACATTGAGGGCGAGACGAAATGTCACACCCTGTCCCACCACACCACCTTGTGAGGTGTGTGAAGGCACTCGTGAACGGGGAGACATCAATGGGGATTGTGTTCTCGACTCGACAGACCCTACATACCTCTTGGCTTATCACGCAGAGGGTCTCTTTGACTTCCAGCTGCCGTCTGGCTTGAGTCTCCAACTCAGTCTGATCCCTGCTCAGTCTGAGGCACTGGACGTTGATATAAACACTGTTGATGATGTCGCTGATGCTTACTACTTGTCACAAGTGGAAACGGGTCTCTTGAACTTTCTCACTGATCTTAGTATTGTACCAGTTCAAAACAATTCCGACTGCTTTTTCCGTATAAATGCCACACTTGTGAGTAAGGATGACACACCAGCGACAAATGAAACCTCGGCTGTGTTTTTTGACGTGTCTCTGCCTTTTGATAGTCTTTTTGAGAACCAGCGACTCTTCGACGAATCAACCTTCACCCTCGGTGCAGCCTCCACTGTCAGTAAGGGTATCTCCTTACAGGGAGGTATCCTCGAAGCTGAGTACCTTTCACCTGGAATCTTCGGGGTTCAATTTCATAGCAACATCACTTCGAATGATATAGGAGTCAGCGTAATTCAAGTTACTACATCTGATGGTAGCACAACATCTCTCGGACGAACTAGAGCCTTTCTCGGTCTTCCAGATCCACCTCATTCATTTCCTCACAAGCTAACCCTCAATCTTCCGACATTCAGTGATACCACAACAGTATCTTATGCAAATGGATACAATCCACTGACAACCTTTGATAATACATTGTCGTCAGGTGTATGCCTTATACCCCCTGGACCTCCTATAGTCTCACCTACTGAATACAGTGAAGAAATAGCTGAAGATTCACCTGAAGGGACCTTTGTTGTGGCAATCAATTCTACAAGCCAAAGTGATGAACAGCTTTCATTTTCAATAGCGGAGGGGAATACAGGAGAAGTTTTTCTCGTTAGTTCATTTGGACTGGTGTTGGTTAATAGAGAGCTTGATTTTGAAACTACCGCTGAATATCGACTACTCATAGCTGTCACTGATCCATCAACAGGGAGAAGCACGTTTGCCAATGTTGCCATCCTTATAATGGATGTGAACGACAACCGGCCCCAATTTTCTCCTGTTCCTCCAGTACTTTTGCCACAGAATACGCCACCAGGTAGCGTGGTGACAACCATCAATGCTAGTGATGCAGACGCCGGGGCTAACGCCGACATTTCATTCTCCATTGAGAGTGAAGGGGATACATTTGATATAGATGAATCCAGTGGCATTGTTACACTTACCCAAACCTTAGACTTTGACACACAGTCCTACTATGAAGTAGTAGTTACGGCAGTAGATGGAGGACAATCTCCACTCAACTCGTCACTGGCAATAAACATCACAATCCTCCCACCCGACCCCACGGTGCTGGAATTCACAAATGCTCTAAACCTCTCAATATCTGAAGATGCCAGACCAGGCCACGTGGTAGTTCAACTAGAGGCTGTGCCAGTCTCAAACGAAACTATAAATGCGACCATAAGCTACTCACTAGATGCTCCAATGGGTAGCCCCTTCTCATTAAGCTCCACAACAGGAGAACTAGTAGTGAGTGGTGCACTAGATCGAGAGATGGATGATTTGTATGAGATTACTGTCTCTGCCAGCATAACAAACATACGCCGCTCAATACCTGCTTCCACATTTGTCTCTATAATGGTACTAGACATCAATGACAACGCTCCAGAATTCTCAGAGGACAGCTACTCAGCTACACTCACCGAGAACTCAGCTCCAGACACTCTGTCTCTGAACATAATAGCTACTGATCTAGACTTGGGTAGAAATGGCTCTGTCACATACACTCTCCTGGAGCCATTGCAAGGTCTACTCATCAACTCTTCAAGTGGAGTTCTAAGCAATAGTCTAGTCTTTGACTTTGAAACCACGGATGTTATAGGTGTGACTGTGGTTGCCACTGACAATGGTAGCCCACCTCAAAGTAGTGAAGTTAACATTTCCATTTACATTGTTGATATTAACGACAACAACCCTATTGTAGTGGCCTCACCTGACACCAAAATCAACATATCTGAAGAGGCACCACTGGGGATGGTGATTTTCTCCCTGTCCATTTTTGATAATGACACTGTTGATGTGAATGGTGCTTTGAGTCTTATGCAACTGAGTGGATTCACACACTTTTACCTCAACACAACAACTGGTGATGTCACTCTGACACGGAGCCTTGATTACGAAACTGCACAGAATATGTCTATTTTAGTACAAGGCTCTGACAGTGGTTCGCCAATGCTCTCGTCTCCAGTCACCGAGCTGGTGGTCATTGTGGAAGATGAGAATGATAACTCTCCCATTTTCTCTCAATTGACTTATTCAGTTTTAATTTCCGAGCTAGAAGCGGTCGGTGAAATTCTGCTAAATCTGACAATCTCGGATGTTGATGGTTCTGAACCCAACAGGGAAACAATTTTCTTTTTTTCGTCTCACTCGACCACCTCTCCGTTTAATCTCACTTCGGATGGCCAACTTGTGCTCTCACAGCCTCTCGATCGCGAACGCAACGACAGCTATTTGCTCACAGTCGAAGCAATGAATATCGTTCCTGGAACCAATGCTAGTCTAGCCAGCATCTACATCTCTGTTATTGACGAAAACGAATTCTCCCCCGCTTTTGAAGCCGAGACATACAATGTGTCGGTTATAGAAGAGAAGGCAGGAGAGTTTGTTGCTCAGGTTACTGCCACTGATTCTGACAGCACTGCTAATGTGTCATACAGAATACATGGCGTAGAGGCAGCTCTATTTGGCATATCTAATGAAGGGGTAATAACAAATATTGTGCCGCTGGACAGAGAGAGCAAATCTTCCTATAGAGTGACTGTGGTTGCCAGTGACAATAGTGAACCTGAGAAAACCTCAGCAGCAATTGTCATGGTGACTGTTGCCGATATAAACGACAATGCCCCGGAGATTTCTTCATTTGATAAAACCATCCGAATTTCAGAAACTACTAGTGTCGGAACTACTCTAACTTCGTTCACAGCTGAGGATCCAGATAATGGAGAAAACGGTACCGTCACTTTCTTTCTGGTGAACACTACTGAAGACTTTGTTCTAACACTAACCGGGGATCTCTCTGTAGCTGCTGCTCTTGATGCAATAGTGACACCACTCTACAACCTCACAGTATTTGCAGAAGATTTGGGGACTCCAGCTTTATCGACAAATGTTTCACTTACTGTGATTGTTCTCCCATACTCAGCTCCAGTCTTCAACCAGTCAATCTACACAGCTAGCATCACTGAAAACAACCCTGAGAACACGTCACTGCTGCAAGTAAATGCAACCTCGCGTGATCCTGATGCAAGCATCACATACAGTCTGGAAAACTCTGTTTCTGGCGTGTTTTCTATTGACCCAAACACTGGCAGCGTGATCGTTCTCCAAGTTCTCGATCGAGAGGAATTGAGCTCTCATAACTTCTCTGTGATCGCGTCAGTAGTAGTGAACGGAAGTGAGTCGACTGACAATGCGGAGATTGTGGTGAGCGTAATTGATGCAAATGACGAAGAGCCGTACTTCAATAGTACAAGTTTCAGTTTCACTGTGAATGAGACGGCACCAATTGGAACCCTGTTGGCTACTATACAGGCTTTTGACGACGATTTAGGTGAAAATGCAGTGGTTCTGTATTCTCTCAAACCAGTTAGCGTCCTCGATGATGGTCTGTTTGAAATCGATCAACAAAATGGAAATCTCACTGTCAGTACTTCACTCATCGATCGCACTGAAAACTACTTGTTTATTCTGACAGCTTCAAACCTGGAGTCAGTTGGTAATTTATCCGCAAATCTTTCACTCGCAGTAGACATCACCCATGTGAATGACTTTACACCAGAGTTCAATGAAAGTGTGTATGGCCTCAATGTAAGGGAAGACACTATACCAGGTAGTAGAGCTTTGCTGGCCGTGCTTGCTATAGACGGAGATATCGGAACAGCGGGACAGGTGGAATACAGCCTCGATACAAACACAACACTCTTTAGTATTAACAGCACAACAGGTGGTATCGCTCTATCATCTAGTCTTGACTATGAGACTCTACCGATGCTCGGTTTCGAGGTTGAGGTAATTGCAAGAGATGGTGGGTTCCCGTCTCAATCATCAACAGCAGTAATTAATGTAACAGTGGTAGATGTCAACGATAATCCACCAGTGTTCAGCCAAATATCTTACAATGGGACTATTGAGGAGAATGCGGTTGTGGGAACGTCTATACTTCAGCTGATGGTCAGCGACAGAGATTCTCCTGTAAACTCATACGTAACGTTTGATATATTATCTACACCAGACGTCAGTGGGCTATTCTCTGTTGATGAAAATGGTACCCTCCGCTCAGATGATGTGTTTGATGCAGAAAACGCTGCCTCCTTCACGTTTATGATTATCGCTGCGAACGATGGCTTGGGGGGATCGCTAACTGCTGCTACAATCATTACTGTTGATGTAATAGATCTCAATGACAATTCTCCCATGTTCACTGAGATCAGCTATAGCCGTGTATTGAAAGCGCCCCTGGAACCAGGCATTGTACTTATAACTGTCTCAGCGATGGATGCAGATAGAACCGACCAAAACAATGAAATCTACTTCTCTCTAAATGATACTTTTCCGAGTGGATTCTTGGATATAGACCGGGTCTCTGGCACTATTTTGCTAGCGGAGGAAGTTGAAGAAGCTGTAAATATTTCAGCCATTGTGATTGCAACTGATCGTGGAGATCCTCCGAACACAATGACTGCCGAAGTTTCTGTGATAATTCTCTCTCCTGATGACCTAACTGCAGGTAGAGAGTTTGACTTCTCCATCACTGGGTCCCCTGGGCTCAGCTTGACTGGCCTGCCCACCGAAGCCAGCGAGCATTTCTTTCAGCAACGTCTAAATCTCGCCCTCGGTAGGCAGGGATCAGACAGTCACAGGTTCACTGCGGAGCTAGGAGCTGTGGTGGGCTCTGTAGAAGTTCCTCTTACTAGGCTACCGCCCAGTAGTGTGGATGCAGTATTGATGACACCGGACGTATGGAGCGATGATAAGAGAATTGAAGTTGCTGTACAAGTCAGAGACACCTTTGGAAATGTTCAAACCGATGGATCAGTGGAGCCAATGGTCATAGTTAGACACCCGTCTCTACCCCCGATACCCTATAACACCTGTACACCCTCACTGGAGAATGGTACTTGTATAGCAAGCATCTCCCTGCCTGAAGAATGGTTCTCTAGTGATGCAATACTAACTGTTTCTGAAGTCGTAGTGGAAAATATGCCTGAAATTGTTGGTACAGTGCAGCTCTACGCAACCCCAGTCTTTATCTCCCCATCATCTACATACGTCTACATTGAAATGCCTTACAGATCCCTCACAACAGGTGAAATGATAACCGTTCCTGTGTACGCAGCAGCCGGGGAAAGCAGTGTCGCATCCTACACCATACAAATTGAAACATCTCCTGAAGTCGAGCTACACGGACTCATTGTCAGTCCAAACGAATGGCTAGCAGAGACTGTGAGCACTACGTCCGGTGGCACTACCGTCACTGCAGTGAGAGCCAACCAGACTGTTATTCCACCATCCGGCCAAGCGCGCCTATTCGACATTTCAGCTACTATAATCTCCAGCGGCAGAACTGGTCTAATAGACAATGCCGTCAGTGCAACTGTACTATTCCTAGGTGACACGCATCTCTCCCAACTACTGCCAGAACCACCTCAGCCCTCGACTCCTGCATTCGCTCTGAATCGTATGGGAACTGACACAACAGGACACCTTTACATTGACAGTGACCCTCCCCTGGGACTCTTTGCATATGCTTCCACAGCTGAGCTGGTCAATACGGCTGGGCTAACCGGAAATACAGTAAATGTACCCCTAACAACACTGAGTGTCCACCGCCATGCACAGATAGTTGAAGTAGCTGCTGAGGAGTGTCAGACAGGGAATGAAAATGTAGTGCTGACTGATTGCTCGACACTCGTCCTGACCCCAGCCCAGACACAGGGCTCGGAATCAGCCCAAGTGGCAGTCTCATACTCGGGATTTAATGCTTCGTTCCCAGTTCGAGTCTGGGTCCCTGAGTTCCCAATCAAGCTGGCATCACTAGACACCGAACTGAATAAAGTGGAGGGATGGTTTGATAGTCAAGATTGCAGACCGAAATATCAGCGGGCGAAAATTCAAGCCTTTGCTAACTTCACCGATTCAATTGCCTCTGTTCGTGACATTGTCATCACTGATCTTGTCAGCGGAGCTCTCACAAGCACAAACAACTCCATTGCCACTGTCAATCAGAACTTTATTACAGGGATTTCCCCAGGACTTGCTGGCATACGATTCACCGTTGGTTCAGAAACTTCTGAGCTGGAAATAAACGTGACTGATCAACCATCTGAAGTTCTAGGATTGGACATACAGATAGTAACAGACATCACTGTCTCCACTATACTTCCTGCGAATGATAGAGAGGTTGGAAACACATTGAATATCACCGTCGGCCAGAATTTTGATTCAGCGGGGGACACTGGAAGCATCATCACAACCGCAGTCTTTGCAGACGGTTCACGAATGGTCCTGAATGGCACACAAGACGATCTTTCACTGACCTCTCTCAATACGTCAGTTCTTGATTTTCTCAACGATGAGACTCTAGTGGTGTTCAGTAGTGGCAGTGGAGAGTTGATACAAGCTGAATGGAGATCAGACACCTCCTTTTGTCCAGAGCAATCCGCAATATCATCGGGTGAAGCAGAGCTTGTGATCAACCTCTCTGAATTGGGCGCAGGAAGAAAACGTCGGTCTACCACAGCCAAAGAAAAGCTCCCCTTGAGCTACAGATATGAAGTCGGTGCCAATTTAATGCTTGAGAACTCTAACGGAGATCAGTTGAAGACGTCTCATCCATCAGAAATGAGATTCGACAGCTCTGAGAAGTCGCGTGTACGACGGACGGTAGGATCAACTGTTACTGGTGATCTGGATGGGAACGGGGGTTTTGAGACCAGCGATGCCTCCTACCTCCAGAGGTATCTACTGTCTCTCACTCCCGGAGCTCTTCTCGAGGAAGAATTCAACCTCACAACGAATCACACTCAGCGCTTTGACATTGATATGAGTGGTGAAGCTAACCCCAATGATGTCATATTCTTGCTGAAGGTTCATTCCAATATCTACCGATTCGTGACTGATATCTCCTTCCAATCTGTATCAGTGATGGATGAAGGTTGCCTGTTGGCGATCAATGTAACACTGCGTGATTCCAATGACCACCCAGCTCTACCAGAATCAACACAACTGTTCATCGATTTTGTGCACGAAAACCCTCGGTTTCAAGCCATGTTTGACTCCACTAACATCACAGAACCCGGTGAAAAGGAGCCAGTTACAAAAGGCGATGGGGAATATGGTGGTCTAGTCCAGGCAGAGCATTATGGTGAAGGAGTCTTTGGTATTACGACACAGTCAGCAATCAACATAACTGGGATCGGTCTGTCACTTATTCAGGTGACATTTGATAGCGAAAATGAAACTTCGCCTGTGAGAAATGTTGGAATGTTCCAGTCTGGCCGACCGAAATTCAATTCATCACTAAACCTCACATTCTCGACTCAGGGCCACCGAGTTACAATTAGTCGAAAAAACGGGTACACCCCTCTTCGTTTAGTCGACAGCACTCTGACATCAACCGAGTGCCACCTTCGTCAGCTGCCACTGTTCTTTGAACAGTCTCTGTATGCAGCTAATGTGCCTGAGAGTACTGTGCTGTTGGTGGTGGTATTACAGGTCAGTGCTATAACACATCGACCTGGGTCTACCGTAAATTACTCTATCGCTGATCCAAGTGCCCCTTTTGCAGTTGAGCCAGAATCTGGGGAAATTTCTGTCGCGGGAGGTCTTGATTTCGACTTTGGCGAAAGATTCTACAATTTCACAGTCCTTGCCGAAGAGGTTTCAAACAGCTCTGTGCTCATGACAGCTGGTGCTACAGTGAATGTGGGTGTCCTGAATGAAAACGATCTGAGGCCGCTTATTGAAAGTATTGCTCCCTTTGACTTACCAGCAAACACTACAGCAGGGGAAGCGATTTTCACTGCGAATGCCAGCGATCCGGATGGGCTAGATCAGCTCACGTACTCACTGTCTTCTCTTCCCAACCTGTTTTCAATAAACGAAACCAGTGGCACTGTATCTGCTACACAATCCCTTCTCCACCTTGGAAATCCCCGGGTCACATTGACAGTAACAGTCTCAGACAGTCTTCTCACATCAAACCTAACAATCAACTTGACAATCTTCCATCCATCTTTCTCTCTAGAATTCCTAACTGGTAGCCTACTGGAGAATGCTACCATTGGAGAAGCAGTAGTAGTAGTTGTGATAGATGAAGCAAGAACACAAACTTTCTCTTTCAGTATATCCGGAGATCTATTTACAATCAACAGCACTGATGGTGTCACTGCTACCATTGCTGTTAACGGTTCACTGGATTACGAAATGTTTCCGGTTCACGTAGTTACGGTGGTGGCGGATTCCTCCCACTTCCACTTGGAAACAAATGTGACCGTATTTGTCCTCGACGTGAACGACAACTGTCCAACTTTCCCAGTGTCTCAGTACACCGTCTCATTCTCCGGTGGGTCTCCAGTGGGGACTGTGATAGACAATCACCCACGAGCTCGGGACAGAGATACAGCCGAGAATTCGGTCATCACATACTCCATTTCTTCCCAGCTTCCGTCGGGTATATTTTCAGTCGATCCCACATCTGGAGACCTCAGACTTGCTCAGAGTCTTGAGCGTGGGCCATCTGCTGTCTCACTCAACCTGAGTGCCTTTGACGACTGTACATTGGGAGTCAACGGATCACTAAGTATATTTATTGATGTCAACCTTACCATCGTGTCCTTTAGTCCTGATCCGCCTGTGGCTGCCCTAACGATTGGCGAAGCCGTGGGCGTGACACTCTCCATTTCCACGGCAATCGTCGTTCTGTTGCTCCTGGTGATGGTTGCTATGGCAATGAGTCACATGAAGAGGAGGAGGAAGGACAAGCTGCCTGCTTTTCTGTCGCACGATTTTCAAGTGGAGCACATTGGAGTGGTGCGTTGTGTTTACTGAGAGATTACTGTAATTTACTTTGCTCAGTCGGTCACCGATCGCATGGTTTGCAAGGGTCTGTAGTCCCCACATACCCAATCACTGCCTCTCTTGCTGCATGTAGGAAGAGCACCCAGTGGCTGATGATTCAGTTGATGTTCTTCTGCCTCTCGCGGAACAGAAGGGAAGGCACTTTGCAGAGAAGTTCGGAAAAGAAGACGAAACCACCGCCTTCTGGTACCAGGATGAGAGAAGAGTGGTATGTGGATTACATCTAATCCCTTCATACCTGGGCAGCATGGGAATGACGCACAATTAGAAAGATGATATGTGAAAAATTGAGTCTGGCATGTGTGAGAAGCAGTTTTCGGTGAAAACGACCCAAGGGTATCCAAATTATTGCAAGATGGGTTGCTGATGAGGCAACTGTGAGGTTATTGCGAAACATTCTGTAACTAGAGAACTGTTTGTCTGGAGTTGCCTGGCAACTGATGCCATATATGGCAATAGGGAGAGAGACGCAAACATTCAATTCGCATGAATTCGGACCCATTCCCAATGCGTGAATAGCTTAATGAGATTCATTGGTTGCCGATATTCTCCAGCTGTATATAAAACATCCACATTTCATCCATGCCAGCGCTTACATAACATTATGTATTAAGTGTTGATTGTTTAAATCTCAAAAGAATATTGGTACAGTGAAAGTCTGAATGAACTTGAGTTTTACTTTATGTGTATATAGCATAATGGCTCTTTGAAATTCTAAAAATCCATGTTTCCAGGAACTGGTACCGCCTCAATATCGGTCAAGCGACGGGGAATCTAGCGATGATGAGGATTTAAGTAGAGTTGGACTTGACACTGGAGAATGGGCGTTTGACCTCCCGCCACCAATGAGCGAGGATTCGGACCCGGACATGAGCGACCTGTGGGTGGTGGAGGACGGCACACTCCTGTCGGAGAAGAAAGGAAGAAAGCACTCGTTCTTGAGGTATAGTCAAACCTCCGAAAAAGTACAATCGCAATAAAAGATATCCCTCCATATCTCTAAATAAGTGTGTCTCTATAAGGGACAGCTCTGACTAGAGGAGGACTTTTGGTAATTGTGACATTTCCATGTTCTACTGAAGCTTTCACACATACACATCGTTTATTTGCGATAAGGGAGTAATATAAATTTGACTAATGTCTCCTATTATCTACAGTAGAAAGAACACTGGAACCAGTGGTACTAGCGGCGGCGAAAAAAGAACATCGAGGATCATGCCCAAGTTCTCGCTGCGTCGTCATGGCAGCCGTGGAGCGGGGGCGATGGGTGGTGGTGGGGAGGGAGACAGAGTGAGACTGGTGGAGGGTGAGGGGGGAGAGGCGTGGGGAGAAGATGAGGAAACTACAGGTCAACGGGACGTCATGTCCGAGGCAGAGATTCAGAACGTGAAGTTTCAACTAGCCGGTCTGAAGAGGAAGAGAGATTCTGTATTGGTGAGTCGAATGCCACACACATGCAGACATTCCACAAGATGAAACCATGACATCATCATTATTATCAGGTCGGAGGAAAGGTCATACCGACAATTCAAGAAGAGTCCGAGACGGTGCAACCACCACGCCCACCTGCATCGACCCCATCTGTCATCACCATGGAAACGGCAAAGGAATGCGCCACCCGGTTACGTCGCACGGTGCAATCGGGGGAGTACAGGGCGCAGTACCAGAAGCTGCAGGCAGTCAAACCACGTAGCGGACACACACATGCAAGGTTCGCACTTTCTGTGCCTTAGCAAGCTCAGTTTGCCTTTCTTCTGAGCTCTTATCTGCAGAGCTGCCTTGCTGGTGTCATTGGTTTCAATCCCACCAAGGGTAGCTCTTTTTCCTGGTTGTGATGTGTGTTTGTAGCCTTTGCTTTGCCTTCAAGTCTCGTTCATGTGCAGTTTTAGTCACAACTGCAAAAAAATTTATACTTGCAGCTTGGCTTGTAACGCGGGCAAGAACCGATACCGAAACGTGCTGGCACCAGATCATTCCCGGGTGAAACTCGTGAACTCCCACCCCAAGGTCAGCTGATTGTCATGTGACATTTGACCCGCTGTCATGTGACCTCTGCCCTGCATACATGAACTACGCACAGGTCGAAGGTGGTGATTATGTCAATGCCAGTCACATTGATTTCCCCTCCGCACAGAATGGCTACATTGTCACCCAGGTACAATACACAATTTGTAGCAGGTTGAGTGGGCATATCAAAGCAGCTTTTTTAAAAGTTCATGGAATAGCCCCGTCATGCCAATTCTCGTTTGAGGACTTTGTGCACCAATCATGATCCAGTTGCACGTGCCAACTACGTAGCTAGTCTAGCGTTTAACTGCTGCGAGATTCCTTCACACCTGACTAACGACTCAACGACCTAATATAACGGATCCATAATTACCGCATTCCTCGCATTCCACAGCCCTACTCCATAAAAGCCACAAGAAGCGTATGTATTTTACGCTGGGTGTGCAGTTGCTTGGTGATTTATGTGCAAGCATGTGTGGGCTGCCTTTATAAACTGCTTTGACTACACTTAGATTCTCTCATGAGGTGTAATCCATACATGCACATGTTACCGACATACGGTTTCCACCCAAATTATTTTTCCTGGTAAACAGGTTGATCTGTGTGATATTATATCATCGTGCAATGAATTGTTACCGAACTGGTCAAAATTGGGTTGCTCTATTACAAAATGGGCCAGGTACGTGTCACAAAAGAGGTTGATCCCATAGTATAGATATCCTTGTGGTTTTGATTCTGGAACTATGGTGAGTCATGGAGGAGTAAACCGCAAGCTTCTTGCTGGCCACAGCATAAGCTATCTACAGTCAGTACACACTACACTACCATACTATGCTGCAGGAACAAGATTGCTAACACCTCCATCTCACATCTGACACACACTGACAAAGTGTCGAACAGATTCTGTGGAAAGGGAACAGTGTGTCCCAATCGTTATCCTCTCTGATTACAGGGTCCGTTGCCGTCAACGCTTGTCGATTTCTGGCAGTTGGTATGGGAACAGGGAGTGACAAGGGTCGTCATGACGTGCAACGTCGTTGAGGATGGAAGGGTTAAATCTGAAAGGTGAGAAAATGGAGTTGAAAATTTCGCCCACATTTCAGAGTTTTTTTGTGGTGTTTTCAGATACTGGCCTGAGATTGGAAAGACTGCGACATACGGCAGTATAGCAGTTCAGAGCCTTAGTCTGCGGTGAGTTCTACATCTTTATATGGTAGCGAATGCTGAACTATGCCTGACATGCACAGTTTCCTTAAAACGTCCAGTGTTTACTATGGTACTTTCAAGTCTATTCAAAGAGCACACTTTTTCCTGCATTGACTAGTCTCGTCAGGTGCTGGAGTCAGTCATTTTTCACAATACGTATGTAGCTGTAGCGTGATTCATATCTTCAGGCAATATGTAGCGAAATGTTGTGTGTATATAAGTGTTCCAAGGTATGAGAGTGCGAGGGTGTGCATAGTACACAGTGCTTAAATCATTGCTTTACGCCTGATTTCTGCTGGTTTGCTGCACTCAGCTTCTATAGTACTTCCGCAGGATGTGGGTTGATACCATCATTAACGCATCGCCTGTTTCATCAGCGATTATTATTCAATTTGTGTGATTTTCTTGCAGGCAGCGTAAGGGCCACCGTGAGACGTCTCTGAGTGTTACATGCGATGGAGTTTCCAGAGAAGTCACTCATTACCACTTCACCGGGTGGCCTGATTTTGGAACCCCGAGCACCACGGGGGGGTTCGTGGATCTCGTGAAAAGTGTGGGGGGCACGAGAGGGGGAGAGAGGGGCCCAATTTTAGTCCACTGCAGCGCAGGATTGGGGAGATCGGGGGTTTTTGTAGCCGTACACTCGTCACTGGAGACACAGGCGGAAGGAACGGCGAGAATCGACCTGGAAACGACGGTACGCGAGATGAGGAAGCAGCGAGGCGGAATGGTGCAGACTCCTGATCAATACCGCTTCTGCTTCGAGGCCGTCGCCGAAGCCTTGGACCCCGTCCTACCTCCAACAGAGGAAGAAGAATTTCGACCCCCGGTGGGGACCCAGTCCCTTTCAAAACACGCAACTTTCCCACAGCCACAAGTGAGCAATGCTCCCCCTCTCCCTCCTCGTCCATCGTCCCAGACGCCACTTCAACAACAGGAAACCCGTTCGGTTAAGATCAGGAAAAGTTCAATACCCCAATCCCAGCCTCAACTCCCTCCCTCCGAAGAAGACATACCTAACCTCCCTCCCTTCCAAGATGAAGACATCTTAAAGCGTGTCTCTTCTCCCCCTCCCCCTTCATCCTCCCCTCCTCCCCCTCTCACTCCTTCCACATCCGAAACCCCGGACGACACACCCACAAAGTACCCCTTCTTGGAGACCTCGCCCGAAGCCACGCCCACTAAACAACCCACGAGCGATGAAATCCCGGACATTTGTGTTACTCCGCCCACCAGGCACGAATCACTGTCTAGCATGAACCAAGATTTTGAGTCAATGGATCGCAAATTGAAAGCGAGTAGCTTTGCAAGGCACCAAGAGAGAGGCAAAAGAACTGATTCTGGGTTCCAAGAACTTCCTCGAGATCTCGCCTCGCCACCTGAAAAATCATCTGCCGTCAGGACCACGTCGAAAGTGAAAAATAAGCAGGACACGCCTCCACAAAGGTCCAAGAACCACGGAGCTGTTAAAACGTCGTCTCTCCCTCAGACAAAACCAGTAGATGGAGAGAAAAAGGAGTCACGGATGACAGAAGACGAACTGAAAGAGACGCTCTCGGGTTTCGAGGTGCCCCCTCCGGGGAAAAGACGAGGGATTCGAGATTGGAGACGACCAGACTACGGAGGCGGGGTTTCCTCCGAAGATGGAAGTGATGAAGAAGAGCTCCGAGGAGACGACACGGAGGCCAAGATGGGGCGGGGGAAGCTTGTTGACGAAGATGGAGGGGGTTTCCAAGACTGTACCGTCGTCGTCTTTGGGGAAACCTCGAAAGTGGGGTCAGTCCCATTCCCAGACCCCCAGACCACCACCGGAACCTGTGAATCAGACTCGGACTGACGATAGAATAGAAAAATTGCAGAAAGTTGGGAAACTCGTGATTCCAAGTATTTTCGGAAGTGGTGGGGTCACTCCACATTCTACCTCCCCTACTATGCCCCTCAAGAAATCGGCCATTTCAGACTCTCAACCAGTCAGACCGGTTCCAGAACCAGTCAGACCGGTTTCACCGCCACCTGCTAAACTGGACACGACAACTCCTCCCGTTCTGAGAATGATTCGTAAAATTGAGGCACCACAGCTGTCATCTCCGGCTTTCAATGCTCCTCCGACTGTGGAGCAGAAACCAGTCAAACCAGTTGTACCAGAGCCAGTCAAACTCGTTAAACAGGATTCACAACCTCTGCCTGCTACAAGTGTAAAGACTCTTCTCGCCCGATTTGAAAAGAACACGTAATTATAACACATGTAAAACAGCATTAATTTCCTGTGTATATTAAATCTATAAGGCAATATTGTGTGAATAAAACCAATTACAAACCATTAACAAAGCCTTAACGGCTTTCAAATGCAATTGGAACCCTGGTTGCAATTATTGTGGTATGTACCTGTAGCCATGTGTCCTCAATACCACAGTCAATCAACGCAATTCAATTAGCGGTAATTAGTTGAGAAAATTGGACACATTCTGGTAGACAGTCTGCTTTTTCATAGGTACTTTTACACCGCGACCAATCAAGTTTGTCTTTAAAAATTTTGAACTTGGAGCAATAAAAATTCCATAATCTCCACATAATATATTACATCCTTCAATATTTACGATAATATGCACAGACATTGAAAAAAAAACGCATACAAAACTAGAAAACTCATAAAAAGAGACGTATGTAAAAATACAGCTTACACATTATAATGTGCTTACAATAAGCTGAGTTGAAAAACCAACACCAAATAGGCATGAGTATCGAGAGAATGAAGTTTTCAAAGTGCTGAATAAGGAGTAGGATGTCAGGTTAAAATTTTGCATGTACATGTCTGTGTTTGAATGAAAAGTGGGAGAACCGGAGTGACTAGAAAAGAAAACGGGTTTCATCTAACGGGTACGTACACGACGCAGCATGAGAGGCAGCATCATAGCAAATGATGCATGCAGCACAATCTTCACGTGGAGAGAGCTAAACCTACCCAAAGACGTAGTAGTCAGAGTTGCGATGATGTGGTGACAAGACATGGTTTTGAACATGAGATCGATGGGGAAAGGGGGACAAAACAAACAGGCGAACGTTATTCTTTTCACGAGTCACCATGCGCCCGATCCCGTTCGGTACTGTTGCATGCGTGCATTTTCCGGGGCCTAGCGACACGGAGGTGAGCGTGGGGTCGTTGGCGTGGTAACCCGATGCCCCATTGTACTGGGCGTCGTCAAGCTGGAAATCGAGAGTTCCGTTGCTGTACTGCATCTCAGTTTGAATGATTGTGTCTACGTCGCAGTCAGGGAACCCGCTTGTGTTGAAAAGGTCCATGTCGATGTCTTGTGGGTATCTGTGCGAGAGGTTTACGGGGGCGGGTTCGGAGCCCGAACGAGGTCGGTTCAGGTCCTGGGGTGCGGCGAGACTGATTTGCAGTGGGTGTGTCCCACTTCGCGTGGGCGTGAAACACGTGGGGCGGTGTGGGGGGGTTATGTGGGGCGTGGAGGTGGGGCCTGCGGTGCCGGGACCTGCCGCGGGTTGTGCTGTAGCGTCACGTGCTCCTCGTACGAGGGCGGGTGGACGGGGAGTGAAGTCGAAACAGATGAGTGTGCGTTGGGAGGTAGAGAGTTTGGACCGACACCTGAGCCTGCAACTGCCGCAGCCGCTGCGGCCGCCGCGACAGACTCGACGTTGTCCGTGTCTGAGAAACAGGTGCTGCTGGAATACCCGGACGAATCCACGGGAGGATTGTTGAACGTGAAAATGGGGTGGGGGCTCTTAGCGATGGGTGCGAATCGGGGCGAGTTGAGTGAGGAGAGAGAGGAAGATGACCCCATGCCTTCTCTTCGTGTCGAGAGGTTGAGTTGAGAGAACATATCGAGGCAGACGGGGGAATCCAGGCTGTTTTCTGGAAGTTGGACGTCGTCCAGAAGGGAAGAGTTACTCCCACTGAACACGATTGCCCCCTGTTGATCGAGGGCTGGCGGAGAGACGAGTGGGGAGACTGGGGTAACGTTGCGGCTACTCCGCTGGAGTACAGGGGACTGGAGTACGGGGGAGTAACAGGGAGAGAGGTCAGAGCCCGACGGCGCGGGAGAGGGGCAGGATGGGTTCGGGCTCCACGGTGCTTGGAGATGCGGGGAAGAGGTTGTGGGACTGTCACATGGGCTGAGATCGTTTGGGGATGTCCCTCCTTTCACTCGTTTGATTTTCCGTTCTTTCTTCTTTCTTGGCGTCTTTGGCGAGGGGGTGTTGCCGTTGTCGACGGACTGAGACCGGTTTCGGCGACTGGTTCGACTGGATTTCGCATCAAGATCGACCGTCCACCAGCTGCTCTTCCCCGAGCTCTCATTTTGTACTTTATTGAACCGACTGTGCAGTGACAAGTTGTGTCGAACGGAATTCTGCAGATGAGTACAGAAAAAGATAGCTAGAGTAATAATGAGAGGGGGAGGGGGAAAAGCAGTGGGGGCCATGGAGACAGAATGTGTAGATGTAGGTGTAAAATAAAAAGAACAAGGGAAAAGGAGGAAACTAGGGGAAACGGACTGTAGTTGTCAAGTACGCAAAGAGACGTCGCGACACGCCCACAAAGATAAGCCTCTGCACACTTCTACCTAGAGAGACACGTACACACGCTTGTAATAATCGTCTTACAACCGTGCAAATAGATATGGGATGGCACTACAGCCGCTATCCTCACCTTCCAACCTGCCGTGGAGGGACTGTTAGCCTTATCAGCAAAGTATGGGACGTTTTGCACTATCCAGTCGTAGATTTCCGAGAGCGTCAGCCGTTTGTCGGGAGAAGAGAGAATGGCTTGCGTTATGAGCTCCGCGTACGAGAGGTTTCCCCAAGCGTTTCTCATCTTCTTGGGTTCGGACTTGGGCGTCAGAGGGAGGGGGGACTCTGAATCCTGTCGCTCCGTCTTTATCACCACCCGCTCGGGGGAGTCGGCGACCACCGCTTGCTGGTTGGGGTCCGGTAGCGGCCAGGTGCTGGACCGAGACCGCGGGTCGTTCGGATGCTCCAACTCGAACGGGGCGTACTCCATGGCGGCGCTTTTTTCTTCTCTATGCTACCCTTGAAAACCGTCTCTCTGATGAACGGTGGCTTTTCCACGGAACGGTGTCTTTTGTATCAAGTGGCCTCGGGTGCTCCTGGCTCGTATTTTGACGTCTTCGACGACTCTCCAGACGCTCTAGAAACACTGTATCGGCTCCAGCCAGTACAAGGAACAACGCTTTGACTCGCCAGATGCGGTCCGACTCCAGCAGAAATTCGCATAGACAAGCCGTTACGCACTGCTGACCGAAACAAGTTTTTGTGGCTTCTAGACGTCTCTTTCCAACGGCTCAGAGACTTTCCCCGTCCGTCGTCTATAGCTATTCACGAGCTACTTCTCTACAGACTACAGCACTGACTCTGCTAGCTAGCTCTGCCGTTTGTGTGTATAAATGCGTACGCGCACGCAAGAAGAACCACAAAGTATGATGATGAAGCGGAGACGGCGAAATTGACGATGACGTAATTGATTACTCACTAATTACAGGGTGTTACTCCTTTTCCCCCGCGGACCCACGGCGAGACGGATGTCTAGGAAGTCGACGAGGAGAAAGGGAGGTTCGTTGTTTGCTTTTCACTGCAGTCGTGGCTAAAAGCCCTCAGGCTTGTGTGTACACTTTCCCTCCTGTAACTTATCACAGCCGCCTTAGGCTCTGAGGGTGAGATGGAAAGGGGGGCGGGTCTTTGCAAACGCACCACACTTACTTTCAGCTAGCTTGGCTTCCAGCTGTTTCAAATTTCTGGATGCAACCGTTCTACAGGTTCAACTGCCGAGGGGGAGGCGGGACCGGCGAAAAAGAAGGCAAAAGTGCCCCCGGGGGTTACTTGGGAGTGGGAGGGAGATGGGGGGAAATGGAGCCAGTTTTCGGCCAACCACTCCCGCCTGCTATCTGAAGCTCTGATCAACGGGGACAGTGATGTCAGTGTTCAAGTGGCTCAGTCGGTCAAAATGAAGATCCGTTTCGATTCGATGACCCAGACCAACGTTGGTACCGGCTGGCAGAGAAACGTTCGCTGCGCATCTCCTTCCCAGTCCGGTTCACCCGATACCCAGACAGTATGGGAATGGGAGAACGACCGTGGGGAGTGGGCGTGGTTTCCCCCGGCACATCAAAGGTTGCTTCACGCCTGCAAGGCGTGCCATGTGGATGCCGTATCCGTGGAAACCACAGCGAGGAAACGGAGCAGGGTCGACTTGGGGTCGATGACCCATGAAATGGGAAGAGGGAAAAAGTTTGGCGTTCGTTGCAGCTCACTGGCTGGTCAGTGGACGATGTATACTACAAATCCTCCCACCACTTAGTTCCCTCTCTGTAGCCATAATTACTCACTTCCTATATTATACTCTGCCAGATCCCTCCTTCCTTATCTTTACCCTCTTGCTTCTTCTGATTCCCTCTCCCTCTCCTCTCTCCCTCCCTTCTTCTTTTCATTGCCAGAGTGGGCTATGTCCAAATGTTCCGTGTTATTGCACAAATTACATTTAAAATGTGTATCTCATTTTAAAATGTCATTTTATGTCTAGAGTGTGTAAATGAAGAATAATTCTCAGCTCGTGGTTAATTTTGCCTTTCTCCCTCTCTCCCGCTCCAACCAGTGTGGGAATGGCAGGATGAGAATGGGCAGTGGATGAAGTACGACATCCAAGCCACCCGAGACCTTGAGAATGCTCACTCGCAGGTGGGCGGGGCTTCCGTGCGAGGGGCTAGGAGAAAGAACCAGGTGGCGATCACGACGGGTGGACGATCGTACACTGTCGACATCGGCAAGATGGAGCAGAAGAACAATGAAACTGGCGTTGTTAGAAATATCAGACGATTATCTTCAACTGCAAAAGGTCTGAATTTTTAAATTTAATAGCTAGTATATACAATAGAGTGAAAAAATTTTGAGGCGCTAGATTTTTCACGGATCGGCAGTTTCACAGAAATGTTTCACAAGTTCTGTTTCCGCTATCCACGCATGAAAGTTCATTTTCTGCGAGCTTAGTTTTTGAGATTGAAATGCACTCGCAAAAACTCATATCGCATAAAAGGAAATGACGTAGGAATAAGGATTGCACGCACGTGTGCTCGCGCCGCGATCCGCCAGAAGGTATAATCATACAAGATATGGAAAATACAAATTTAAGTAAGTTCCTGTCCCCTAACGGCATCTTTGCAACGAGTTCCCATTTCCTATTATAGTGTGCATACGGGCAACAGTATACACTGGGTAAGACTATTCATCTTCATTTCTTCCCCAGAGGAGTTTAGAACACCCACGACCACACTTCATTCCTAGGCTGCCTCTACGTACAAGCTTGGGAAAGTGTGTTATAATACCTGTTGGCTCGTTAAGTCAAGGTCGGGTGATGCGAGGATTGCATGTGTGTGGGCCTGCGGGGAATTGTGCCATATTTCCCACTTTCCCTCTCTCTCTCTCTCACTTTCTATATAATGTCTTTGTGTGTTCCAGTATTCAATTGTTCACGGTGTGTGTATCATGTCAGCCTGCTGAGCTGCCTCGAAACAGAGTCCTCCTACACTGGGGCAAGAAGTGTTGGCTTCGAATGTCAACCAATATCCAGCTCCCTTGACTACTGTATGTATGGGGCTAAAACACGTGAAGAGAGTTTGGCGTCGTTAAAACCTTTTGATGTGATCTTACCTTGTGATCGAAATCACGGTGATTCTTGCAGTTAGTACTGTTGGTGACCTGTGTGGAGAATGGATGTGCACGCACACGTGGGTCATCGGGGTCCAGGTGGCAATTTTCACGTTTCCCTTTCACAGAGATGTGTTCCTTGTGGTGGCCTGAGTTGACGTTTCCATCTTTCCTAACTCACTTAACACCTCGCAAAATAAGCGGAGAATAGATGCCTGCAGTCTCTGGTAATACATCACCTGAGTATGCAAAACGGAGAGCTTATGCGCATTCAAGCTTCTGAATTCCAAACTGTTTCCCGGAATTTTTCGTGTATATACACTTATTTGCGTTTCAATCCATCCCATTGATACGTATGGTATACGGGGGTCCTTTAGTGTCGCGACTTGCCCTCTTTCCCGTGTGTGTACGTGTAGCAGGATGTTTTAGTGGGAATCTGAATGTCTTGGACGTTTCTTGGAAGTTGCATATCTTCCTGCTTTGGGAACCTGAATCAGTGTGGGTGTACCTGGTATTAATGGCCTACGCAGACTCTTCCGCACGGTGGCCAAACTAGGCAATTTACCCTTCAGTTTGGGTCTTCCCTAGTGGAACCTCTCTAATCCGGACACCGTTGGGACGGAAGAAACTGAACGTGTTAGTGAGGTGTCTTTGTTGGAAGAACTGTTCTTGTAAAAGTAAAGGTGTCCTCGTTAAAGATGTGACCTCACTTCAGGGGTGTCCTAAGAGAGGGGTTTCTCTGTATACGTCCCCTGACGACCTCTGCTATTGGGGGAAAGTGCTCTCAAGTGGGCCTGATGTGGGAGTTCATTACCATGTACAAGTGGGGAAGTATGCCCGTCAAGTTGCCCGAATTCCTTCCGATTTGGACCGAGCTTTACAGGTCGTATTGGCAGTAATGCTACAAGGTAGGGCCTACGTCCCCGGTACATACCTTTAGAAGGTGTATGTGCATACTGAATGTATGGAGCTACAGTGAGATTGCTGGGGGCTGGGGTCTGTCGCTGTAACTATCGTGCAAAGTTGCAGTCTCCCACTCGTTTTTGATGTCGCCGCTGAGGAAGGGAGGGAGCGAGAGATCTACCTGTGTAATTTTACCCACGCGGGCGACCGGCGTGTGTGTTCACATGTTGACTGTGTTTCCCAACACGTAGCCCAGCGAGCATATTGTATCCGAAATCGCACGCCATCCTATGCAAAACACCACTTTCTTTCCGTTACACTTCCAAACACGTTTGCTGAGAGCTGTATAGGTACTAGTCGGTCTTCTCCGTTTACTATTGAGCAAACACTGGCATACCGTAGCCCGGAGTGACAGGGACAATCCAGGGAGATAACTGTGGGTAGACACCCACACTCTCTCCCGAAAATGGCTGGAGTGATAGTCTGGAAGTACGGTCTGAATGTAAATATTGACAAGTCCCGTTTCGCGACCCTCTCTCCACTGTGTGTGTGTGTGTGTGGCAAGTTGGTCTGTTGGTCTGGGAACTAGATGCTCCGTAAACACGTTGGTATATACTAACAGTGGAGCCTCTGACATGTTATTATGGGACATCAAAAGTGTCCTCATTTAGAGGCCCATTATGAGAGGTGTATTGTAATACGCCAGTGACAGAACCTATAGTTTTTTCCTTATCACGACTTGCGAAATTTACGTATGAATTTACACGTAATTTTCAGTCACTTATGCACATGTATTATGCATGTGTGTGTAGGATCTTCCAGTGACACGCCCACTTTAGAGGTTGCAGTGGAAACCACGCCCACTTGTACTTCTGAAGCCACGCCCACTGCGAGCACTTCGGCAGGGGCATCTGCCTCTGCCTCTGTCACTGCCGAAGCCGAAACTGATTCAGTTCCAGAATCCGACGAAAAAAACCGGTATGGGACTGATGTAACCACACCCCTTTATTAATCACCTAGCAAATCTTGAAAGGCGATAAAATCTGCTGTGTATATACTAACAAAAAATTATGCAAATTTCACACATTTTTTGCAGAAAATTCCCCAAAGCCCTTCCTAGAACCGTAAGTGGAAGTGGTGTAATTAAATTCCACGGATGCGAAATTCTGTGTAAAAATGTCTTTATTTCCTCGGGTGGTTGGCTTGATTTGTGCCGTTACAATAGTTGAAAAAATTGTCTACATTGGCAGGGTGAGTGTGAACCAGCCATGTAAGGCGTATGTGTGAAAGAAAGACATTGGACGGTGGGCCAGGTTCCTACATGCTTTGAAACTGGGTTAGCTGCTTGTGGTTTAACGAAATTACACCTCAGGAATGCTTGTAAGACAAAACTTCCTGCTGGCCACCGATCCAAACCACTCGAAACGATTTGTTTACAAACTGGCTAATTGCGTTGCATTCAGGTCAGGTGTCTTGTACACTGTGTGTTTAGCAACATTGAGTAACGTGGGTCCTGCCCCTAGGGTAAATGAGAATACCTACGTGAGAAAAAGGTGAGTAAAACGAGACATCTTAGTTGATTTAGAACGAGACATTGCGCACGAGTGAAGAAAATCGTGCACAGTGGACCAGAGATGACCTTGCACAGACTTGTTCATTACATGCCGCTGCGGTTTGCCAATAAATATGGCGCATTCTTTCCAGCGGTAATAATAATTTGTAGTGCATTGTTTTACAAAATGTAGGGTTTTCCCCTAGTCGTGGAAATTGCTTACACTGCAAAATGTACAAAATTTACACGTGTACAACGGTGACCAAGGCAACGAGTGTACAGTAATCTACATATTCAACAAGTCAGACTTGTGTCTCACTACACGATCTACAAGAACAGCACGAGACCCCATCCTGTTTCGTTGTAGACGTTGTAGTTGTGGTGAAGACACGTAGACCGAGTATTTTACAGCGATGTAAGAGGTTGTGTGTGTATGATGTTGGTTTGTTGTACAACCGGATAGTGCCTCTCGTGACAAAGAACAAAAATCCGAACTTGTATCTGCACAAAATGGATATGTGTACGTATGTATGTAGCTCTTAGGCAAATGGTTGAGATGTTAGACAACTGTGTGTTGTGTGTCATGTGATGCTCAGGTGACGGTCATGTGACTAGAGAGCTGCAGGGTGCTGGCATACCAGTCGACTACGTCTGCTCACAAAAAGTTGGAAAGGTATCGTAGGATATCTCTGGATACTCTCTGTATATCCTTGTGCATTTTTGGAATCTTGCTTTATATTCTTGGTATATTCTTGCATATCTTTGGATACTACAGGCACATGTGTACAGTGAGGACGGCGTTCATTGGGACGCAATGCTGAACCAGACGAACCTGAAAAACAACAACAACAAATTTTATCTGCTGCAGTTGCTCAAAGACAACAAGACAGGCCACTACAGCACCTGGTTCAGATGGGGCAGAGGTGAGCTTCTCTCTCTCTCTCTCTCCCTCTCTCTCTCCTCTCTCCTCTCTCTCTCTCTCTCTCTCTCCTCTCTCTCCTCTCTCTCTCTCTCGTCTCTCTCCTCTCTTTCTCTCTCTCCTCTCTCTCTCTCTCCTCTCTCTCTCTCTCCTCTCTCTCCTCTCTCCTCTCTCTCTCTCTCTCTCTCTTCATGTAAAGTTAGCCATACTCTGCATCCAACTGAAGAGTGGAGAATTCCTCTTTCTTACTTCCTCATTTCAGTGGAAATGCCAATTATCTGACATTTAGTTTCACTCTTGATAGGAGAGTGTAGGTGGCGGGGGTATCTGTGACCAAATCTTTGTGGGGGAGCAAGTTTGGAGCAAGTTTATAGCCCACAGTATGCCTGAGATCTTGCTACAATGAAACAGTGGTAATGGTGGTCCACAATTAGGGTGCAATTGAATACTAAACTCTGGGATTTGCGAAATCTGGTGGAACTTCACTCTGGCAGAGCTGGTTGAGCACTACAAGAAGAACCCCGTGGTAGAGATGCCAGGCACTGTCATCCTACCACTGTACTTATACTCTACATATAAATGGGTGGGATTGGGAGTGGGGAAAACCAATATATAGCAGGTGTGAAATGTTGTGACATGTGTGAAGAACCATTCAGTTTAGTTTTGATACACCCACTACTAAAGTACAGGGAGGGGAAATAAAGACTTTCAAGTCCTGTGGAGTTGAGTGTGTGGGCGGCGCATGACCGCACTTCCTTTTTGCAGGAGTCATGCTACAATGAGCCTGTTGGGATTCCAATAGAGAGTGTATTGTGTGTCTGGTTTTGATCTACTGCATAAGGGGTTAGGGCGGCTGGGGAGCATTCCTTTACTGTGGTTTATGGTACAGGATGAGGGGGAGAGTACGTGAAATGGGGTGAGAGCTTTGTGTGCGTGTGTGTGTGTGCGTGTGCGTGTGTGTGTGTGTAACGGCCGGCAGAATATACACAATTCAACTCTGGGGGGGTGGTGGGTCACTGCAACATGAAGAAACACGTAGACTGACTTTTTACTCTGCATGTCCTCCAGGACGCCAATGGGGTAGGTCTTGCTCAGGAAGGTGAGGTGCTTGCTTGTCTCCCTTGTCATGTGCAAGCATGGTTCATACATGACTGAGTACGTTAAGATTAGCATTGTACCCGTGCATTTATTCTAAGTTGCACACGAGATCTCGCAATAGTACGTTGGCCTGAAGGGAACACAGTCGTAATGTATGTGTAGTGTATGTGTCTGGTGTTGCTACGACGATTGATTCACACCGGCTACGGCCAGCTGTAGAGAGAGCGTGTCCTTATTTGGTCGAAATGGCCATCTCGCTCGCCCACACGTGTGGACCGCGGGCCCTGGCTGAGACCCGGCTGGCTCGCAGCCTCCACATGCGAGATTCACACAACCCACGAATTCTGTGTTTATAGAGCTGCCATTAGTCCTAGTCATTGCTTTGGCAGCTGGCTTGGAGCGCACCACGCCACATCAAATGCTCGTGCGGTATTTCTGCACTAGTTGGCCCGTTTGCTTGGGCGGTGGAGCTCCGTTTGGGTGGGCTAGAGCAGCGATTCATTTCTCTGCTGTGTCTAATGACCGTTTCCTGCCCGGTCGAGTGTTTGGACCAGCGTTCCCCAATGTGTATGGGTGGTGGCAGAGAAGGCTCCATTCACTTCAATTGGCCTAATACAAACACACCACCCGTTGAATCGGAGTTGAAAATCGCGCCTACTGAACTTATTACTGCTAGACTTGACTCTGCTCAAGCCAGTGTACCGGCTGTGGTGTATATATATAGTCTAGGGAATGTATCAACACCTGGTACACACTGGTGTCCAACGTATACACTGTCTGGGCTACAAATAACTTAGACCCTCCACCCATCACTTGGAGGGGTTCCACCGCCCACCGACTAGTGCGTCTTGTATTCTGTGGTGTGTGTGTGTGTGTGTGTGATAAGTCTTCAATGTATGGGTGTGATGGGTAATGTATGGGTGTGATGGGTAATATATGGGTGTGATGGGTCCATGGAACATGTATATTAAAGAAGATGAACAAAACTCCCTATCATAGCCCCATATATGATGCTAGGTACCATGCCAATCCCTATATACTAAGTATATACTACCGTACTTAGTGATACTGTTGCATGAAAATTGCAGTGCTGTCTATTTTATCGCAGTAAGTCACATTTACCCGTACGTTCAACGCAACTAAAAGTTGCACGTGTGTGTTGACTTGAGTTCTACTCGACGATGTGGTTTTTCACTAAACACCTGCAGTGGGAAAGACAGGACAGCACCAGTTGACTCCGTTCAAGGCCGACCTCGAGAGTGCTAAAGACTCTTTCAGAAAAAAGTTGGTACTATTCACCCCCTCTTCAACTTTCTCTCTTTTACTTTTGGTTTTCATGTTATCTCTCCCTCCATATTTCTCTGCCTCTCAATCCTCACTTCCTTTCCCTCTACCGTTATATTATAGTAAAACCAGTTACGGCACAAAATATTCACGGAATGAAAATTGTGCGAATCAAATCAATAACCTAGAATTTTCCTTATCTTTTCCGAAGGTTTCAAGACAAGACGCACAACGAATGGGACGAGAGAGAATCGTTTGTGAAGAAGGCTGGGAAGTACGACATGCTTGCCATGGACTACAAGGCAACAGTTGTAAGTGTGCGGAGAAGATGGGAGGGGGCAAATACCCCTGCCCCTGCCTAATTACAGAGGAACACATCTAATCCATAGACCAATGGGACAGAAGAACATGTCCATATTAGTGAGGTGTCCTTATTTCAGGAGTAAAATTGCATCCAAGAACCTTTTGCGGAAAAGATTCAAATGGTGTCCTAATCAGAGAGGTGTCCTCATTTCAGGGGTGTCCTTAGAGAGGGGTTCACTCATTGTTCTTCTGAAACAGGAAGAGGAGGAGGAGGAGGAAGAGGAGGGGGAAGAAGACGTAGACACGGCTGGAACCGAACCGAAAGTGAAAGCTCCAGAATCGTGCTTGGACGAGAGATTACAGGCAAGTGACACCCGCCCCGCGATAGCTTTGTTTACATTCCTGTTCAGAGTGCCTCAAGTGAGCACAAAGTTTACATTGTTTGTTTACAAACACGTATAACTTGTACCCCTTGAGGCTAGTTGTTTGGGGCACACCGGGCCGAACAATTCCTGTTTTCCAAACCGGATTTGTTCCAGCGGGGAGATGTTTTGTTCACGGAATCTCCACGAGAGCTTTTGACTGTGACGATTTCGACAACTCTGCGTGGAGTTTTGACATCGGAGGGTTGAGATTTTGGAAAATAGTGGAGTAGTTTTCATTTCATCATCTGGGGCCTCCTTTGTCCACTCTAGCTGCAAGCTTTTGCAAATTCCTCTAACTTACCACTTCGACTCCCTTTTTCTTTTTCTCCCAGGCTCTCATTGAATTGATCTGTGATGTCCAGGCTATGGAAGATGCTGTCGTCGAGATGAAGTACGACCCCAGAAAAGCCCCTCTGGGTGGGTAAATTTAACTCCTTCCTCGCCAACAGTTACACGCGGCTAACTCCCCTGCCCTCTCCTCTCCTTCTTCCCACTCTCTCTCTCTCTCCTCCCTCTCCTCTCTCTCTCTCTCTCTCTCTCTCCTCTCCAGGTAAACTAACCAAAGACCAGATAAAGGCCGGTTATGCTGCACTGAAAAAGATAGACGACTGCATCTCTAGCAACCAGTTTGGGGACGAGTTGGTCAAGGCGTGCGACCAGTTTTACACCCGCATCCCCCACGACTTTGGGTGAGTTGACCCTCTCTTTCAGGACACCTCTCTACCATGTCCTGAAAATGAAGTTCAGGACACTCTCTCCTTGTCTGTAGTTTTCACAGCATGTTGCATGTTGTGGTGTATGAAGTCTAGACTCATCAACCAGTATATAGTAGGACGGCTGCCAGTGGACATACAATGATGTGTGTGTGTGGGGGCGTGAAGCAGCTGCCAGCCTGGGCCCAGAGAGGTTTTGAGTGGGCGGCTGGCTGAGCTATCAAGGCACTACCTACACTCCACTAGGGCAGTGTCCATACCAGAGATTTTGTGATATCGAGTGCCTAATTTCTTTCCCATGCCTGGTGTGGGCTGCCTGTACATGATACATGTGCTCCAGTATAATTATGTTTAGGTATAGCAAGTCTCATAGTTTGTAGTACTATTGGTTGTGTGGTGTGAGCTGTGGAATGTGGCGTGAAAACAATGTACAGTGGTTTTACGGGAAGAAAGGGAGGGAAGAGAGAGAAGGGAAGAAAAGGAAAGAGAGAAGAGTGGGAGGGAGAAGAAAGAGGAGAGAGTGGGAGGAGAGGAAAGAGAGAAGAGTTGGAGGGAGGAAGAGAGAAGAGGTTGGGAGGAGAGGAAGAGAGAAGAGGTTGGGAGGGAGGAAGAGAGAAGGTTGGGAGGAGAGGAAAGAGAGAAGAGTTGGGAGGAGAGGAAGAGAGAAGAGTTGGGAGGGAAGAAGGAAAGAGAGAAGAGGTTGGGAGGGAGAGGAAAGAGAGAAGAGGTTGGGAGGGAGAGGAAAGAGAGAAGAGGTGGGAGGGAGAGGAAGAGAGAAGAGGTTGGGAGGGAGAGGAAAGAGAGAAGAGGTTGGGAGGGAGAGGAAAGAGAGAAGAGGTTGGGAGGGAGAGGAAAGAGAGAAGAGGTTGGGAGGGAGAGGAAGAGAGAAGAGGTTGGGAGGGAGAGGAAAGAGAGAAGAGGTTGGGAGGGAGAGGAAAGAGAGGTGAAAGGAATGACGCGACTGTTTCAACGAAAACCCACTCCACATATTTGCTCAAGAAAGTGGAAGACAATCTTTCACTATACCCAAACCAAGTGTGCCTCCCAGCTTTGCGTGCACCCCTACAATATAGTTATAGTTGTACGCTCTTCACACATTCAACCATACCCTTCCCCCATACCCCCCCACCCCCACTCATTTCATAAATTTCCCTCCCGAAAAGGCCCCTAAACTCAGCTCCCTAGAGCTTCTCATAGCAACCCCTACTTGCCAGGTAACCCCCCACCCTCCCTACCTCTTCCTGTTTATCACCCCAGGGCAGGCCTCGCTACCATGGAGACTGTTTGAAAACAAACCCTTGCCAACAGGAAGTGCTAATCACATACATACATATGTATGGCTAGGGCCTTGGGACTAAAACACTTGGCCATTAAAACTGTTGTGTAACAACACATTGGCGAGCTCGAATGGAAAATTACGCACACATTTAGAGCACACATTATACATAACAAAGTGTGATCACTGCCGTCTACAGAATAATCGCGCAATTCCGACCACTAGATGGGCTCGCTTTGCTCATCAATGACTTGTAATTTGGCCGAGTCAGTGAAACAGTGCAAGCACCAAACAATTGGACATAGTCTTTCAAAGAACAACTGTATACTATGTAGGTACGTACGTATAGATACCTTTGAAAAATGCCCTCGTCACAGTTTGCACTCAACGCATCGTTTCCTGGAAAAACTGGATACAGTATATAATACCCAGTGCCATAGAAATTTGTATTTGTTTGTAGTCTCTTCAGTACAAAGTACATCTAGCGAGCTCTTTGATGCATCATGTTCTCCGTGGGGCATATATGTACAGTCATGTTGAGATCATTATGAAGAAAAGGGTATTTTTTACTTGAACTGCTGCCGTCTTTTTCTGTTTCAACGAGCGGTTCATTCGATAGGTCTTTATTTACCTGTCTGTTTGGAGACCTCACACACACACACACACACAACACACACACACACACCAAACAATTCGTCATCGACACCAAAGACATGTACACATACATACACGCACATGTACGCATGCACGAGTTTGCTAAAGTTCCCTCGGTACCAGTCAGTTGCTTGCACTGAAACCTTCTCAACTTCCCAGAAACCTACTACGGTTTAGTCTCACACATACTTCCCCAGCTTCACCATAATTAATAATTATCATTGCTGGCCAATATTTCAATATTACAGGATGAGACGGCCACCTATAATTAGAACAGAAGCGGAAGTCAAAGAAAAGCTATCTCTATTGGAGGTCAGTACACACACATTATTACTGTACCCATACATGTAGTAGTACTCTCTAGTAATCGCCATGCTTTTCTATGGTCACCTTAGACGCTGGGTGATATAGAGATAGCTATGAGGCTGCTGAACGAGGGAGACAAGAAGGAACATCCGATTGACAGACACTACCACGGTCTGCACTGCAAGCTTGAGCCACTGGATGCAGAGGACGATGTGGTCCAGGTGAGGGTGAAGTTGGGTGAAGTTGGGCAATAAAACTTCTTCATTTCCTTTGCTACACCCTTTTCTGTCTGTCTCTCTGTCTTTCCCACTTTTGCTCTCTCCTCTTTTTACTTACGTACCCACCTTTTTCCTCCGCTCCCTCCCTCCCTCCCTCCCTCCTCCCTCCCTCCCTCCCTCCTCCCTCCTCCCTCCCTCCCTCCCTCCCTCCTCCCTCCCTCCTCTCTCTCTCACACTAGTTGGTCAGACAGTACATTCGACAGACCCACGCAGCCACCCACATTACATACACCCTGACGGTCAAAGAGGTGTTTGAGATGGAGAAAGAAGGAGAAGATGAAAATTTCAAAGACATGGGAAACAGGCTAGCACGTCCACCAATCCACTCTTTTCCTGTCCTACCTTTCTCCTTCCACTCACACGTGCGCACACCCACAATATTATGTAGTGATAGAACAGTTTCTAGTGTATTTAGCGCCATTCTTTTGTCTACTCCCTTTTTAAGGAGTATTCTTAACCTCAGCAGGTATTTTAATACTCTTTATCCATGAAATGTGTGAAAGTTAGTGCACTTTCAAAATTTGGCGGTATGCTGTACCCAATTCTCCCGATAATTGAGGGGCTGATACTCTGTGTTGTTCTGCAGGCAGCTGCTCTGGCACGGATCAAGACTCACCAACTGGGTGGGGATCCTGAGTCAGGGACTGCGGGTAGCTCCACCTGAGGCCCCAGTCACTGGCTACATGGTAAGACCTCATCCAGCTATAGAGGTTTTGCGCCGTCACGTTGTAATCTTGAAGTCGGCCGAGAATTTCCGCCTCTCTCTCTCTCTCTCTTCCCAGTTTGGAAAAGGTGTGTATTTTGCCGACATGTGCTCCAAGAGTGCCAATTACTGTTTCGCGTCTCGTGCGAGGCAAGACGGCCTGCTGATCCTCTGTGACGTCGCATTAGGTAGGCACAGTGAATTATCCGAATAAGGGACACCTTGGGGACTTCAAAGTGCCTCCTTTATTCAGAAGTGTCCCTTATTCAAGGCTACTACGTGTGTATTAGTATGGGGCAGAACCAAGTGTCCATCGTAGAGAGGTATTCTTTAGTGGGAGGGTCCTTTTCCGGAGGTTTGGATTGAAGAATACCATGAGAGTAAAAGTCTTCTCATTGAGGGTCAGCTGTTAATGTCTGCCTGCAGGGCAGACTAATGACCTACTTGCCGCCGATTACCATGCCGACCAGTTGCCGAGGGGGAAACACAGCACAAGGGGTCTGGGGAGCGTTGCCCCTGATCCTAAACAGTCTAAGAAACTGTGAGTCGGGAAAATCTTCCCTCAGGGGGTAACAACAAACCAAACACACTACCGAGATGTGTTTACTTTGCTTGAAGCACAACTGTTTCAATTCTAAAGACTTGATGGCTATGCCGATACTGTTGTGCCGTCTGTTACCACACAAAAATTTCTCTTGACCCACTTCTTCCCTCCCTCTTCCTCCCTTCTCCTTCTACCAAAACCCCCTCCTTCTGCCTCCCTCCCTCTTTCTCTGACCCACTTCTCCTTCCTTAACCAAACCCCCCTCTGCCCCCCTCTCCCTTTCTCTGACCCACTTCTCCCTCCCTTCTACCAAAACCCCCTCCTTCTGCCTCCCTCCCCTCCCTCCCTTTCTCTTGACCCACTTCTTCCCTCCCTTCTCCTTCTACCAAAACCCCCCTCCTTCTGCCTCCCTCCCCTCCCCATGTGTTTCCTGCAGTCCTGATGGCTGCCTGGTTCCTCTGGGGACTAGCACCCAAACAGGAGTCCACAATCCTCACGGCTACACCCTCAACTACAATGGTACGTACACACATTGCTTTATACATACCCCCCACATACACATTGCTATATGTACCTCCCACGGGTGCCACCATCAGAATACAGTTGATCATTTTCCCCTCATCTCTTTTCTCCTCTTTCAGAGTACGCGATCTACGATGTCAACCAGGTAATGTATACACTATGCCGTAGGTTCGAGGTTTGCGTGTTGTATAATGTTGTAGGTTTGAGCCCCCACCTGCTGAGTTGCCAGCTCAGCAGGTAGAGTACTCTGCCTAGACTGCAGAGTGTCTGTGGGTTTCGCAATCTTGCTCAATTTTTGTTATACTTCGAACTTAGTTTGCTCTATTTTTGGCACTTTTATCTTCTACCTATTATTTGCTCTTCAAACTCTGCCATTCTGCGTCAGAGAAACTCCAGCTTATCCCCTTCAGATTAAAATGCGGTACTTGGTGAGAGTAAAGTTCAACTTCAAGTGACCTTTTACTATAGCTCATGGTATATATACTCAGAGATTATAAGAGATTATGTGCTATATATTTTACTGCTGAAAAAGATTTTCCTTAAAAATGAATTTTACTGCACTTCTGTTCGAGAGCAGGGCACACATCAATACACACTGAGGTTTAAAATATGCAAATAGAGACTACCCGTTCATCATTACAGGGAAAGTACGGCTGAATTTGTGATTTGAAAGTTTGGAGAAAAAAACAGGGCTGGAGTTTTGATATCTTGGCTTTTGGGGGGGAAGAAATCAGATTCTCAGAAGTCAAATTCGTCTGAATCTGTTCTCTTCCATTTCGTGGCTTTCCCCTTTCAGTTGGGGGCTCAGGCTCTGAGGTCTTGACGTAGGCATGTTGTTGAGGAGCGTATTCCCCACTGCCCACCGAACGAAGGTAGCCTCTGGCCATACTCTTGGCATAGTCCACCTTGTCACTTTGGTCTGGGTGCAGAGGAAGAGAGGGAAGGGAAAGTGAGGAGGGGAGGGGAAAGTGGAAGAGAGAAGAAAGAGAGGGTTTAGAAGCTTCAAGCAAAGTGTGTAAAACTTCCACCAAATGCCAGCTAATTCTTGTATATAGGTTCCACTATAATAATGTATAGTTACCTCTCTTGTTGGTTACGGTGGGTTCGAAGTCTTCCCTACATATCCTGGCTGGTTCGCCTCCTCTCCCTCTCCCCCTGACCCTGCTTGTGGCAGCGGCAGCCGCAGCAGGGGACGATGATGTCATATCGACGACAGGCGGAGGATGGCGCAACGAAGAGTGGGGCTGGTGTCTGGGGTCGGAGTACTTGCTGTTGAAGTTGGTGCCGGGCTTTCTGAGACTCCACGGGGTAACTGTCTCTATGGCAGTACTAGGATCTGTAGACAGTACACATAATAATCAGCCAGTGTCGTTACCATTTTTAATTATATATAGGGAAGTAAATGAGCTTATATGGTGCTGTCTAGCCTAGTGCTGTCACATAATTATGATACCGAATATGGTAAAAATTGACACTTGCATTCGCTCTACGCCGATAATGTTTGGACTTTGAAAACCAACCCCTTAGTTTAAATTAAGGGATACCTTTCCCAACGTCTCTATTTCGTTGTAGAGTTGGTTCGGGAGGTGGCAGGACACCGTGTCGGGAGTACTTGTCGGGCTGAGTGAGAGAAATCCCTCCTCCGCCTCCTCCCGTTCCGGCTCCGCTGGACTGGAGTACGGAGGTCTTGGAACCTGCGTTTCCAGTTGCAGGGCTCGGCTGCTGCGGTCTGTGGTGGATGTTCTTACGCACGCTCCACACTTCCTGCAGATGGGCTTCAAAATCTGAACGAATAGAAAAGAGAAAAGAGGTTCAATAGCTTTGGAAAATGAAAGGAAATTATGTCTTGAAAACTTAGAGGCAAATGTTGGTAGGACGTCGTCACATCGCTTTTGGTGGATCCCTTACCGCAACATGGATCTTCCGCCCACCTCAAAATTTCGATAGCTCTTCGGTGCTAGCTATATACATGTACCACCTACTGTACACACATGAATGGGATAATGGAATTCACGAGTGACAGCGTCACAGAGTTATGATTATGGGAGTCGAATCATTAGCCTCATTGGCATCTGTGGTAGGCAATGAATACTGGAAGAAATCCGTGACGTACGAAAGAGACAGGGCTCACTGGAGAATTGTTTGTCTTGGAGCTAATATATGTCTAGGGGCGTTCCTACTATCAAGTGGTTAATGATCCATTCATGGTCGGTGTGCAGGTAGACAAGATGGGGCTGGTTGGTGAGAGAGTGTACAATGTTATGGCTACCTACACCAGACCTTTTCCTCCCTCTTGCAAAACATGCAGGGCCCCTATAAAATTATGATGATGCAGTCAGCTTTTACAATAATTGAGAATAATGTAAAATGCTGGCCAAACTTGATGTGAGGCAGCTCAGACTTTCTGACAGTATGCACGGTTTCCTATATATTGTCTAGTATCTCTCTTGGAGCTCCACGAGGCGTATATATATAGGAAAGGCCTAGCATTGATACTACAGTTGGAGTGTGTTGTACGTATGTAGGTCCAAACCTGTGGTCCCCGTCTGCGGCTTTGATCTCTGACCGGAGATGAAGAGCAGTGGCTGTTGGTAATGATCAGGGGCTTCCCGGCTGCCTCTTGTCTTGCCCGGAAACGAGAACCTCTTCCCTGCAGAGGTCACATCGGCCGAAATCACGAGTACATCTCAGCTAGGGTCACAAGTATTCATTCGTGCAACACTGAAACAGTTATTTCCTGTGATCTTCTGGTCTACACCCAACGACTCTAAGCAGCCTTCCAAACAAACTTACTAGTCTCGGCCTCTCCTTCAAGCCTAGTCTGTCGTGCGGTATCACGGTATCGCGAGAGAGCAGATATGTGTACAAAAGGCCCGGAGCACTGTGTATATGCCCGGATGAGTGGGCGAGAGATGTGTACCGACTGGCAAGCCATGCGAGATATTTGGAGCCTCGCCAGCAGTTCCATATCGATATTTGGACATGTTGCAAGAGGCGGCAAGTAATAATGTCTTTGATGTCACAGGAATGGTGTATAAAAGTACAAGACAAGCTGTGCCAAAGCAGTATAAGTTGGACTCGAATTACGTATGTGGAGTTTTTGCAAAAACAACGCTAGAGTGTAACGCGGTGCCTCACGTTCCACCGGGGAATGGTTTATAGTGGTCGGTCCTCCGGCTGCAGCCGTCTCGTCCTGCTGCTCGCGGTCTCGCGAGATCCTAGCACGCACACTCGACTGCCGGCTCTCCCGCTCGCTCATTTGGTTCTCGTCGCTCTTTCTCTTCAGGCGCCTCCGACCCTCCATGACAAAGACAGACCTCGTCCCGCATGCATGCATGCATGCACACACCCTGAGCTCCTGTTATTTAGCGTTGCCTTAGTAACGACGGTAGCCCCGCCCACAATGTGATTGCGCATGCGCACTATACTCGTCCTCTACTGAGCTTGCCAAACATAATTAAGGGTACAAATCACAACATAAATATCTCCATAAATAATAGATTGCAAACGTAAATCTAAGACAATCACACACGGCTCCTTATGGTAACAGTCTCGAATACTGCACCGCGACCGCCGCGCTCTCTACTGCTACTTCTCTCCTCCTGTCTGGAGATCTCGAACCTCGGCGGCGGACCCTCGTTAACCCCCGACCCTGTTGACTGGGAGGAGCCCCTTCTTTCTTCTTGTCGCCGTGGCAACACCGGGCTTGCACTCTGACCCCGAGGGAAACTGGCGACTGACAGATTAGAGTAGGATTGAGGGAGGGTGGAGGAAGAGGAGGGGGAGGGATTGGGGAGAGGCAGATCGCGGCACAGAGGTTGCGGCGAGGCACTCTCGTAGGCGTCATTGTCTGTGAACTCGACTTCATCTTCTTCTCCGTCGGGAGGGAGGAAGAACTCCGCTGTCCTGGGCATGGCTGGTGACCTCGACGCCTGAATTAACACGTGGAGAGAGAGAGAGAGAGAGGGGACGATATGAAGGAAATGCAGTATACAAACAAAGGATTTCCTATATATAGGGAAGGCTTCGAGGGGAAAACTTGAGAGAGCCATCTGCAAACACGCGAGCTGAAAGCACCAAACATTCCAGCGACATTTTCAGTTTCATTCTGCACTCAGGTTCAATCCCCCAAAATGTATATATTGCATTTGTTAACGGTGTTCTCCCCTTCCTATGATAAGAGCTAGAGACTGTAAGGATACGTACCAGACTGAAGCTTTCCCCCAGTGGCAGAGAAGGTGCTGAGGAATACGAAGCAGGTAGGCCGGTGGTGTGCTGATGTGTGGTGTGTACGTGAATGTGTTGGGGAGGTGGTGAATGATGGGGGGCGGGGCCGACGACGACTTCGGGGTGTGAGCCTCTGCGGTACGTGGGCGGAGGAACGGGAGGTGGAGTAGTATCCTCCGGGGTGTGGGGTACCCCGTTGGGGTGTGAGGCAATTGGAATACTGTGATGGGGCTGTACGATGAAAGAGGAGAGGGGGGATAAAGATTATTAGTGTGATGAGTCCAGTAGTAATTTACAGTAAAAAAGACACCTTGGGGAAAAATTGAAAGCGTCCAAAATTTTGAAGGATTTTTAATACGGGAGTGTCCTTATAGAGGTGTCCTTTATTGGAGGGTCATTTTTCAAAGGGTGTATACCTTTTTAAATGCAGGGTTTTCTGTCATAACCATTCCATCTCTCTGGAGTTGTTGGGCTCTAATTGGAATCTCCGGAGCAGAGTTTTCGAAGTGGCCTCCCATGGCAACAGTGTGTTCAGGGATAGGGAAGAGAGGGTAGGACCCTATCGTCTTAGCCCCAATTACTGTCACCTGCAGCTGCTGCGGACACGCGACAGACAAATTTGACACAGACTCTGTCCCGTTTTCGTAGTGGTGCGGCCGGTTCTGATACTGGGGCGACCCGGTTTGAGAGTGGGGTGTCCCGAAATTAAACGGGTTGTCGGAGACCGTTGAGGAGCTGGTTGTGGGAGCTTCTTCGAAATCGGCGGCACTGCTGCTGTTTTGGCTGATCTGATGGTTGTAGTTGAGAGATGAGGAGACTAGGGAGGAGGCTGAACGATCCACTCCAAACTGAGACGAGCTGATGTGATGAGGTGGGGGAGTGAAATAAGAAAGAGAGAAGAGAAGTAAGAAGGAGAAATGGAAATAGTTGGAGGAGTTTCAAAGTCTTCTGCCAAATCCTCACCTAGAGCTGGCCGTAAAGCTCTGGTCGTGGGAGAAGAGGTTCATCGAAGACTTGCGTCTCTTTGAGTATCTTCGCGACAAGACCGCGACCAGGACCACAGTCAGTAGAACCACAATGGCTACAACGATAGTCACCGCTAGGATTGGAACGAGCTTGGCATTACTGTTTTCCTTGTCCATTATACCGGCAACTAGAGTGAAGAGAGAGAGAGAGAGAGAGAGAGAGTGTTTTATGCATACAACCATCTTGACTTAACAGAAGAAGAACAATATAATAGTGAGAATTTGCATCAGCTCAATCGGCTTACGACTTAGTACGATGCACATAATATTTAGTTTTGACTAGAATGTGGGGTATAGTGCTTGTCGAGCGTGTGCCAGTAGCTATGTTAAACGCTCACTATCGCCACACTGTGACTGCTTCGGGCAGGAGAGGGTACATGTGATGTTGGACGGTCTGCTCGTGAAGCCCACGGCCTCCCTGCTCGTCATGGTGACTGTGAACGTGTAACACGTCCCAGGGTCCAGAGGCGATACCTGAAGAAAATGGAGTCAAATGAAGGCTCCATTTTGCGGTACAGTTACTGCCACATATACTAATATTGGTGGGCTTGCATCTCACAGAATACTCTGCCTCGTCAAAATTTTCAACTTTTAGTCAAGCATTATTTTGCAGAAGTCACTCAATTTTCTCAGAATTGGGAAAGAGTGAATTTTTGGCCCCAACGAAAAATACACAGTAAAATGGCTATTAGGTCAGAGTACGTGGTGTGGGTACAATTATACCTTAGCACTCTCTGTAGTTCCATCCACTTGTACGTCTTCTGGCTTCAGAATAAACAATTTTCCATCTTCCTCGGTCGCCCCCTCCTCAACGGCCCGGATCTCGTATCCCACGCTCGGCTCTCCAACGTCCAGAACGTTCCACGACAACCTCACGCTAGTCGCTCCAATCTCCCCCGGCAACGACGCTCGTACGGAGGTAGGCGTCGCAGGATACCCCGGGCGAAGAGTTCTAAATAGAGCCACCCTCTCTTTTCCGAATCCGATGGCATTTCCAACCGATACTCTGGCGGTGTATGCAGTATCTCCCTTCAGACCTTCGAGTTTCTGCGATCGTTTCTGGAGAGGGATGGCGTCTGGGAGGAGGAAGTTTTCTGAGCTGGTGTTCTTGTCGTCTCTTCCAGGTTGGTAGGTGATGCGAAGGCGGGTGATTGGCAAGCCCCCTGTGTCAGTAGGGATGGTGAACTCGATGTGGACGGAGGAGGACGTCAGTTGAGAACTGTCCACCTGAGTTGGAGCCCCTGGCACTGGATGATGTTTGAGGTGTGTGTCATGTGTCGTGTGCGTGTGTGTGTGTGTGTGGGGGAAAAAGACAATGTCAGAAGACAAACGATGCTGCACCCCATCAATCTTGTCCGCATTATATCAACAATCATGGTGTGGTTTTACGATAGTTGTTGTACGTTATGTGAAATTGTGACCCAATCCACTAGGTCTTCTCACCGCTTGGAAAAGTCAAAATGTCCTGTTCGTCGCTCCCCTTCCCTCTCCCTCGCCCATTTATAGCGTAGATTGTCACGCTGTAATTAGTAACGGGCAGGAGGTCCTCGATGATGTAATTGGTAAATAAACTGTCGACTTGGTGTGAGTCTCGGTCGAGAATGCTCCCATTGGCCCCCATTCTGAACCACATGACCTGGGAACAGGACAGGAAACAGTTTGTGAACCTTATAGTTATAGGACACTAGGAACCACCACCTCATTAGGTAAACACAACACCTACATAATAGTTAGACAGTGAGTCCGTGAAATCTACGCGATTTAGAAGGCCGAGGGCCCTGGGCTGTAGCGTCCGAGCATAGCGAGGACGCTACTAAGGGCCCGAGGCCTTCTAAATCGCGTAGATTTCATTGGACGAGCCTGCCTAACTTATTTAGAGCGGGCGCAGGCTCTGCGCGCCCTTAGCAACCAAAACGCGATGTTTTGCGAAGACATCATGGAGTGGTTGGAAGACTCGCAAGAAGACAGCCACAACGCAATAAACCGCATACTGCTAGAGGCAAGTGACAGCTACGAAACTGACGCTACGGCTCAGCCACCACCGCCGTCTAACGACGAGCATGCGCATGTGCACGGGACCAGCTACGCCGCCTCTCCTCCTTTCCCTGTAATACTATGTTGAACTCTGCGCGTGGTTTTCTAATTAACGCGCACCTACTATATGCGCGCGCACAAAAAACGCCCCGGGCACTTAGAATACACGAAAACGTGAAATCTACTAGATTTAGAAGACACGAAATTCAGCGTGAGTGAGCTCTATATGTATGTATTGACCAACATGGTGTAGTTGACTTGTTTCATCTGCATTTGCCTTGCAACTGACTCATGCGTAAGCCACCATCGACTGATGCTGCGCCGCACCCTTACAAGTGTCACATGTCCCGCTAGCTTCAAAGGTAGCAGAGTTTCCCTTTATCGCGCTCACCAAACAACAAAAGCCCCACACAATCCACTGGACTACTACAACTTGCAGTTTTGGGGGACGCAAATCCCAAGAAATTGAATAGACTGAGTTTCCACTGAATGGAGTCTGATTGATTCTCGTGCAGTAACATTCTGTGTGAAGACTATGGCACCATGCGTACAGGATATCCTTCCATATTTATCTACCACAATGTCCTTCTTATGCCCAGTCAGCTACTCCTATATACTAGGTTTGTAGTAGGGTAGATACCTTACATAGGGAGTGAAGCACAGTACATGTACAGCATAATATGAATGGATGCATATAATACAAGTACAGCGCAGACAATACACAATGTGTCTCACATGAAATCCTATATAGTACAGTGGGATATTACATTTACTCTGCATTATATATGTTACGCGTTTTAACGAAAACACACCATATAAGAGTAATCAGGGACTCTTCTTCCTGCACGGTGTTGGCATGCAAAGGCAGGCGTGGAGCACTTGACGCTAATTGACACTAATATCCAGTGTTGGGGGTAGGGCTTCACTGGAACATAGGACTGATACCTTAGCTTCATTCTTAACACTTAACTAGCCACCTGCACTAAATGTGTCCAGAGCCTCCATAAGTCCATACGCATTTATATGGGGGTTATAATACTAGGCGCTATATCATTTTCTGCTTATTTAAGCAGATACCCATGGCGTCCAAAGGGTTATTAAGATCTCCCAAAGGATGAGGAAGGTGTTATGCACTTAGCAACATGCAGGCCACCCACTTGTCAAAGTAGCGAAAGGGGAGGGGGGAGGGGTGGGAAAGATGCTGCTAAGCCATGTAGCTAAGGTAGCAGGAGGGTATGTCCAGATCAAAGAGAGATGAGAGAGAGGGAGGCTTGCCCAATTGGGTTCAGTTGGTACACCTGCTTCCTCATTAGGGAAATGGGGTCAGGCTGAGATCCAGAGCTGTATGTACATACCAGCTGGACCAAGAGTAGCAGGGCTGGCTGGCAGGCTCTATAACCTACCACAGTCAGGAAGTGTGGTGGGGAGTACAAACTGAACTATATATCCCCAGTGGGTTTAAATCGGTCGTTTTGTGTGTTGCCGCTAGAGACCTTCTATAGAGAGTCTGAACACAGGAAATCCTTGAAATGAGGGCATCTGTCTAGAAAGGACATCTTTTCTTTCCCCACAGAACAGTTCTCAGCTCGAACCCCTATAATAAGGACACCCACTAATATGGACACTTTATCTGTCACATTGGCGTCCGGATTAGAGGACTTCCACTGTATATACAGGTGTGTGTTTATTATTACCGAGTAACCCAGGAGTTGCAAGTGTCCATCGTCTAGTGGCGGTTTCCAGGTCACGTTGACGTTGGTTTGGTTGGCTATTGACAACGTCACATCCAGAGGGGGACTTGGTGTTCCTGGATATGAAGAGAGAGTAAGGAACCCCGAAATGATTGGCACCTCTCTAACAAGAACACCTTTCTTTCCCAAGAACAGTTCTTGCCGGAGAGGAGAGAGAGAGAGAGAGAGTGAGTGTGTGACTCACCAAATAGTTGAAGACTGGCCACAGCAGTCAGGGAGCCGTTGCCGTTGACTCCGGTGCAGTGGTAGGTCCCAGTCACCTCGTCACTCACAGAGAAGAACGTCAGAACACTCTGAATAGTGGTGCTGTTGATCGCCACTAGAACAAAAAGAGAATGAGATTTCTTAAGACCTCTGAGAGAGAAAACCACTCATAGGCAGAGGTCTTATGTAACAATAGGTAAGCAAAATCCACCACATTTGTTTCATATTTACTACTGTGTTGAAACTTTTCAGAAACATAGTGTCTCAAGACAATATATACAGTAACATAGAGTTGCAAGAAATGTTGGGATTGGTAGTGAACCTTGTTTATCCTCTATGACTCCAGCTTGCAGCTGTAGCTCAGTGGAGACCTCGCGTGTCCAGACGATGGTGGGGGGAGGGTAGGAGCTGGCCGTGCAGGTCAGCTCTGCTCTGTCTGATGCGTTCACCACCTTCTGCTGCGGCTCAACACTGATTGATAGTCGCTCTGAATGGGTGAGTGTGTGTGAATCACATCATATGTAAGCTATAAAGCAAGGCAAATGCACAAAAAAAGCAACACCCAGGACAAACATTTTACATACAAACTTAAAGGAAATGTGACTGTATATAAGGACCAAATGTAAGGTGGAACTAAACAATAAGGCCCAGTGAAAGAAGTTTCCATTTTCAGCAACAGTTTCTAAATTTAGCTGACAAATTCCCTCCAGAACTCAAAAGACTCTGCCTTCTAGTGCTATGTCTATAGGGCAATACGTTATACAACTCAACACAACACACTGTATAGACGAGCATAATATAGCCCCATGTGTGGTTCAGATATATACTCCTAACGTGATATGCAAGAACCAGGAAGAGGAACATAAATAATACCACGGAAGACGTGTGTAGAGGAAGGTGGGAGGAAAAGTTGCAGTCGTGGCCTTTGTGTATTGTACCAAGTGTGGACACTGCGTTTCTAAACCTACACACACAGTCTGATGTTTATGTGTATTAGTTTTCCAACAACAATCACTGATTTCGAAATCGTGGCGTGTGTACATAGGATATGTGTTAAAAGCTATGAGTGCTGATTGCGACGTACCATAGACTTTCAAGTCAGCAGCGAGCGTTTCTTCCTCGCCTACTCCATCGACGGCCACGCAAATATACGTCCCTTCGTCTTCCAGCGATAACGAACTTATCTTCAGGGAGGTCCCTATTAATTGGACGTTGTCACTCCCGGAAATCGGATCTTCGGAACCGTCTCTCTTCCAGTACTGACTGGCGTGGTTGTTGACGCAGCACTCGAGGGTGACGCTCTCCCCGGCGTATCGGTGGTAGGTCACGGAGTTTGGAGTGCAGAAATCAACGTCCAGCTGCAAGTCAATCTGCTCAAAGCACTGGTTGCCGTGCTGGTCGCGGAAGTTACACTGGTACTGTCCGATGTCCTCTGGGGCGATGTCGTTTACAACGAGCGTGGCGTGATTTTCGCGATCAACAATCAGGTGTTTGGGAAGATTGGAGGTGGTGAGAGTGACTCCGGAGGGGAGGTAGAAGGAGACAAAGTCGAGAGGGGTGTCGTGTTCGCACCTAATCTCGGCGTAGGAGGTGAAGAGGGTTATACTGGTTGGGTAGACACTCCGTGTCTGTGATTTGTTCACAGGACTTTGCTGCAGTGACGGAGGAAAGAGAGAGAGAGGGAGAGAAGAGGGAGGAGGAAGAGGAAGAGAGAGGAGAAAGGGGAGGGAGATGAGTACATTACTCGAAAGTACAGTCTCAGGGGGAGGTATTATCACATCAGATAGCTAATTCACAGTCTGAACTCACTTTGATATTTTCATATCATATCTATCCAACACCATTAAACGAGAGAATTAATGTAAACAGACATTGAAAATACTATGCAACCATTACTCCTTCTACATGTCATGCAGCTACTACTTAGTGAAGAACAAAATTCATGGGGAGGGGGGAGTTTAGTTTGTTTTTCTAACTTCATTACCAGAAATGGTCTTTACAACTAGCCCCCCCTCAACAGCACACCTGGGCATCCACCCCATTCATTCTCCAAGCCCGCCTAATGCTAATTACCAGCTGTCCCATGTCTCTGGAAGCTTTGGAATTTCAAGTGTCAACAAGTCAAGAGCAAGAAGATCAGGTGTAATAGGAGATCTTCAAAACATACCCTGCTCACACACACACTTTTAAAAACTGCCAGAGTAAGGTAACAAACTACATTGCAATCCCTTTGAGTAATTAATACTGCCTTACAAGGGAGGGTAGTTTAGAATCTAGGTCCAAATAGTTATGCCCTGGCTGTTTGTGGGTCGGGCTATTGGAGAGATAAGCCCAGAGTGTCCATTCCATGCCAAACCATGCCAACACTCTAGTGTGGTCGGGAAAACAAGGTTGGGTATATTGTAGCCAAACGTTGATCAGAGGCTATCAGGTCGATGATGTAACTGGGAGTATATGTGGCCGGCATATGGCGTCCATGCATCAAACTGCAGCACAGCAGGCGGGAAGGTCAATCAGCATGGGGCTATATAACACATGTGATACACCATCATCAGACCGTGTTCAGTTCTACTCCACTCACCATCAGACTGTGGTGGTGTCAGTGTGTCTGAGGCCACTTGTTTACTTTCCGTGTTTACAAGCTAAAACTACAGCAGATCTACAAGACATCTACAAGAACAAGTTGGTCCCGACAGACTGGTAGAGACTAGAGCTTTAGCTGCAGCCACGGGAGTAGTGTGGCAATGGGTGTGCTGAGTAAAATACTATAGGTTTCCAGGAAGAGGTTGTTGCTGATTTGTCTTCTGATGTGGACAACAATAAAGAGCATAGTTTCCACATAGACAATTCCGGATGATTAAAACCACGCACTGACAATTTGGCAGGTAGGGTAACCCTTCGTTTGACAGGCAAATTAAGTCACAAATCCAACTTCCTTGCCCACTAACGAGGTGCATACCTTTCTTTCTGACACAGTCACTACAAGACAAGCTCTTCTTGGGGGGAAGGAGAAGACGGAAAAAAATAAACAAGTGTTTGAAACGGCCTTGTAAGTCGAGGAGCACTACGATTGTTGGCTCAAACGCAAATCAAAACAGCGAAAGTAAAACTTATCACGTTAGAAAAACAATCCTGCTGTAAAAACGTCCACGTCATTTTTTTACCAAGTTTACAAAGCTAGCAGGTAGGGCGGTGATAGGGGATTATGATAAAGACCGTCCAGGGGGGCTTTGTATGAGATAAGGTTAAATCCCAGGAGATGCATAAGCTAAAGGTGGTTAGTTTTGGCTATATCCATAAAAACAGCTGTTGGCTTAGCATAGAGGAAAAATGGGCAAGGAAGAAAGGGAGGGACACTCCGTTTTCTTTCAAAGTTTTTTTATTGTTTTTTTTCCAAGAGTGCCATCCAATGTTGTTATGGCGGTAGGTTTGTCGGGCCATGTTCCCAGCCTTAGGGCGCAGGTAATTCGCAAGCTGGCCAACTGTGTGTGTGAATGGCCTCATTAACGCTCCATCCCAGCCGGTTCCTGAGCACCGGAACTCCCTGTATAGAACTGCTCGCCAAGTATGCTCCCGCGTCGGTTCTCACATGCGAAATCGCTCTGTGTTCCAGCGAAATGGCACAGAGGGTTTTGAAGGCCAGGGACATCACTTAGTGCTGGAATCCGTCCCTGGTGCCAACATCTCATTATTTGGTCAACCACTTCCTAGGTCTCCACTTATAGCTGACCACAGACTCTATAACACATAATAGAGATTTTGATCCAGTGGGGACCCATTATGGTATAGTTAGCACCATTTGATCTCACCTGGTACCATATGCTACGCCAATAATCTCCAACATAGCCTATATATATTACAACCTTGATTTGGCCAGGCCTGACTTTGGCACAAGCAGGTTTACGAAGACTAGAGAAACATATGTTTATGATCCTAGCAGTCAATGCTGCGTATTGGCCACATATAGGATGCATCATATAGTACTACTAGAGTCAGGGAGAGAGGAAGAAGGAAGTATTGTAATGAGGTAAGAAGGAAATGTTTTAGGGGAAGGCGAGGGAAGGAAATAGAACAAAGGCACAGAAGATGCCACCGTTTCAAAAGGGCCCTGTACAGGAACAATGGACGATCCCAGGAGACACAGTTTGTACAATTCAGACTAAGTAAACTTGTCTCCGCTCACCCATTCACAGTATAGTTACCATACATTACCATCTGTCGGAAAATCTGTTTACCTTGCCGGTGCAGTGAGGTCAGGAAGACAAGCAGCAGAGTGAAACGATCTCTCTCCAGCATTCCTGGACTCTCTGAAACAATGAGACAAACAAAAGTCGCTAGAAAGCGCCAACTGATTGGGGAATTCATAAACACGCAGAATGCATCAAAAATCGTTGCATCCTCACTTTTTTGCAGGGTTCAGCACTAGCTCCAGCAAACACGATCTGGGTAATCCCACGACCTTTCTTTATAGTGTCTTCTTCAGAGCAGCTCTACCTGGCTAGCTAGCTTTGCTAGGTCGCAGCGCGCGCCCTAAGCGTGGTTATTATTATGCAGCAGTGCGGGCACCAGTAAGCAACGACCTAATGCCCTTTTCTCTTGCGTTCTCCGCTCGGTCGGTCTAAGCCTCTAACCTTTATACGAAAACCCAAAAGGGAAGGTTTTTTCTTCACACCGCGATCAACTGATTGGAGATCAGGAATTTTCATTATGCGGTACAACGTACACGCTTGTAAACAAAGAGTGCGCATGCGCGCGTGATTTGTAATGGCAGCCGCAGGGAATGTCGAGGTAGTGAATACTGCTCCATATCACGGCTACCAAGTCCTCTTTTCTCCGTATTCACCGACCAAAATAGCCTTCACCGGCGCCCAGAACTACGGCATCCAAGGTAACCTTTGTAAGCGTGGCAGTTTTATTATTCCCTTTTCTAGGTTCAGGAGTGCTGTCCATTTTTGAAGAAGGTGCAAATGGATTCAGAGATGTTGTGAGGTGGGAAAATTACAGTCTCCGTGCAAACAATAATTAATCCTATTATGTATTGTACGTCACTTAGCATAGATGCATGTTCTTCCTAAAAAACAGCACCACCTATGATTAACGATAATCATGAATAATTTCTGCCCAGGTTCCCATGGAGAGACGCATTCTTTGGGGTCACCTGGAGCGAGGTAAACGAGGCAGTGCTGGTGGTGGCTTGTGGAGATGGGAGCATCGTCATATTCGACCAGTCACAGCCCCAGGTGATAACAGTCTCATTACCCAGGAGCCGTACCAATTATGTTGCTCTCTCTCTCTCTCTCTGTCTCCTAGGCACCTGTATCTGTCCTAAGTGGACATACCGCTGAGGTAACACTACGTAATGCGTAGTCAGTTTTGTAGAAATTGAGGTTTCTGTACCTATTTTTGGATGTGCTTGGAAGTGCAGTGCATTGTAACTCTTCTGTTTATGAGTTAGAGCAGTCTTTACCAATTAACCCTCAAAACCTTGTAAATATCAAAAAGTGGTCAGGTATATACAACATAACCCTTTAAATGTGTGTGTGTGAGCGTAGGTATCGACTGTTGAGTGGAGTATAGGTCGGCAGGAACAGCTGCTACTCTCTTCCTCCTGGGACACCACTGTGAGACTGGTGAGCCGTTGCCAAGCCTACCTCCCCACAGACCATCTCTCTGTCTCTCTCCCTGGTGTCACACAGTGGGACCCTAATGCCCAGACGTGCGTCTCTGTGTTTACTGGTCACTCGGGGATTGTCTACGAGGCAGCCTGGGCGCCTCATCTCCCACACACATTTGCCTCCGTCTCAGGTCAGCCTGGGTTCAATTGCCCACCTTATGCCACCATCTATGTGCAGAGTTAATGCCATTGTTTAGGCTTGGCATTAATTATTGCTGACATGCAACAATTGAAAAACATTTTGCCCACATTACAAGACCAGTGCTCCAAAGTAAACCTCACTTGGTTGACTACATTATCGTAGGGAATTTTGTGCGGAGCCTTTTTCCGCTTCTCAGAAGATGCATTTCTGGGAAGGTAAACACAATCTATTTTGAGCATCGTTTTACGTGTACATTGGGGCGTATGTGTGTATGTGTGTGTGTGAGGGGAGACTGTTTGAAAGTGACGTGGCAGGAAACATACATCATCGTTTGTGAAATATGTTTTCCTGACAATGGTTTGAGTAGGAAATTGATGTTATTAGTTCAGGGTTTGCTCAAAAACAAAAGCATGAACATTTGCATTAGCCGACGGGAGAGTTCTGGTGTGGGACTCTTCTCAGCGGGGCAGCTCGTCTGTGGTGTGTGGTGGGGGAGGAGGTGAAGTGTTGGCCTGTGACTGGAGCAAGTATGACTCCCACTCTCTGGTCACTGCTGGCACCGACGCTTGCATAAAGTGAGCCCCTTTCTCTCTCATTCTCGCTACTTTTTCTCCTCCTTTTACCTATAGTGTCCTTTTCTGTTGTACTCTCTCCCCTCTTTAGTGTGACCACCTCTTTCCCTTCTCTAGTTAATGTGCTTCCCCCTTTCTTCTCTAGTGTGTATAAACCCTCTTACTCTCTCATTCTCTAAATTTTCTTGTTCCTTTTGTCTACCCCTATAACAACATTCCCCAACATTCTTTTTCTTATCTCTCTTCCCCCATCTCTGTCTGTCTGTTGGCAGAGGTTGGGATGTCCGTCGACCATTGACCCCTCTCTTCTCCTTCCCCGGGCACACTCAGTCAGTGAGGAGGGTAAAGTGCGACCCATTCCACAGACACATTGTAGCCTCTTCTTCCTATGACTTCTCTGTGAGGTATATATATACTCCGCAGTCCACAGCATAATTTTCCATTAACCCTACACTATTATGAAATATAAGTTTACCACTGAATCAATTTTGTGACACTGGCACAATAAAATATCTTCCAACTGGAAGTAATGCGTTAATAGTAGCACTTTTTTCCATGATTTGTCCTTTATCACTTTATCATTGTCATATGACTGGACCTATAGAGTCATGCTTCCTGCTTGTATTGTGTCCTACATACTAGGCAGTAGCTAACACGTGCATGCAATTGTTAAACCTCTCCACATGAATAAAAATACTTAAACGGAATCACTAGCACTCCACACGTAATTACAATAGCATACGTTGAACTATTGGAATATTAAAGAATTCTTGAGAAAGCCCGATTGTGAACCATAGGCTACTGGCTACTCCCACTTCGTTATTTAGTAAACTTGTGACTCATTACTTTGTTTGAGTGAACTATGGTGCACATAATGATAGAGGTACACTCTAAGGGAGAAACTTTCACCATTTTACTAGTGTGAAAACAATATGTGAAAGTTTTGGTTTTCTGCAAAAGATGAGGGGATCCTCTTTCATACATTTCAAGTCATGAAAACCTTCCCTGGGAAATTCATTAATATTGACGAAATACCAAGTTGTTTTTGCTATGTATTGCTAGTGGCTTTTTGTTGCTGTAGGTTGTGGGATGTTCATAATCCCCACTCTCCACTGTTGGACACTATTCTTCACCACACAGAATTCACCTATGGTCTCTCCTTCAGCCCGTTCATCCAGGGCAGAGTAAGACACACAGATACATACAATAGGATACCAGCTTATTCTACCAGCTACTATTAATAGCACATACCCACATGCCCACTTGCTTACAGTGCAGATTTCAACACTATCATTCTGTATTCACCGTCTTAATGTGCCCTAGCAGAGCAACACTGTGGTGGGCTTACCTAGGGAAATTCACTTAGAAGCTTGCATCATATATTATTGGTTGCCTGAAGATGAAGCTGTAAATATCATCAAAACCACTCCCATGAGCATTCTGTGTGTGGCATATTATAGACCGGCTCCATAGAACATCACCGCATACATTAAGATGCAGTCTTTTGGTGCAGGCGTTTGTGTCATTCTAAATGTGAGAGCTTGGAAAAAGCTTTATCCCCAGCCAATATATTCCTTACTGACACCAATCAAAAACTTCTACGTGGTATATTACATTTATGCCAGCCAGGTAGCTAAGGTTGTATATACACACCCAGCTATCTCCTTCATGCGTAGCACCTTTTGCTCACTCACTTAATAGCTGGCGGACTGTTCTTGGGATTCAACCATCAAACTGTACAGCCCTCCAGCTATAGCCTTGCAAGAACCAGCTCCATCGTCGTGACTTGCACGATCCATGCATGACATTAATTTTTTTGTCGTCTCCCCCACGTGCAATTTATTTTACCATTCACACCTGCTAATATCGATCAAAAAATTTTGAGATGTATATGCATACAAGAGTAAAAAGTGTAAGGGCCGAACACAAAATAATGGGGGAAACACAAAAATTGATTTTGTGGGGTCGGTGGAATCTTTAGTTCAAGAGAAAGTTGCTTATATGATGTAGTTCAGTATTTAGCGATGAATTACTCTTCAAGCAGGTGTCCGACCGTGCCAATTTCATTTCCCTTTGAGGCAGTTTTAGCTCTCTACCCAAATGGTTAGCCGAGTGACTGCGATGAACTGCTAATCTTCTTCTTGGGAGCAGTGTCTGTGATGAGTGGGAAGGTGAGATGGTTTTTGAGGAAGAAGTCAGGGACACGGTGCTGGGGTTGCTGTGTGGGGTAGGAGTGGACGATGCAATAGCTTCCCTCTGCCGTCTCGCCATCAGTAGAGGTGATTCGCTCACAGAGCGTAGAAACGGTGGGCCGAGAAAAGCGGACTCGTCGTCCGAGTCCGCGTCGACGACGGGCGGCGTTCTCCGACCGTATCTCGTTACGGATTGTGGCGAGGACGAAGCGGAGGAACTCGCGGTGCTGCTCGCTAGCTGCGGTAGCGTGGGCGTCGCGCGGGAGCTGTGGAAACCGGAGTCCGGACTCCCGAGGCTTCCCTGGTTCTCGCAGTCTGCGTAGAAAGCCATTCGGTTGAGGCTCGTCTTTAGCATGGCCATGCTCCAGAATGACTTGGCCGCCTCGCGCGCAACGGGCGTCCCGAGGCGAATCCCGTTCTCCGTGATGCTCGGCAACCACTGCGTGTCGGACTCCGTACTACGTTTATGGTCCGCGTCTTCGTCTCCTGCGCGCAACAAACAACGTAAGGTATGACGCCTCAACACACTAAATCGTTCTCTTACCAACATTCCACGAGACTTCCAGCGAATTTTCAACTTCAACTGCCATGATACGTAACTGAGCAAAAAATATTAGCAAGTCACTAGCGCCGCTCTCTATTTATAGCTGCTGTAGAAATTCATCATCTCAGAGTTGATGTGAATGCGATCATTTGTGCCTCGTGATTCTCATGTTCATTCCTATTGCACCAGATCTCACGTTCAAGTACCGCTCACACCCCTCGCGCTCAGTTCTAGGGACGTGACTAGATCTATGACTATTGCCTCGCAACCAATATCTCACCTACCTAACCAGGTGAGACAAGCCCCTAGAGGTCACTCATAAGCAGTAATAAGGATTTAAAAAACACAATCTTACACGACTATTGAAGTTTTACACGTGAATTTAAAAAAGGTGATGCATAACGTTAGGCTGGTCCAAGATCTGCGTTGACATAATCGTACATTTCTATCGAGTCTCCCTCCAGTACATCCACATCTGGACTGTCGACGTTGTCTTCCTTGGCCTGAGTCAGTGTTGGCAAGCCTGACGGTCTGATGGGGGAATTCCCTCGGGGGGAGCCAGGGGAGGCCCTGTGGGTGGGGATGGGCGGTATCACCTCCAAATATGTCTGGACTCCGCCCTCATCTGGCGACAGTTTCCCCTTGAACGTCGTGGAATAGTAGCTCGGTTCGTCGAGGTACTGTGGATTAATGGACGTGTATTCCTCATGGTTCTTGGTGTGTCCTTTGAGTGTGGCATAGGTGGCAGATGAGAGAGGGATCTCGTACTCCTTGGGAACCGGTGAGTTTGTTCGGTCACTTCGCATTGTTGAAGGGAGTTTGTATCTCCGAGATTTCTGCAGTGAAGACCATATTATGACTAAACTTCACAAACGCATGGGAAATGGAGTATAAAACAACCACTGCATAAACTTTGCACTGGTGCATACTGCAACTGCAAGAATTTGGTGTTTCAGGGTTTTTCCCCCCTACACTATTGTGCTCTTAGTGCTTTTCAGTCACTTTACTCATAGTGTCTTTTGGAAGCCTTCGAACACCTTCATACGATAATGAGAATGGGGGAGTGGTACGACGCAATACTATATATTACCTAACCTTTTTCACGAGGATAGTTATTTTCCTCATGGGGCGAGCACCGTCTTTTCCTTTTCGAAAGCAGCAAAAGCAGCACAAGACAATCAGCAACACGGCCAAAATGATTGCAAGTAGCCCGCCACCACACGCACTGGCGACTATTATGATGAACATTGTCTTGTCACCTAAGAAAAGAGGTAAGACGTAGCAATAGGGTTATTATGATGACGTGATTGTCAACTAGAGCAGAGCACTGCATAGTAGGCAATTGTGGGTATGCGCCCCAAACCTTTTCCCTGGGTATCACTGAAAATGAGTATGCACTTGCCCGGTGTTTGACACAAAAGTTTTATTGTTCGCTTCCAGATCAACAAAATGGTATAATGATACCTCACAGTCACAGTACCATAACTTCCACTAACCCTCTGTTTCTGTCCGAGGTGGAGTAGAAAGTTGAGCGTCTACATTAATATCGTCAAAGAATGCCGCCATCTCTCCGTCAGTGGCACTCTGTCTTTTCGACACGCTCCCAGTAGTGGCCCCAGCTCCACTCTCGAGAGCCAGCTTGATCGTGTAGGTGGCAGTGCCGTTGTGGCTCAGGGTCTCTTGTACCCACTGCCACGCCAGGGAGCCCCTCTCTGGGTGCTCCAGCTCTGCAAGCCAACCGCCATCTTGGCCATACACCTGTAGCAAGTCGTGACATGGGATACAAGTAGCACGACACACCCTCGTGTAAATAATATCCCTGATTTGCAAAACCCCTGGTTTGAGAGCTTGAAGGAAGAATGACACAAACGCTTAAAACTATAAACCCATTTGCTTGTGCTCACTCACTAAACAAACTGTATCTATACCTGTATCACTGGAAACAATACTCCCACTGCACTGTCAGACAGGCGAATCGACCACTGAAATGAAAGAAGAATAGTCAAATCCCTGTGGACACTATATACCATGGATACTAACTATGGTATGTACTACACTGTATGTACTTCCACACACCTGATGTTGAAGGAAGAGTAGATGTCAGTGAGAGTAAAGTCCTGGCGTAGCCAAGTGTCTCCAATAGTGTCGATTGTTGAGATAGGAAGCAGGAAAACTCTTTCGTCTACAGTGGAGCAGGAAATTGTATCAGTGACTGTCATACCACCCATAATAGCTCAAATACTAACTCATGACAACGGTGATGTTTGCACTTCCATTAGCTCTCCAGCCATCGTCTGCCAGGTTATCAACGAGTAAACCACTGGTTGTGTCATCTATATGCCTGTCTGTTGGGAGACAACAAACGCAATACTTAACGTTCAGTTGTTTTTTTGGCTACCCTGACAGAGGTTAGTTTCATTGGTGGAAACCCCTCTCTAATGACACCTCTCAAATGAGGACACCTCTGTCATAATGACACTTATTGCTTAACTTGACCCCTGAAATAAGGAAACCTCACTTATATGGACACTTTCTTCTGTCCCACTGGTGGAGAGGTTCCACCGCAAGTACATACCTATGTAATCAAAGGAGACTGTGGTGTTCAGTTCAGACACACTGTTGTGTCCGTAGCACTGGTACACGCCACTGCTAGCAGGCTCTATATCAATCACAGAATAGGCAAGCTCTAGACCGGTGAAGTTGTTTGGTGGACCGGTAGTACTGGGACCTGTCCAGGTCAGCTCTGGAGGGTCGTAGAACGGTGGAGAGGGGGAGGAACCCTTCGTTATACCTCGACAGATCACCCCAGCTTTGACACCTCGAGGAAGATGGTAGGTGGCGGCCCCATCCATAAGTGGTAAGGGTTCAACAAACTGAGGCAGAGCTGTGTACGTCAAAAGTAGTACACAAAATCAATGGCCATGTGAGTTAAAAAGACAGGACTTACTTCGAAAGACTAGAGTAACACAGTGGGTATCGAACACAATCACATTGTTCACAGTAGAGGTGTTGCTATAAATCTCGCAGCAGTAGAATCCAGACCCCATTTTTTTATTACCATTCACACCCGTATCCGTCGTCACAGTGAGGGCGCTATTTGTACCATCTCGAAATTGTACTCCGTTTCTGAACCACTTGAATCTATCTCCACCTCTTGCGGTCCCGCTTTGGACGCAATTTATCTCTGCTGTGTTAGTGTTGGCTGTGGCAACAAGCTGGTCATCAGCTTCGTATGGAATATCCGGTTCACTCGGTGGTGGCTCTGTTGGAGAAAAGTGTACTGTTCAACCTCACTTAGGTTGAGACAAGGGTGCCGATGTGTGTGTGAAAATGCCCATAAGCCTTGGACTTTTACACACAGCTTTCAACTCCAGACAAGAGAGGCTCTATTGTAATTGACTTATTGGGAAAGGAACTCCTTGATAGCCATGCACATTGCTATAAGAATGTCAACCTCTTTGGCTGCGACAAATACCACAAAGCAAGCTGTAATATAATAACACAGGATATTTGACGTACGTTCACGAGTGATGCTGGCGTTGTAGGTTAGCATTTTCTCATCAAATCTGTTTGAAATTCGACAGCTGTAATTTCGCATAAGGTCGTCCTCCGTTGTGTTGAATATCACGAGCGACTGACTGACTGGACTGATACGAAATCTTCCAGCATCATCAATTGGAGTCATATTATCACCCTGAAAAAGTATACAATTCAAGAGCTCGAACATTACAGGTTTAGGAGATACAGTGGAACCCCTCTAATCTGTACACCAATGGGACAGAAAAAGTGTATTAGTGAGGTGCCCTTATCTCAGAGGTTGCAAAACAAATCCATCGAGAGAGAAAGGTGTCCTTATTATAAAGGTGCAGGGTGTCCTTAGAGAGGTTGCAAATGTATTGACTTACCTCCACTGAGAACCACTCCACTCTTGGCCACGGTGTTCCCGGAAGAATACACGGAAACTCGACCCGAGTACCCTCTTGTACTCGATACGAGAATGGGATTGAATAATTGCCAATCGTCGGTGCACCTGCAGGTTAATTAAGTCATCACTCAGTAACGCCTGGTGATGAAACTTCTGTGCATTGCGATGGAGCACAGTAAGTGTTGAATGTGAGACATTTCGGAGTGTGTCATGACAGAAGCTACTTGTATAAATTAAAAGCTCCAGTGCCAAGTCAGCTGTCATATACCTGCCTACGCAAGAATTCTGTGCATTTGTTATGTCATTGTGCCCAAAGGTGTGTACCCCTTCTTAACCTGCCTACACGATCAGTGACTGAATAAGGCCATCGTGCAGGAAGTACACACGGAGGAAAGCCCAATGTCCTAATAAATACACACATCGATCCGAATCATAGTGGCAGAGAGGGTCTATGTTGTGCGCCACGCATATACGGGGTCGACTTCCGGTCGGTTGAGCGCCGCCACTCGTGACGCGGAGGATGGATGGGTGTGTTTGGGTTCGGGGTGCTTGTGCGTCGGACAGTTCGGGGAGCGGGAGATAGGGAGCGGACTGAACTGGCAGGGAGGCGGGCGGGGGTGTCGGGATCGTGACGGAGGTAGGAGCGGGCGGGCTGGAGGTGCGATGAAGGTGGGGTGGTTGGGGGGCGAGGGAGCGGGAGAAGTGAGGTGCGACGGTCGGGTGTGGCTTTGTGTTGGACGGTTGATGGGAGGGCGGCCATTTGGGGGGAGTCTTTTGTAATCTCCGGGCGAGACCGTGCACTGGGGCGGCGGGAGGGGGCGCGCGAGGAGGAGGCGTGAAGTGAGTGAAGGACCGCTTGGGCATGGTCAGCTTAGTGGTGCGGGACGGGGAGGGCGCTGGCGCTGGGGGGTGGCCGGGGGAGGGGTTAGTGTGAGCGAGGTCGAGGGGCTACAGGGGGGTTAAGTGGGACTGGATGTGACGGGTAGTCTCGATCCTTTTCGGGTGAGCGGCTTGCTTGGAGGGAGGGGTGGAGGGCGGGAGCGAGGCGCGGAAGGAGTCGGGGGAGAGCGGCAGTGACCGGTGAGGGATGGAGTGCGAGCGCGAGGACAAGAGGGGGGGGGGCCGGGAGCCCGGGGGTCGAGTCGAGACGGGCTAGGCGGTATCGGGCAGGAGGACGGCTCGCCTAGGAGGGGGGCGGGACCGTTGCCGGGAGCGATCGGAAGGGGAGAGCGCGGGGGGGAGGCGGAGGTGGGGAGGCGGGGAGGGAGGAGGGTGGGCGCGACCGAGGGCGGAGCGGGAGAGAGAAAGGCGGGGAGCGGGTGGGGACCAGGAGGAGGGGGGGCGGGGGGAAGGGACTGTACCGGAGAGGGGAGAGTGGATGGAGAGGAGGTAGGAGTAAGGTTGACCGGGGAGGGACCGGCGGAGGGAGGTACGGGAAGAGTGAGGGGGGGTGGTTGATATGGGGGTTAGAGTATGGTTTATGGGAGATGTATGGTATTGGGGGTGGGATTTATGTATTGTATATGGTATAGCTAATATATATACAGATTCTCTCAGGTCGGGGCAAAATGGTCATTGTATATAGGTGGTATAACAGTAATGGTGAGAAAAAGACAAGTTGTGTAATACTCACACCTTCAATTTATCAAGCCTCACAAACATTATTCTTTGGTCAGAATTCAATTATAGCTGAATCGAGGGGTTTCACTCGCAGTTGCTAGAAATGAGGCAACTGCCAAAAATCGTTAATATATGTACAATAGGGTGCCAGGCAACATAGATACCTCAGCAGTGTCACATTACTATACTCCACACATGTCCAAATATACTAGCAACAAGCCAAGGAAATTAACACCACAAATACCGACCCTCCACCTTACCTCCAACGAAGACAAGAAAATCTAACTGATATCTTCTGTTCTTCAGAGACGTTGTACAGGTGTACCATCCACCGTTCGACAAATTGATTGGTTCAAACACCAGGGAGCGACCCTCTGACGGTCTAGGGACGTGGTTATAGTACCATGCTAAGAGGTACGAGGAGTCTTCATCAGTTCCATTCAGAGTGCACGTAAGATTGGCTCCTGAATCCTGCGTGTAGAACACCACGGAATTTTCTCGATCGTATGGGGAATTCGTCGTCAGAATCAGCTCTTGCGAGTCTCCTGCGTGAAGAATTACAGGTGTTGATGGTAACGCCGTCATGTTGTGAATACAGTACCGAGCTAGCTAAGGGTCTGCAGCTACAATTACGGCTAAGCCGGGTGACGGAGATCGTGCAACGTACCTCTGGTGAGTTGCTCCACTAACAGAAGGTGCAGTAAACAGAGCTTCCAGCGCATGGCGGATCACAGGTGGAGGTCGGTGTGAACAACAGATGAGACAGACCATTGAACACCGGTCTTCCGCGACTTCCGTTTTAGCGTCAGATATGGACACGCCCCCACCACCACATATATACCAAACCTGCATCGCGCGCGCATGCGTATGCGAGTATGCGCGCGCCGTGTTGCGCGCAGCATAAATACGGCAGTCACTCGCAACTACAACTAAATAAGCAAACCGAGAGGCAAACAATGCAGAAACTCTGCTACGTGCTTGCTGCCCTGTGTGTGGCAAATATTGCCACCGGCGAACAGGAAGTAGACGCGGAGATGCTGCCGAATGGCGACGTGCGCAACTGCCCGACAACGTCTCCCATCTTTCCGGACGATCCTCTTTACCGCATGGAGGTCCTGCCCGGCGCCGGTTTCGACGCTCTCCGCAGCGTGGACATGGGACAGGTCCACGCCTACAACTACTCGCAGTGCCGCGTCTCCAACGACGGTCGCTATCTTCTCCCGGACAGCGTCTTCCTCGTTCCTCTAATGAAAAGTCACGTGCAGGTATTCTCCGAGTTCATCGACCACTGGGACGACTACATTTCCACCACCTCGACTACAATCACCCTAGAAGCCGGGTTTATGTCCATCGTCAGCGGGAAGTTCTCTTACGAGTATCTCAACGTGAAGTCCCACATGTACAATGACCAGTCTTTCTCGACGCGCGTGCAGCTCCGGGAAGCGCTCTACAAAGTTAACCTACAGCCAGGTACGGAACTACATCCGACGTTCAAGTCTCGCCTGTTCGAAATCGCGGCCAACATCCAGAATAACAACAAAGAGTATGCGCACTACTTGGCGGAGCTGACGGTCCGGGAGTATGGTACGCACTATATCACGAGTATGGACGCCGGTGCTGTACTGTCACAGGTCGACTATCTCTCCTCTAGTATCAAGGAAGACGGTGATTATACAAAAAAGGCAGTGACTGCGTCCGCAAGTGCAAACTTTTTGGGAGAAAGTTCAGTTTTAGTTCCTCTTTTCAGCACTCCGATATTCAAAAGCACACTCAGCGATTCATAGACAATCGCACTTACTCGGATGTGTACAGCTGGGGAGGTCCTCCATTTGGCCCAAATATGACTGTTAATGACTGGGAAAATGGGGTTCCCAACGCAATGGTGGCCATCGACCGATCGGGTGACCCTCTACACTACGCTATCACCCCATCCACCCTCCCAGATCTCCCCGAAAGCACCGTCTATGACGTCGCCCACTTTATATTCCAAGCCATCACCCGCTACTACAAAGTCAACACGCGACACGGATGCACTGACATAGACTCGCCGAACTTTGACTTTCAAGCTAACGTGGACGACAAATCCTGTAAGCCTCCCAACACCAATTTCACGTTTGGAGGTGTGTACCAAACCTGCACGTATGCCTCGACTGCATACGAAGATCTGTGCACTGGTGGTCCACAGCCGATGGAGCAAGCAAATCCACTCACCGGGACCACAAGTTGTCGTGCTCCCTACGTCCCTGTTCTCCTGCACAGCGGACAGTACAGTCACACGGTGCAGAAGCAGGTGTGCTACAAGCACTGCTCGTGGTGGAAATGCCACACAAACTGCTACATGCAACCCTACACTACAACCATTAACTATGAAGCCTACTGGTGTGTTGCTCCCGGTCACGTCGAACAGAACTCAGGCTACCTCTTCGGGGGATTCTATACTTCCTCGACAGCTAATCCGTTCCTGGGCTCTAAAACGTGCCCCAGGTACTACATGCCCCTACACTTTGGGGAGGACATGTTCATCTGTGTTTCCGACGATTACGAATTGGGCTTTCCTTTCTCAGTCCCGTTTGCCGGTTTCGAGAGCTGCAGCGCCGGTAATCCACTAGCTGCTAACAATCCGTCCATGGCGAACCCAGCTTCTTGGCCGCACGGCTGCCCGGTCGGATTCACACAGCACCTTGTGGCAGTCGACGAAAACTGCGAGATCAACTTCTGTATCAAAGCCGGCTCATTTAACCAGCTGCAAACGATGCCTCCTCGTCTCCCCCCCTACAGAAAACTGAAGCAGAATCCCAACACCACCAATACGCTGGTTGTCATTGGACTAAACGGAGCCATCTGGTTCAAAACAGCTGACGGAGACTGGATCAAGGAGTATGGAGGTATAGAAGACGGGAAGGATTGGGTGACAAATGAGTTGAATCTCAACCCTGCGGTCCCTGTGACGGACAATGGAACTCTGTTTGTGGAATCCTCTTCATCCTCTTCAGATTCTCTTTCTAGTGGAGCTGTCGCCGGAATCTCCATTACAGCCACTCTTGCCCTCTGTACCATCATCGCTTTTGCCATCTTTACAGGCTACTCTATCAAGAAGAAAAAGGAAAAGAGTCCGGACGAAACCTACCTCCATATCAACGATGACCCTCCCACAAATTACGATCCTCAAGAGAGCAATGCTTAGAGCCCTGACAAAGGGCTCACTGCAACTCAGTTTGCTTGACTTATCGCGTGTTTATTGTTCCACGAACTAAATATGTACTGCAGTAATACAAAAAGTGAAAGTGTTTTTTACCTTCCGTGTTTATTTTAAAAAGTAGGGTATTGTGTGTGCTCAACATGGCGATGATAAAAGTCAACTATATTCCCCAAAACTAGTGCAGCACCATTCTTAGCTCTGACACATTTGGTCATTGCCTTGTTCGCGCATGCGTATATTACATCGTCTCAGAACGGGGGCCCCGGGGGGCTGGGTGTATTTTTTCGTAGAACAACGCCGGGGGCTCAATCTTTGATCTCAATCTTTGATCTCAGCCTGCGTGGCCGCGGCGCGGCCATACGGCTGCAGAGCGCAAACGCGCACACACCCACGCGCATGGGGCCGTGCCTCTAGCTATAAAACTAAACATGCGGCGAGTGGCCCAAACTTTTTCCATGATGAAGTTTTCTCCAACGTACATCGCATTTGGCGTGCTACTTCTTACTGCTGCAGAGGCTGATCAGAGCGGTGAAGTCGTTTCGAAAATCGAAGCGAATGCCGGCGACGTGCGCAACTGCCCGACAACCTCTCCCATCTTTCCGGACGATCCTCTTTACCGCATGGAGGTCCTGCCCGGCGCCGGTTTCGACGCTCTCCGCAGCGTGGACATGGGACAGGTCCACGCCTACAACTACTCGCAGTGCCGCGTCTCCAACGACGGTCGCTATCTTCTCCCGGACAGCGTCTTCCTCGTTCCTCTAATGAAAAGTCACGTGCAGGTATTCTCCGAGTTCATCGACCACTGGGACGACTACATTTCCACCACCTCGACTACAATCACCCTAGAAGCCGGGTTTATGTCCATCGTCAGCGGGAAGTTCTCTTACGAGTATCTCAACGTGAAGTCCCACATGTACAATGACCAGTCTTTCTCGACGCGCGTGCAGCTCCGGGAAGCGCTCTACAAAGTTAACCTACAGCCAGGTACGGAACTACATCCGACGTTCAAGTCTCGCCTGTTCGAAATCGCGGCCAACATCCAGAATAACAACAAAGAGTATGCGCACTACTTGGCGGAGCTGACGGTCCGGGAGTATGGTACGCACTATATCACGAGTATGGACGCCGGTGCTGTACTGTCACAGGTCGACTATCTCTCCTCTAGTATCAAGGAAGACGGTGATTATACAAAAAAGGCAGTGACTGCGTCCGCAAGTGCAAACTTTTTGGGAAAGTTCAGTTTTAGTTCCTCTTTTCAGCACTCCGATATTCAAAAGCACACTCAGCGATTCATAGACAATCGCACTTACTCGGATGTGTACAGCTGGGGAGGTCCTCCATTTGGCCCAAATATGACTGTTAATGACTGGGAAAATGGGGTTCCCAACGCAATGGTGGCCATCGACCGATCGGGTGACCCTCTACACTACGCTATCACCCCATCCACCCTCCCAGATCTCCCCGAAAGCACCGTCTATGACGTCGCCCACTTTATATTCCAAGCCATCACCCGCTACTACAAAGTCAACACGCGACACGGATGCACTGACATAGACTCGCCGAACTTTGACTTTCAAGCTAACGTGGCCGACAAATCCTGTAAGCCTCCCAACACCAATTTCACGTTTGGAGGTGTGTACCAAACCTGCACGTATGCCTCGACTGCATACGAAGATCTGTGCACTGGTGGTCCACAGCGATGGAGCAAGCAAATCCACTCACCGGGACCCACAAGTTGTCGTGCTCCCTACGTCCCTGTTCTCTCCTGCACAGCGGACAGTACAGTCACACGGTGCAGAAGCAGGTGTGCTACAAGCACTGCTCGTGGTGGGAAATGCCCACACAAAACTGCTACATGCAACCCTACACTACAACCATTAACTATGAAGCCTACTGGTGTGTTGCTCCCGGTCACGTCGAACAGAACTCAGGCTACCTCTTCGGGGGATTCTATACTTCCTCGACAGCTAATCGTTCCTGGGCTCTAAAACGTGCCCCAGGTACTACATGCCCCTACACTTTGGGGAGGACATGTTCATCTGTGTTTCCGACGATTACGAATTGGGCTTTCCTTCTCAGTCCCGTTTGCCGGTTTTCGAGAGCTGCAGCGCCGGTAATCCACTAGCTGCTAACAATCCGTCCATGGCGAACCCAGCTTCTTGGCCGCACGGCTGCCGGTCGGATTCACACAGCACCTTGTGGCAGTCGACGAAAACTGCGAGATCAACTTCTGTATCAAAGCCGGCTCATTTAACCAGCTGCAAACGATGCCTCCTCGTCTCCCCCCCTACAGAAAACTGAAGCAGAATCCCAACACCACCAATACGCTGGTTGTCATTGGACTAAACGGAGCCATCTGGTTCAAAACAGCTGACGGAGACTGGATCAAGGAGTATGGAGGTATAGAAGACGGGAAGGATTGGGTGACAAATGAGTTGAATCTCAACCCTGCGGTCCCTGTGACGGACAATGGAACTCTGTTTGTGGAATCCTCTTCATCCTCTTCAGGTTCTCTTTCTAGTGGAGCTGTCGCCGGAATCTCCATTACAGCCACTCTTGCCCTCTGTACCATCATCGCTTTTGCCATCTTTACAGGCTACTCTATCAAGAAGAAAAAGGAAAAGAGTCCGGACGAAACCTACCTCCATATCAACGATGACCCTCCCACAAATTACGATCCTCAAGAGAGCAATGCTTAGAGCCCTGACAAAGGGCTCACTGCAACTCAGTTTGCTTGACTTATCGCGTGTTTATTGTTCCACGAACTAAATATGTACTGCAGTAATACAAAAAGTGAAAGTGTTTTTTACCTTCCGTGTTTATTTTAAAAAGTAGGGTATTGTGTGTGCTCAACATGGCGATGATAAAAGTCAACTATATTCCCCAAAACTAGTGCAGCACCATTCTTAGCTCTGACACATTTGGTCATTGCCTTGTTCGCGCATGCGTATATTACATCGTCTCAGAACGGGGGCCCCGGGGGGCTGGGTGTATTTTTTCGTAGAACAACGCCGGGGGCTCAATCTTTGATCTCAATCTTTGATCTCAGCCTGCGTGGCCGCGGCGCGGCCATACGGCTGCAGAGCGCAAACGCGCACACACCCACGCGCATGGGGCCGTGCCTCTAGCTATAAAACTAAACATGCGGCGAGTGGCCCAAACTTTTTCCATGATGAAGTTTTCTCCAACGTACATCGCATTTGGCGTGCTACTTCTTACTGCTGCAGAGGCTGATCAGAGCGGTGAAGTCGTTTCGAAAATCGAAGCGAATGCCGGCGACGTGCGCAACTGCCCGACAACCTCTCCCATCTTTCCGGACGATCCTCTTTACCGCATGGAGGTCCTGCCAGGCGCCGGTTTCGACGCTCTCCGCAGCGTGGACATGGGACAGGTCCACGCCTACAACTACTCGCAGTGCCGCGTCTCCAACGACGGTCGCTATCTTCTCCCGGACAGCGTCTTCGTAATTCCTACGTTGGAAAGTCACGTGCAAGTATTCTCGGAGTTTATCGATCACTGGGACGACTACACATCAACTATTTCTTCTTCTATCTCGGCAAGCGCCAGCTTCCAGTCCATTATTAGTGGAAAGTTTTCGACCGAGTACGAATCAGTCAAGTCGCACATGTACCGCGACAGTTCTGTCACGACGCGCGTCCAGCTCCGTAACGCTCTCTACAAAGTGAAGCTTCAACCTGACTCGGACCTGCACCCGGTTTTCAAGGCTCGTCTGTTCGAAATGGCCGCCAACATTCAAAGCAACAACACGGAGTATGCACGCTACCTGGCCGAGCTTATGGTCCGCCAATACGGTACTCACTACGTTACGAGCATGGACGCCGGAGCCGTGCTCTCGCAGGTCGATCACATAAAGTCCTCATTCCTAGCCAATTCAGAATCAAGCAGAGTAGCAGTTACTGCCTCTGCAAGTGCAAATTTCCTCGGAAAATTTAGCATTGGTGTAGGTTTCAATTTTTCAGTTACAGACAAGGACACCCAGCAGTTTATCGACAACCGGACCTTTTCGAAACTGTACAGTTGGGGAGGTCCTCCTTACAACACCAATATGACGGTTGCAGAGTGGGAAAATGGGATTCTGAACGGCTTGGTAGCCATCGATCGCACAGGTGATCCACTGTACTATGCCATTACCCCAACTACCCTCCCAGAGATGCCCGAGAGCACCGTATACCAGTTGGCAAACTTGGTGTCTCAAGCCATTTCTCGCTATTACAGAACCAACACTCGTCAAGGATGCACCAACGCGAACTCCCCAAACTTTGATTTCCAAGCCAACGTAGACGATCACTCGTGCGAGGCAACGCAAACAAACTACACGTTCGGTGGAGTGTACCAGACGTGCACCCCGAAAAGTCGAAACTACGAAGATCTCTGCAATTCTGGTCCAGCGCCAGTGTCCCAGATGAACCCTCTGACTGGAGATGCTAGCTGTCCTGATCCCTACACATCTGTTCTCCTTCACAGAGGACAGTACAAGCATACGGTCTACAAACCCGAATGCAAGGAACACTGCACTCTCGGCATCTTTAACTGTCGCAGCGACTGCTACAAAAAGCCGATAACTTCTGTTGTGTACTACGAAACATACTGGTGCGTTAACCCTGGCCAGGCAGAGAAAAACTCAGGCTATCTTTTTGGCGGATATTACACTTCTGCTGTGGCTAATCCGTTTTCGGGGATGCAGTCTTGTCCGAGGTATTACACTCCTCTTCACTTGGGGGTGGACGTGTATATCTGTGTCTCCAACGATTACGAGCTTGGTTCTCAAGCAGCAATACCGTTTGCCGGTTTCATGAGTTGTGACGCTGGGAATCCTCAAGCTTCTACCACACCTTCCATGGACAACCCATCTTCTTGGCCTCATGCTTGTCCAGCTGGATTCTCACAGCATCTCCTGGGTTTGGACGGAGACTGTGAAATCAACTACTGCGTGAAAACCGGTTCGTTCAACAAACACCAACTACTCCCCCCTCGTCTCCCTCCGTTTAGGAAACGCAAGCAGATGAACCCCAACACCACCTCGACACTAGTCATCATAGGAAACCACGGAGTTGTGTGGTACAAGAACGAAGACGGGGAGTGGGTCAAGGACTACGACGGGACTCAGAGCGGGAAATTGTTTATTGACGGTTTCAACGGCGACTCAGATCCAAGTGACGCTGGCTCGTCCTCATCTGGCTCTCTCTCCAGAGGCTCTGTTGCGGGAATCTCCATCTCGGCCACTATAGCTCTCTGTACCATCATTGCCTTCTTTGTGTTCATGGGCTACTCCATCAAGAAGAGGATAGCCAAGAGATGTAGGAGGGCGGGAGAGGACGCTTGCTACCTCAGCATCAGTGAAGGTAACACTCCCAGTCCAACAAACAATGACACCGTGTGAAAAATGGGAGAGCTTGCACTTTCACACCGAGACTGTTGACATTTTCTTTTTGTTGTTCAATTTTGAGTGGCTCGTGGTAATCATTGTAGAGATGTGACTCACAACACACAATTAAGATGTACATTTGGGACATAATAAGTTGTTGAAACAATCAAAATGTTTTTAAAAGCTCAATAGGTCAGGTAGTCATAAACTTCGTTTGTACTAAAAACTCTAAGCACTTTTGATCACGTTTTTTCCTTCTAAAGTGATTCAAGAATACAAAACATGCTCTTTGTGTGGAAGCGTACTTGAAAGAGAAACGTTTCCAAAAACAGCAGTTTGCAAACATGAATCACATGCTTGCGTGGTGGTATACACATGTTGTTTCAAGCACACGGTGGGAAAGTTTCAGTAAACTGTGCTATACACAGACAAGCATTGGTTCCTCCAAAGCCAAAGGAGTTAGTAAGAGCAACCCTTCGTTTATCTCCACCCTTCCACTCTGCGGGAGTATTGGGTACGTAGTTCAGGTCGAACGCAGTTTCAAGCGAGCTCAAATTGATCGTAGGAGGTGCTAGACCCTCTCGAACTGCCAACACTGTAAATATAGTCTCGACTGACCCACAAGCTGACAGCATATGTCCGACTGAGCTCTTTGTAGCTGACACTAGTAGGTTGTATGCATGTTCTTTGAATAGGTCTTTCATGGCTCTGTTCTCGGTGGAGTCACCTAGAGGGGTCGAAGTCGCATGTGTGTTGATATGTCCGACCGCTTCTGGGGATAACCCTGCATCATTGAGTGCTGATTGCATGGCTTGTACAGCTCCGGCACCGGACGGCTTTGTGATGTGATAAGCATCTCCGCTCATTCCGTAGCCGAGAATCTCGGCATGGATGTCAGCACCCCTCTCCTTGGCGTGCTCCAGCTCTTCTAGTACCAGTATCCCTGCACCCTCACTGATTACAAATCCATCCCTACCGGCGTCAAACGGTCTCGATGCAGCCTGTGGGTCCCTGTTGTATTTAGTCGACAGGGACATGGGTCGACAGAATCCAGCCATGGTGATGTGATCGATACAGGCTTCTGTACCTCCAGCAACCATTACATCACAGGCTCCTCTACTTATCATTGCTGCAGCGTCTCCCACTGCGTGTGTGCCTGTGGCACAAGCAGTGGAGACCGAATGGTTTGGACCGCGCAGACCAAACCGCATGCTCACAAAACCCAGCCGGCATGTTGGTAAGGGTGAGTGGGATAAAGTAGGGAGTTATTTTACGGTACAGTCTCTGGGATAACAGGTCTCCCGTTCTGTGAATGTCTGTCATGCTCTGCATGGAAGAGCCAATTGAGACGCCAGTTCGCAAGGATTGTTCCTCGTTGTTCGGGCTCCAACCTGCGTCGATGAGTGCCTCAGACGCCGCGCAAAGTGCAAACAGCGAAGAGAGAGAAGTGCTCCTTCGCTCGGGGTCGCTCACCCAATCGCTCTCCCGAAATTCCCCGGGGTCTGTACCCCGCGGAACGAACCCCGCGACTTGTGAAGGGACCTGCTCGAACTCCGGAGACTTGGGAAGGTTCGTTATTCCCGACACGCCGTCCAGAAGCCGTCTCCATACCCGCGGTACTCCGGTGCCTAGCGGGCAGCAGATACCGAGCCCTGTCACCACCACGCGACGACGCATCAGCCCAGACTCAGAGAGACCTCGCCAGGCCGAACGAATTCACCGTGCGCATGCGCAAATCACATCGTGCGTAAAGTAGGCGTGGTGGTGCGGAGTATGGCAAAGAAGCTCCTGTTGCCGCTAGTTCGCGGGTCGTGGGGAGTCGCCAGAGGACCAGTGGACGGTCTGGCGTTGTCAAGAACCATAGCTGGTACCGAATTCGCTTGCAGATCATGTTCTACAGCCACCATTCCATCTCTAACTTCTACATTATACCCCTCGCGTCATGCTGTACTCCAGGGGACTAGACATCTCAGCACCACTGCTGCTCGTAGAGCGTCAGATAACGACGGCAGGTGTGCGTTGCTCTCCTCCGTTTCGGTGTGCGCATGCGCATGGTTCCCATTCTGTAGAGTGACGGTATGGTTCACAGACAGGGACGGGGACGTCCAGACGGTGAGAGCAAAGCTAGGAGACAACCTTCTTGAAGTTGCCAGGGAATACGACATAGATCTTGAAGGTATGTTGGGCAGTTTATCTAATACACAAAATAAGTAAAAAATATCGAAAGTCTGCATCAAAGTTTTTTCAGCTGAGCAACGTTGGTGTGTTATTAACTCTCTCTTGAAGGAACCAGTTTGTGTTATGTTTTGCTGGATAAAGTTTAGTCGTCTTCAAGCTTGTCACACCTGTGTTGCTGATCTTACCAGCCATGTGTCTTCCACTAGTTTTCTGCAAACATTAACAAGATGTACGTTGAAAGTTTGAATTTCGTTTTGAATTGTGTGTGTGTATCTACCTACAGGAGCGTGTGACGGGACCCTCTCGTGCTCGACGTGCCACCTCGTTGTCCACCCGGAGTGGTTTCCTAAGATATCTGACCCCATTACCGAGGAGGAAGAGGACATGCTGGACCTGGCTTACGGACTGACTGACACGTGAGACACAGGGAGACGATGGAAACCACACAAACCCACTAACTTCTATTTACACATAACCTTTAACCTTTAATGGGGCAAAAGAAAGTGTCCTTATTTTACCAATCAACTTCCTTATCCCTATTCGATAATTTTGTTATCGCAGTTCAAGATTGGGTTGCCAAGTGGTTGTCACGGAAGATTTGGACGGACTCAAATTGACTATCCCCATGGCAACCTTAGATGCCCGGGAAGCATAGCACACAATCACATCATTGCAATCTCTATTTATATCTTGATCATGATTATTATCGTGAATGTAAAACGTTCCACTGACAATTTTTGTGAGGATCCATTAACAGTCTAACAATAATGATAGCAATGAAAGTGTTGATCAAGTTGCCTGGTCTTATTTTAATTTTGAATTATAGACATGACGTAATGGTTTAATCTTCAGTTTGCAGTTGGTAGGTTCGTGGGCCTTTCTTCAGAATGTAACTCTCCTTATTGAGAGTAAATATCAGGTCGCTCACATTCTCCACTCTAATGCCAATCTCCTACAGAAGAACATTTTCCAAAGTCAAGAAAACACGAATTAATCGGGATGAATCTCTTACTCTTGCAATGTCCTTTATCTGCTGAACGGTGAATATGGCGTTAGAAGTTTGGTCAGCCGCTCGCGTCAGTGCACAAACCAGTCTCTTTGCCTGTATCGGTGGCCATTACGATTGCGTATCAAAACATGCCACAAAAAACTCGGCAATCTTTGAGAGTGGTATGCTATATATTTGTTGTTGGACAAGGCAGGGGTGTGTATATAGTGGTCTTTCTGCCACTGACCTGTGAGCGCTGGCTCATTCCGGATCCGTTCTTGGACCGCTGGAAGTCAACCATCCCAAACTCGTCAGTAAACATGTCATACATACTGCGGAAAAGGACACTACTGAAAATATACCTCTGGCCTTGAGATGGAAAAATGCATTGATAGACAAGGAACAACTCTACTTTTTTGCAAGCGACAGACTAATTTGTTGCAATTCTTACCCATTAACAACACACAAACTCACACTGTCGTGTGAGATTTTGCCTTTATACCTGAATTTCATGATCTCCACGACATTTCTGGCGTCTTGCTCAGTCGCCTCTTCTCTCAGTTCTAGTCTGGCCCTAGCCTGAAAAGACAGACAGTCAGCCACTCATGTCACCAGGTATAGCCACACTACATTGTATAGCTCCTTATAATATATACCACAGTATGTATGTACCTCTGTGAGACACTAAGTATAGCTCCCTATATACCACAGTATGTATGTACCTCTGTGAGACACTAAGTATAGCTCCCTATATACCACAGTATGTATGTACCTCTGTGAGACACTAAGTATAGCTCCCTATATACCACAGTATGTATGTACCTCTGTGAGACACTAAGTATAGCTCCCTATATACCACAGTATGTATGTACCTCTGTGAGACACTAAGTATAGCTCCCTATATACCACAGTACGTATGTACCTCTGTGAGACACTAAGTATAGCTCCCTATATACCACAGTATGTATGTACCTCTGTGAGACACTAAGTATAGCTCCCTATATACCACAGTATGTATGTACCTCTGTGAGACACTAAGTATAGCTCCCTATATACCACAGTATGTATGTACCTCTGTGAGACACTAAGTATAGCTCCCTATATACCACAGTATGTATGTACCTCTGTGAGACACTAAGTATAGCTCCCTATATACCACAGTATGTATGTACCTCTGTGAGACACTAAGTATAGCTCCCTATATACCACAGTATGTATGTACCTCTGTGAGACACTAAGTATAGCTCCCTATATACCACAGTATGTATGTACCTCTGTGAGACACTAAGTATAGCTCCCTATATACCACAGTATGTATGTACCTCTGTGAGACACTAAGTATAGCTCCCTATATACCACAGTATGTATGTACCTCCGTGAGACACTAAGTATAGCTCCCTATATACCACAGTAGTATGTACCTCTGTGAGACACTAAGTATAGCTCCCTATATACCACAGTATGTATGTACCTCTGTGAGACACTAAGTATAGCTCCCCTATATACCACAGTATGTATGTACCTCTGTGAGACACTAAGTATAGCTCCCTATATACCACAGTATGTATGTACCTCTGTGAGACACTAAGTATAGCTCCCTATATACCACAGTATGTATATACCTCTGTGAGACACTAAGTATAGCTCCCTATATACCACAGTACGTATGTACCTCTGTGAGACACTAAGTATAGCTCCCTGTATATACCACAGTATGTATGTACCTCTGTGAGACACTAAGTATAGCTCCCTATATACCACAGTATGTATGTACCTCTGTGAGACACTAAGTATAGCTCCCTATATACCACAGTATGTATGTACCTCTGTGAGACACTAAGTATAGCTCCCTATATACCACAGTATGTATGTACCTCGGTGAGACACTAAGTATAGCTCCCTATATACCACAGTATGTATGTACCTCTGTGAGACACTAAGTATAGCTCCCTATATACCACAGTACGTTGTACCTCCGTGAGACGTATGAGGCTCTCCAGCTGCCGCGTGGTGACTGGACTGCTGACTGCACCGTGTCTCGAGCGACGCAGATCTTTGTAAAACTTCTGCAAAAATACACACCTGCTGTAAGCATCCATTTGGTACAATCATAGACACTTTCTAGAGGTGCTGAAATTGCTCGGATCACAACACAGGACAAAATGTTTTATGGATGAAAAATGTTTTTAAGTGCACCTGGAGAATTTTGGCTGCATCTTCGGTGAGCCGAGGATGGACGTAGTTTCTTGCATATCCGACATACCTGCGGTGAGAATGAGTACAGACTTCAGTGAAACCTCTGAATGAGGATCCTCACAACAAAGGACACCTCTCTATAATGGACACTTTAGGTCTGCCCAATGCTGATAGTATCTCTGAATAAGAGACATCTATGTATGAACAGTTTGATGGCTCCAAGGTTTACTGTATACATACTATATACTAGTTAATGGAGGCCCATACTTTCTGAAGAGTGGAGCTGGAATGGGGTCGAAGTCAGACCCGCGAGTCAGTTTCAGATCTTCGACGAGAGTTCTTTCATCGCCGCCGTCGTCCAATTGGAGTACAGATTGGGGGGTTTCCCTCCACGACGACCCAGCCGCTGAATCCTTCTGTCCGCGGCTGGAGTTAGCTCCCGAGTGGAGAGCCATGACATGTTCAGAGAGGATAGAGTCCGTCTCCTCATCTGGTTTATCCAGTAGAATAAAGACCTGTAATAACCAACAGAGTCTGGGGAAATGGAGAAGTCTTGGATGAGGGAAAAACAGGCTCACCAAATCAAATCTTGAGAGCAAGGCAGAGCTCATCCTAGACGTGAGAGTGATAAGGATGGGTGGAAAGAGAAAGAGAAGGAGAAAGAGAATGAGTTTACTTGTGAGAGAGAAAGAAAAATAAGTAATAAGCGTGAAGGAGAGGATCAATATAAATGGACATGAGTTCTTGTGAGAGAGAAAAGAATGAGAAAGTGATAGGGAGAGAGGGAGGGAGATGGAACTGACTTTAGATTCTCTGAGACGGTCTTGGCCTTGTTGTAGTGGCCTCCTGTAGGGTTGGCTGCGGCGAGAATGGAGGTCCTTGCGGGCAGACTGCAGACCACCCCTCCCTTTGCCAGACCCACACTCTGCTGATCCTGCCATTTTGAACATTCCGCAACCTCATTTGGACCGATTCAGTTTGTACATGTGTATAGTTGAGTGAAGTGTGTGTGGATGTTGTGTATTATACCATGGCCTCAAGTAGAGCATGATGTTGACCTCCCATCTTGTCAAACTCGTCAATACAACAACACCCTGTGATTAACAAAGCATTAGTAAAAATTCATGAGGATTCACATACACAAATCGAGGCAGTACAAGAGTTGTTTTGATTTGAGGGGCTTTTTGGAGAATGCCCCCCTTTCCCCCGGAAAAGAGCCTGAATTTCACTAATGCAAATTCTCTTTGCCCAGAAATAGATACAGTCTAGAGACCTTGATCGGACAGAACGAGGGCTCCGGCCTCGAGTGCGAAATCTCCGCCTCCCGCCTCCTTGGAAAGAGCGACCGTCAGTCCTGCTGTACTCGTGGTACTGCCGCACACGTACACCCCTCTTGGAGCCAGGGTAGCTGCAGACTGGAGCATCTGTAGTGGGTGGGGGTCATGTGAGAGTCACATGACGGTCACATGATGTCACCTGACTCTTTCCAAGGCCCGGGTCTCCCACGATAAGAATATGAGGGTCACCTCGGATCGGGATGTTGTTCTAGAAAAAGAAAACAAATTTGCGACAACAACAAACATGTAAACAAACGAGAAACTATGCATACACAGCACAAAAAAGACGAAAATGTGGCAAAAAGTTAACAAAATATGTACAAATGGCAAAAAAGTGTAAACAAGATGTAGAGTTAAGGACACAAACAAACAAGAGTGTAAACAAAAACAAGAGTTGTTTACCTGACTGTCTGCGTATTTCTGCGTTCCACCAAACAGACCAAGAACCAGTCCAGCCTTCACCATCTCACGGCCGTATATGGTGGGACTGAGGGAGCTGTGAGCAATGGATGAGGAAGAGAGGGGGGGGACGAATAGAAGGTATGAAGGAAAGGGAGAGAGAACTTACTTGACTAGGAGACGGAAGACGTTATTGTCTTCATGGATCTCACAAATAGCACAATAATCCTGCAGTTAAGAGTCAGAATCATTAACCTCCCATCAACCCTACACGGTGGAACCCCTCTCTGAGAACACCCCTGGGGTGAAGACACCTCTCTAATAAGGACACATTTTCTTTCTCCAAGAACAGTTCTTGCTATCTCTGAAATATGGACACCTCACTGATATAGACACTTTCTTCTGTCCCACTGGTCTCTGGATTAGAGGGGTTCCACTGTATATATACTGTAAATACCTTGGTAGAGAACTGCATGTGGGTGATATCAGGTCCCCTGCTGTTGGTGACCGACACGGCATCCAGATACAGCAGAAACATGCACTTGTCTTTGCTCTGCCTTCCGTGACCTTTCACCAGCATAGTACAAAGCAAATGGTGGTAGCAAATTTTAGTGAGAACCCATCGCAATTAAGGCAAAATTGTAGCTACATCTCTGTAAGTTTGGTTGCGTGGCCACTCCATTATCGACAGTAACTTCCTAGGGTGGATTGCACTGCATTCTCCAGCTATATTAAAGGTATTCAGTATGGTTAGTTGACATTTTCTTGACCCAACTTGCTTGCTAAAAGAACGAAAAATTGAGTCCACCCCACCTTCGTTTGTGCCGGTTGCCTTGACGACGGCAGTCACGGTAACCATGTCTCCGGGGACGCAAGAGTCGACGAGGTCGGAGGTCAACTCGATCTCGATGGTGCGTGGAATGCGGCCAGCTTCTCTCTGTCGGTCCCCAGCTAGTTCCTGGACCCTGTGTATCAGACTCACCACCATTCATATATACATACAGACGACATTAATTTTCAACACCACCATTAAATATTGTAATTGGGCAGGGGGAGCGATATTTCTGAAGTACGTGATGACCTGATGGTCTGCCAGTCAACGGTAAGAGTCTGTGGAGAGGTCCTCAGCGGAGAGAACTGTCTTCCCCTGCATTCCGGTTCCGGACACGAGACTGGGACTGTGTACTTGCCGTCCGGTAGACTCAACACCTGGGCAGGTACGTACGTATATACATACACCAACAGTACAACATGTTTGTTTTTTCCAGCATTTGACTGCAGCATTTAAAACAACAAACATTTGCATCCAAAAATACCTGCTTCAATGTTATTAAGTACGTACATACGTATGTACAGGGGGAGAAGAAGGAAAAGAGGAGAGAGGGGAGACCTGGGTGCCATGACAAGAGAGGCACTGGAAGGCAATGCGAGTGACAAGTGGTCTGATGTTGCCTGCCCTGACAACCGTTCCTTGGACACACACCAGTTTCCCTGGAAACACAAATTCGTAAAAATATAGAGCAGAAGTAAAATTTTTGCACACTTGTAGCTCACCATAGAGCGGGGCCTTCACATTCTTCAATAGGGTGATAGGATTGTAGTTGAAGAGCCTGGAAACATTTTTGAGAGTCGACTGAATATTTTTAAGGGTGTGCTTAAAATTTAGAGGTCTTCCTACCGAATGTGGAGTGGAGGTGAGTCAGTAGGTGAGTGGGAAGGCAGGAGAACGCTGCATTCTTCCTCTCCCTCCTTCTCTCCTTCTCCTTCTATATCTCTTTCTCTCTGGCTCTCAGATTGCAGCATCGACGTCAACACCTAAATGACACCTACTGCTAGCTTGCACACACAACAATAAAACAATCCCTTTCCCTGTGCTGTATGTGTACAGGCCCGGCAAAGCAGTGAAGTAAGCATTCAAAGGGAACGTGACAGTACGGAGCCAGTGAAAGATGGCAGGTTTTCTTAGTAATATAGCCCTTATATTATACTTTTCACAAACATACACACAATGTTAATGGAAGACAGTAGACTAGACACTGACAGTGTGGAGGGCCAGAGCCATGCAGTTGAGAGTGGTCTCGGGTTGGTTCTGAATCAGGTCAGGCAGGGACGGAATGGAGCCCAGCAACACTGCAGGTGGCAGCACAGTACACACAGTATACAGTGGAACCCCCTCTAAGGACACCCTTGAAACGAGGACACCTCTCTAATAAGGACACCTTTCTTTCCCCAAGAACAATTATTGCATGAAATTTACCACTTTCTATTGGTGTCTGGATTAGAGGTATTCTCTGAAAATCATAAAGTATTAAATATACCTTCATCTGCTATCAAAGTGGCGTAGTCTAGTGGAGCAGAATTTGTGGCTTCAATCTCATCCTGGATTTGTCAAGGATTGCATCATCATTACATCGCCGGTAATTAATCAACAGACGCACCAGATTGTAGGCATGGAGGTGAGATTTGAAGTAGTCGACAAACGCACTCACCCTGTTTGTCAGTGGTGTCTGCTCTGAAGGAGCTGAAATGATGATGTCACACGAAATAATTTATTCATTCACAATTTTTAGAGCAAAATCTGCTAAACCTGACAAATTTAGACAATCATCTTCAAAGGTATCCAGCAATAAAATTGTTGTGTTGTATTGTACCTTCATTGGGGAGGTATTTCTTCCAGGCTGGGTAGGTGGTAGATTGGATGGCTGACTGACCCACACAACTGGTTGGACCAGCTATATATGTACATGGAGACAATGAAGAAGTCATGTCATAGCCAAGGTTCATCTTGCATGAAATGTATACCAGAGGCCCAACGTATGGAAACCAAACTTATAGTTGCACCAACTAGGAAATTGTGTGTATTGTTATTGTTGTTGTTTGTGTGTGTGATAGGCATACGGGGATGTGGAGGGTGGGGGGTAGACAGCTTCTGGCTTGATGGAGCAGCAGCTGGACTGAACTCTGTTTCTGGTCTCTCGGTGCGACTGTACCCCCTCCCTCTTCTTCCTCTCCACCCTCTCCAACGGCCACCTCCCCTCCCCCTCCACGGCCTTCCTCGACTTGGACCACTGGCCGACGACATATATCTGGTTGTTTTTTCGCGCCAATTTCCCGCCGGCGCGCGGAAATGCGCGCGCATTTAACACCACACCACCGCGTGTGTGTACACGTGGGAATGCAATCTTCCCGCGCTTGCTGCTGAAGGGCAGCCTGTAACGTAAACGCATCTTCTCTACACGCCTTGCAGCACGTTTTCGAACCGACATAAGTAAGTTTGCTCGAGCTCCCCTCTCGCGCGCAGGTGAACGTGTAGGTATTCAATTACCCATCGGCTCTATCTTCCCTTCGCAGGTGAAGGAGCGCAAGGTGGTGAGGAGCCATGAAGTACATCCTGGTCAGCGGAGGAGTAATTAGCGGCGTCGGAAAGGGGGTCATCACTAGCAGCATAGGGACACTGCTGAAGTCCGTGGGACTCAAAGTAACCGCCATAAAGATAGACCCGTATCTGAACATTGACGCTGGGACCTTCTCTCCCTACGAACATGGTAATTAGAGCCTACAATTCATTAGCTGCTGTGTAGATGCATGTAGACTGCCAGAGTGTGATTAAGAGTTGTTTGGGTGATTGCCAAATTCCTTTGCGTTGGTTTTATGTATTCATTGCAGCTGCTATCAGATGCAGATCTCTGTTATCCTGTTCCATTTGGGTCAAAATTAACCACAAATACATGCTCACACACACACACACACACACACTTACAAAAGGTGAGGTTTTTGTATTAGACGATGGCGGAGAAGTGGACCTTGACCTCGGCAACTACGAGCGTTTCCTTGACGTCACCCTCCACCGCGACAACAACATCACGACGGGGAAGATATATCAGCACGTGATCGAGAAGGAGAGAAAGGGCGACTATCTTGGAAAAACGGTGCAGGGTAAGTATGACACATCTCTGTGATAGCGGGAAACTTCAACCAATAAAAAACTTTGGAGCAAATTTGTTTAGTTCTTTTTTCTTGTGGGTACACCACCTCCCTCCCTCTTCCTATCTCTCTCTCTCTCTTTTGTAGTTGTTCCACATGTGACTGATGCCATTCAAGACTGGATAGAGCGTGTTGCCATAGTACCCATTTCCGGAGACGACCAACCTCCAGACATCTGCGTAATCGAGGTTAACAACAATTAGTGTTTGCAGTTAAAACCCCTCTCTAAGGACACCCTTGAAATGAGGACACCTCTCTGATAAGGACACATTTTATTTCCCCGAGAACAGTTTCTTGCATGCAAAAATAAACCCCTGAAATAAGGACACCTCATAATTTTCTTCTGTCCCACTGGTGTCTGGATTTGGTTTCACTCTATACTGTACGTGACTTCTACACAGCTTGGTGGAACTATAGGTGATATTGAAGGAATGCCCTTTGTGGAGGCCTTCAGACAGTTTCAGTTTAGAGTTGGTCTGGAGAACTTCTGCAACATCCACGTCAGTCTCGTGCCCCAGGTGAGAATGTGGGACGTCCCGTTTTCCGATGTTCCACCAACCCCACATTGATCATGTGACAGTCACATGGTTGCAATGATGTAAATGGGAGTTTCTTCACCTGAGCTGCCCTATCACAATAATTGTGGCACTCTGGAGACAAGTATGACATTATTGACTGAGCAACCTGTCTCTAATAAAGAGGAAGTGACTGCTCTTTTCCTGGTATCTAATACTTCCTGTGTATTGGAGTGGGATTTGTAACTCTGACCTTTTGTGGGGGATCTCCCTCTCTCTCCCTCTCTCTCCAGCCAAGTGCCACTGGAGAGCAGAAGACAAAGCCGACGCAGAACAGTGTCCGCCAGCTGAGAGGACTAGGACTCTCCCCTGACCTAGTGGGCCCCATTTTCTCCCCCTCCCTCTCTCTTGCTTTCCACTCACTCTCTCTCTCTCCCTCTCATCCCTCCCTCTCTCTTGCTTTCCATCCTCCTAAATTGGTACCCTTCTCCACTCACTCTTTCTCTCTTCTCTTTCTCCCTCCCTCTCTCTCCTAAATTGGTACCCAGTTCTCCACTCACTCTTTCTCCCTCCCTCTCCCAGATAATCTGTAGAAGTCAGAAGCCAATAAGCGAATCAGTCAAAAGCAAGATTTCCAATTTCTGCCACGTCAAAGCCAGTCAGGTTTGAACTCCTTACTTCTGTGGACAATTCGGACCAGGCAGTACTGTTGGAGGCACTGTAATATCGTATTTCCAACTTCAAAAGAATTCATAACTAATATGGCAAATTTGCAGGTTTATTGACTGGCAGACAGTTGATGAACATACAGTAATAATATTGGTATATACAATGAATCCTTATCTGCTTGCTTTAGTCCATAATTTTGAAATTGGTGTGTTTTTCTAGTTAAATGAGCAGCATTATCAAGCAGTAATTGATGGTATGTACGTATATATGAGAGAAGGTGTGGTGGTGTCTGCAGGTGGTGGCCGTGCACGACTGCTCCTCAATCTACAGGGTGCCCCTACTCCTCCAAGAACAGGGCGTTCTGGAGTTCTTCCTCAAGAGACTGGAGATCCCGGTGCGCCGTACTCGACCCAGCTACCTACACAAGTGGAAAAACCTCGCCGACAGGTCAGTTCAGTGGAGCCCCTCTCTAATGACATTCATTACTCTGTCTATCATTACACCACCCGTCTTATTTCTATTTATAGGCACGACTCCCTCCAACAGGAGGTAAAAATAGCTCTGGTTGGCAAGTACATAAAGCTGGAAGATGCCTACATATCAGTCATAAAGGCTCTCCAGCATGCGGCCTTCTCCTGTCGACATAGACTGTCCCTCATAGTAAGTCCCTTCTTTATACTCCGCAACTCATTTATGAACACTGCAAAAAGCAATTTTTTTTTTGGGGAAAATATTCACTAATCCAGCTAAGCATTACCTCCGCAACTCAAAAATATTTATGAATCCTGTCCTGCAAAAAAAAAATTTTTGCCGTTTTCCACTAATCCAAAGCCTTTCTAGGTGAGACATTTACTATCAAAACCTAAAACCCTTTCTGTAGAAAGTGGAGTCGGATGATCTCGAGGAAGACTGCTTGTCATGCGAACCTATCAAATACCACGACGCCTGGAAAGCCGTCTGCACCGCCGAGTAAGCCTCGTTGATGATGTAATGGTTATGTCGTTCCTCCAATCCTCTTGTTTGTGACGTAATGATTACATCATTGTCTTCTTTTCCTCCGATCCTCTTGTAATGTAATGATTACATCGTCACATTCCTTTCTTCTGATGCTGTTGTTGATGACGTGTCATGTCTCCCCAGTGGTATTTTGGTCCCCGGGGGGTTTGGCCAGCGAGGTACGGAGGGAAAGATAAAGGCTGTCAAATATGCCAGAGAGAAAAAGATTCCATATCTTGGTCAGTTTTACCGACCGTTGAACGAGTTATTTTATATGTAGAGTGCTATTGTCCCTCGTGGCCTCCAGTGCCTCCTCCAGTGTCCTCCTCCAGTGTCCTCCATGGCTTGCAATGATGATGTCAAAAACGAGTCAGATTTCAAATGACGAGAAAAAAACGAGCTTTTTAAGTCTGAGCAAGCCATTAGTTGTGAATATAGATTTTGCTAGTTTGACAGAGGAAGCTGATATACACGCTAGCGCAAGTTTCATAGTTTTTTTGTTGTATATGCAGGAGTGTGTCTTGGACTGCAAATGGCAGTCATAGAACTTGCCAGAACCGTCCTCGGCTGGACGGATGCTCAGTCGACCGAATTTGACAAAAACACCACTCACCCAGTGGTAATGGGAACACACAGCACACTCGAGGACAAGTTTAAACAGTGGGGCCCCTCTCTAAGGACACCCCTGAAATGATGACACTTGTCTAATAAGGACACCTTTACTTTCCCCGAACAAGGGCACCTCACTAATATGGACACTTTCTTCTGTCCCATTGGTGTCTGGATTAGAGGGGTTCCACTGTATTATATCTGTCTATTGTTTGTATGTAGGTGATAGAGATGCCGGAACACAACCCAGAGCAGATGGGAGCTACCATGAGACTCGGGAAAAGAAAAACCGTCTTCACTGATAATTCATGCACCATCAGTTAGTATTTCACATTTCTATATCCACGTGGTGTTCATCTTCTCTCTTGTCTTCTACCTCCCAGAAAAGCTCTATGGTAACAAGGCTTCTGTCGAGGAGAGACATCGTCACCGATACGAAGTGAACCCCAAGTATGTGATGGATCTGGAGGAGAAAGGGTTAAAGTTTGTGGGGAGGAGCACGGATGGCCAGAGAATGGAAATTCTGGAACTAGAAGGTGGGGATTTGAATTGATGGATTTTCGTGAGATAGGGATAGTGACTGGGAGATAGAAATGGGAATGTGGCAGTACATAAGGGCTAAATTTATAAATGTTACTAAAGATAGGGAAAAAACAATAGGGGCACAGTGAAAGAGTTACTGTTTTAGTAGCATTTCTAAGTTGAGCCATTATATATGCCCACATTCCCTTTGATGACAGCGAAGTAAGGCAAGATGTACCCTCTCCCTTTTCCCCTCAGATCATCCGTATTTTGTGGCGGTGCAGTTCCATCCAGAGTACCTCACTCGTCCAATGTTCCCCTCGCCCCCCTTCCTGGGCCTCATCATGGCGGCCTGCGGCAAACTTGAGGCGTTCATCTCGAGAAACTGCCAGCTCTCCCCGCGAGCAAGCTACGAATACGACAGTGAAGAAGACGACGAGGTCACGCAAGCTCTTTACTCTCGAGACAGTAAGAGCCCTGCCACCGCCCTCCCCGAGATTACTATATTTGCAGCACCACAGAACTGAATCTCACCGGATTTCTGTTTGGGAACACTTGTAATTTTTTAATTGACTTTCTTGCCACGTTTTTACTCGGATTATTTAACACATGTCAAAATTATCCATTCTTCTGCCTCTTTCAAATTTTATGGTTGAGTTCCGAAAAGCGTCAGGACCCAACGCAGCATGATCCTAATTGATGCGCATCACCCGCGGCACGTGTTTGTGCGCATGCGTACACTACCCCTTTTCGGCGAGAGAGATAAACATGGTGAGTGGTAGCATGGCTATGATATCCACCTGTTGCTAGCAATTGAGCAGCATCAGCGGTACGGTAGGTCCACACTCGTCATCTTCAATGATATCTTTTGCAGGCGCGGGGCCCCAAAAAACACCTGAAGCGTTTCAACGCTCCGAACCACTGGATGTTGGACAAGCTCTCGGGCCGATACGTAAGTGAACCAACTTACACTCAAAATGCCGTTTGTGATGTGTGTGAGCGTACGTGAAACGTTACTAGTCTCTGTATGTATGTTTCTAAGGCGCCGAGGCCGTCTACCGGACCGCACAAGTTGCGAGAATGCATCCCGCTGGTCGTGTTTCTTCGGAACCGCCTCAAGTACGCGCTGACGGCGGACGAGGTGAAGAAGATAGTGAAGCAACGGCTCATCAAGGTAGACGGGAAGGTGCGGACGGACCCCACTTACCCTGCAGGATTCATGGGTGAGTGAGTGTGTCAGTTTTAGGGATTCAGTGGAGAAAGTAACGGCAGTGGTGAAGTGCAATTCAAGTGGCGTGCACATTTTATCTCTTCCCCCCTCTTCCCTCTCTTACCCAGATGTAGTGACAATCGATAAGACGGGAGAGAATTTCCGACTCCTGTACGACGTGAAGGGAAGGTTTACAGTCCACAGAATCATGACCGAAGAAGCAAAAGTAAGCCATTACCATCATGTAAAGAGAACGTTTCCACATCTTATGGAAATTGGTTGTTTTGCAAGTTTTTGCCCTGAGCATCCCAAGGATTGCTTGGTCTACTTTACAGAAGCATGTTCTGTAGGCTAAACCCACTGCTTCGTGTATTGTTGTTCCCTTTTTTGCTCTAGTACAAGCTGGGGAAGGTTAAGAGAGTGGCTCTGGGCCAAAAGGGGGTCCCTTACTGCGTCACCCATGATGGACGCACCATCCGCTACCCGGACCCCGCCATCAAGGTCAACGACGCCGTTCGAATCGACATTGCGAGCGGGAAAATCACCGACCACATCAAATTCGACGTGGGGAACCTGTGTATGGTCACGGGGGGCAGGAATTTGGGTCGTGTGGGGGTCATAACGAATCGCGAGCGTCACCACGGGTCCTTCGATATCATCCATGTGAAGGACAGCCTCGGGCACACCTTTGCAACACGATTCACAAATGTCTTTGTATTGGTAAGGGAAATCGATCCATGGTGTCGCTACCCAAAACAGAAAGGAGTGAGGCTGAGCATCGCCGAGGAGAGAGACCGGAGAATCGAGGCAAAACAGGTTGCATAAACCGGTTTAACTGGACATCCCAGCAAACAAATACCCCATGGACCTACGATTGCGTTCTGTACATATTATGTATTATGACGGTTGACGGTGTAAATTGATTAATTTCTAGGATTTTATTCCATGAGATAATGAAAATGATTTGCGCATGCATTGATGTGTGCACATTGACTTCTAAGTTGAAAGTGAATGACTAAGAATTATGTTGTCAAGGAGGGGGTGTGGCTAAGGGTTGTCATGGTGATCAGAGGTAGGGTCGGATTTGACTCCTCTGCTTTTCTCTGTTGCTGCTCTGCCCTCTCCCTCTCACGAAGCACCTGGTAAAAGAAAAATGTTTTTTTGGTGGCTATATAGACTGGGGCATGTCCTGCATGTTGCCACTTTGCAAACTCTAGCTCTAAAATTTTACATCAACCCTGGAAGCTGTTTTTCACCTGTGACTCGCAGAGAGCTCGCAGCTGCTCCTCGAGCTCCTTGTTCCTCTGTCTCAGCCTCTCGACCGAGTCTCTCTGCGTCTGTTCTATCTTCAGTCGGTCTTCGGCTCTGTCTCTCTCCACTTCCAACATCTGGGGGAGTGGAGGGATGGGGGGAGTAGAATGAGGTATATACACAGTAGTTAGTTAGTCGAGGAAGAAGTGACCGATTAGGGGAGAGGGGGAAGAATGAAGTACAAGTCGAGAAGGAAAAGAGAAGGTGACGGGTATATTGTAATATGTACATAAATGTTGCTTCACTTTTTACCTTGCATGTTCTGGTGAGTTTGATCTTCTCCTTTATCAGTTTCTTCTCGCTGTCTCTCAATTTGGTATTGTCTACTGTAAGTGACTGCAACAGACAGAACAAAACACTGATTACAGGGGGGGTGGGGACCTTTAAAAGGACACTTGGTTGGTGCATTGCCTCAGAGGAAGGGTGATTCTAAATAAAGAACACTTTCAATGTACCCAAGGTGTCCCTTATTCAGAGGATGCACAAGCACAGACGCTGCACAAACCTCGACTTTCTTCTTGAGTGACTGGAGTGCCACGTCGGTGTCGGATCTCGTCCGGCGAATGTTTCCGCCAAAGCTATCGACCGAGCGTTTGCTGCTGCTGAGATGGTGGTCGCGATGCCTTCTGAGGTCCTCGAATGACACCGCGTGGGGGATGGCAGACCCACCTGGTACAGTGAATTCTCTCTGCTTTTTCTGCTTCTCCTGCGAATAGGGTTTTAGTTTGCTTTGCGACAAAACTACTTCACTATACTACCAGCACTACTTTCTGTACTGTATATATAATATATACTACTGTGAGATTACACTAACTGAGGTGTGGTTGAGAATCATCTCAGTGTGTGGAATATAATACTACTGTGAGATTATACTAACTGAGGTGTGGTTGAGAATCATCTCAGTGTGTGGAATATACCTGTAGCAAGGGAGGGACGCCAGTGTCCGTCGCGTCGATGTTTCGATCGGCCAGCTGCATCTCCTTCAGGTACCTCTTCAATTCAGCACACTCCCTTCGCAACATGACCATCCTCCTCAAACCCAGCCTAAATACACCTGTAGAACCACAAGACTGGAAGATTCCTCCACGTTCACCCATGACTTTACAAAACACCTAGTCTTCAGTAGGTTCCACCCTTCATCTTGTGTGTAAGGAGAAAGTGGGGTTGGTCTTACTTTACGAGGCCACAAAACACCTAGTCTTCAGTAGGTCCACCCTTCATCTTGTGTGTAAGGAGAAAGTGGGGTTGGTCTTACTTTACGAGGCCACAAAACACCTAGTCTTCAGTAGGTCCACCCTTCATCTTGTGTGTAAGGAGAAAGTGGGGTTGGTCTTACTTTACGAGGCCACAAAACACCTAGTCTTCAGTAGGTTCACCCTTCATCTTGTGTGTAAGGAGAAAGTGGGGTTGGTCTTACTTTACGAGGCCACAAAACACCTAGTCTTCAGTAGGTCCACCCTTCATCTTGTGTGTAAGGAGAAAGTGGGGTTGGTCTTACTTTACGAGGCCACAAAACACCTAGTCTTCAGTAGGTTCACCCTTCATCTTGTGTGTAAGGAGAAAGTGGGGTTGGTCTTACTTTACGAGGCCACAAACCACCTAGTCTTCAGTAGGTCCACCCTTTATCTTGTGTGTAAGGAGAAAGTGGGGTTGGTCTTACTTTACGAGGCCACAAAACACCTAGTCTTCAGTAGGTCCACCCTTCATCTTGTGTGTAAGGAGAAAGTGGGGTTGGTCTTACTTTACGAGGCCACAAAACACCTAGTCTTCAGTAGGTCCACCCTTTATCTTGTGTGTAAGGAGAAAGTGGGGTTGGTCTTACTTTACGAGGCCACAAAACACCTAGTCTTTAGTAGGTTCACCCTTCATCTTGTGTGTAAGGAGAAAGTGGGGTTGGTCTTACTTTACGAGGCCACAAACCACCTAGTCTTCAGTAGGTCCACCCTTCATCTTGTGTGTAAGGAGAAAGTGGGGTTGTGGTCCCGTGAGCTAAGGACTTCCCTCACCTGTGACTTCCTGGGCCGTCTCTGTGGCTCTGTTGTGCTGCCATATCTGCTGCTCGAGACACAGCACGACTTGCTCCCCGCACAACGACACCTTCTCGCACGCACTGAGCACCCTGCACAGACCGACACACACGCATCCGTCAGCGTCACACAAAAGACGATCATACAGCATACATACGCTGACGTATGTAGTACAAATACTCCACTGCGACCACATTCCCCACCGTTCAAGATACTACCGGGAATAGACGCACCTCGTTTTGTCCTCCGGAGAGCTGTCTGCGGTCTGGCGCAGCTCTGTCAAGGCCTGGAAGAATGTCTGGACCTTGTCCAGCGGACTGAGGTAGAGGTCCCGCCTCCGTAGGGCCTCCGAAGACAAAGCTACCTCCCCCGTAGCCATTGTACTCGAAACTACTCTATGTCTGAAACGAGGCAGCCCGCTGAGGGACAGAACGTGGTTACGCGGCCATCTTTCTCTTCGTACCCCAATTATTGCGCACTAGCGCACCATACGTTTCTCTAAATAAAGCGCAACCTTTGAGTGCTAAAAATGAGGGTGATATAGTTATACTCTGCAGTAGAGTCTCAGTGTGTGGAGAGCTAGTGGCCTGTTTCCACTGGCTCTGTAGAGAAGAGAGAGGTTGAAGGCTGCCTCTGGTCTGAGATCACACTCCACTCTCCACTGCAGTAAATGGGCAGAAATGGATCTAGTGCTGTATGCAAACTTTCCTAAATAGAGAACAGACTAAACTGTAAAATATCTAGGCTGCTATCAGAGAGTAAAACCTGAGGCGTGTTGTTTTCTGGTTCCAGAGACAAGACTTGTCTGTAGAAATGACAGGCTGCATGAACCACACCTGAAGAACGATACATGGGAGTGAGAATAATGACGGTGGATGGGGTGTGGGTGTAGGGGAAAGAGAATAGATAGACGTGGGGGGAAGGGTTAGAATAAGAGTACACTGACCAATCTGATGCAAGGCACGGCCGAGATTGTACATCGACTCCTGACATTTCCCCCTCAGTCGCAGGTACTTGTGCAGGAACCCCATTCCCTATGACATCACAGTTACATCATCAACAATGCAAACACATCACTATACCACACGAGTTTCAATGCAGCGACCCTAACACACCCACATGCATGTTAGAAAAACCTGTAAAACCAGTTGGTTTCGTTGCGTAGAGCCTTTCTGAGAGGCCATGTTGAAGTAGATGCAGCCGATGCACAGACAGGTGAGGTAGCTGGATGACAGCTGTCTGTGCGCCTGCTCGTAGAGACAGAGAGAAAATCTGTAGTTGTTGGTCGCCAGGGAGTAGTTGGCGTGGATCGCCAGCAACATCTGGTTTGACGGGTGCTGCACGAGCAAAAACCAGTTTTAAAAACTAGACAATACCTGACTGATATAGTAATTATTACCTTGAAGCAGAGACGAAGGAGGTGTTTCTGGTAACCCTTGGCGAGAGGCAGGGAATTCAACATGTTCCACAGCATTGGGTGGTTGTACTGAGTAAAAACCACATGCGACGTATACTGTGTGATAACTAAGTTTTTTTGTAAGTTGGTAGAAAAGAATTTGGTGAACACTGGATGAGATAGGGACCTACACTGCTCTATCTCTAATTAATGATCACTAGGGTCTGAGGGTGTTAGTGTCCTTCTTTCTCTTCTGTATACAAACTTTTGCAGGGAAATTCGAATCAACTCTCAAGCCTGAAAAATTTTCTATATACCTCTAGAACCTCTCAAGCCTGAAACCTCTCAAAAACTTCCTATCCCAACCGTTTATTTTCACACGTGATGCTTGTTGGTTTGTTTGTTGTGTGTATATATGTAGTGATACACGTACTTTGGTGCTGACTGGCTTGATCAGGTTGAAAGCAATGTCAAACTCTCTAAACTTGCAGCAAACAGACGATGCAAACATCACGTATTTCTGTAAGAAAATGGATCGATTTTCGGTAAGAAAATGGATCGAGTGTTGGAAATGGAGGAAAGGGATTATTACTGGCTGGCTCACCAGCTCAAGTTCAGGAGTACAGAACGTATTGAGGGTTGCCGCGCAGAGGACCAGGTGAAGTAGCTGCTTCTGATAGGTCTCTCCCATCTTTAGCAACCCCTTACATGTCTACAGAGAGGAGAGAGAGAGAGAGAGATGGGAGGGAGGGAAGAAAGAAAGACATTGTAAGAGTTCGATATGAGGGTTACATACATATCTGTGAAAATATTTCGTCAAACTTTTTTGCCCGCCAAATAAAATTGCTGGTATCTCGAAGAAAGGTTTACAGCTTTTCCGCCATGTTTGGAGAGAGGGAGAAAGAAGAGAGAGGAACTGACTGTGAGAAAGAGAGTCCACCATTCGGAGATGGGGAGGAGGGTGTGGCCGACATTGGCTGTCACTGGTCCCAGCTTCTCTGACAATGACTTGGTACTGAGATGCATAATGGCTGTGTGCGGCAAGAGGAGGGGTGAGGGGAGAACGAGAGAGAAGGGAGTGAAGGAAAGAAGGCGGAAGAGGGAATATATGATGGTTAATCCAGACACCAGTTTGACAGAAGAAAGTGTCCATATTAGTGAGGTGTCATTATTTCTGAGGTAGAATTGCATGCAAGAACTGTTCTTGGGGAAATTAACAAAAGGTGTCTCATTAGAGAGGTGTCCTCATTTCCTTACGGAGTGTATGTGTGTACAAACCTCTGAGGTCCTTTCGATGGAAGACATCTCTGAACAGAACAGTGAGTAGAGAGAGGCCGTCAGCCACGTAGCTACTGACTCTGCCACTGGTGACTAGCACAGTGTACCGGTGCAGTAACACCCTCAGACCCTGGTGATCATTAATTAGAGATAGAGCAGTGTAGGTCCCTATTTCGCCCAAATTTCGCTGTCCCCCCTAAATAAGGGTGTCAACGATTTCGCATTTTATGTAGACACAAGAGTGGAAAAAAAGACAAACCAACTATCTTAATACTTTGACTACAGTTGGAGTATGGAATGGTAACATCTTCTATCTCGCTGCACCTATCGCTATCTCTCCCAAATTTCGCTGTACCCCCTTAATAAAGGTGTCAACGATTCAGCATTTGTTGTAGGCACCAGAGTGGAAAAAGAGACAAACCAACTGTCCTTAATACTTTGACTAGTGTTGGAGTATGGAATGGTAACATCTTCTATCTCGCTGCACCTTTCCCTATCTCGCCCTAGTGATCATCATCAATTAGAGATAGAACAGTTTAGGCGGAAGTGATAAAGTAATACCATACAATTTCTTTGGACGTGTGGCAGGCGCATCCTCACCTCAAGAGTGTAATCAGGCTGATCTTGTGGTCTCGTCAGCTCAGAGCCGTCCCCACTCGTGCATTCCTCTGCAGTCTCCATGGCGATGGGGAGGTGGAGCTCGGCGTGCTCCGACTCCAGAAGTCCAAGAGCATCCTCTACTCTCCCCAGCTGCACATAGATTGTGGCCAGAGCCAGGCTGGAGGAGGGTTCAGTAAACTCGACAAAACTTTGGTAAAATACGAAACAACAGACCGTGTGTCGGTATGGTGTGGGGCCAGACTGAGAACATGGGAATAGGACACGGCAGCTCCCTCCAGATCCTGCAGCGTGTGAAGGCAGTCTGCGTGTTTCAACCACACCCCCGCCTGGTTGTAGAGACTCGTCTGAACCAGGGAGGAGAGGAGAGGGAGGGCAAGGGAGGGCGAGCCTGGGGAGGAAGGGAAGAAAGTGGCAAGATCAGGGTTTTTTATAGTCTTGTTCACAACAGACTCTCTAAAAATGAGGAAACTTGGTGTGTAAGACTAGGTTTTGCAAGGGGGAAGGAAGAAATAGGATATTTGTATTGCGAGACAGCAATCTGTTTTCTCCACATAATTGTCATTTGCTACCGAATCGTTAAAGCCTTTCTATACACCTTCTATAAGAGTGGAAGGAAATGCAATAATACGTGGCAATAGCAGTGCCCTACCAGTCTCAGTATATGCCTCGGCTAAATCCAGAAAGAGATCTCCATATTCCTCTGGGTGAGCGGTGACGGAGGGAAGGAGGGAGGAGGGGAGGGGGAGGGAGAGGTGGACCATTGCCACAGCCAGTTTCACTCTCATGTCAACTGGAAGATCGTCCGGTATCGCTAGCTCTGAGCTCCTCCCCCTCTCCTCTTCTCTCTCTCTGAACCTCCCTCCCAAATATTCCTCCTCATCTTCTTCTTCGGTGTCGCCCGAGAGAGAGACTCGAATTGCCGAGCTCAGCATTTGTTGGAACGAATGCCCGTCGTTGTTGGTGGGCGGGGTCTCGTGGTCATGTGACGACTCGGACATGTTTGGTTGCTCGGGAACCATATTGTAGTATGCTATCAGCAACTGCAATGTAAAGGGGTAACAGGAGTGAAATGAAAGAGAGATAATGGATAAGTACAGAGAGATAGTACAGCGATAATAGTGTTGCTATTCCACCACACTCCAACCATATTCAAAGTATTAAAGATGGTCTTTACTTACACTCGGGAAGTGCAAAGTTCACCGTCTTCTACATACGACATACCTCAAATGCACCCTTGTAGTTCTTGGTGGAGAGGTATAGCTCCACTAGTAGATGAATAGCCTCCTCGTCTGCAGCCGACATATGGGAGTGTATGGCGGTGTGGAGGATATCAATAGCACTGTGAGAATCACTGCATTGATGATAGTATAGCTGCAGAGAGAGGGAGGGAGGGAGAAAACTACAGCTCCAATATGGAGGGAAGACAGGAGGGGGAAAGAATATCCGATTAGAGAGAGAGAAGTGTATACATCTTACTTGTGCCATCTCCTTGGAAACTTCCAGTATGTCACGGCTGTTGCCAGGAGACAACATCTGCATAACAAACCATTTCGTTTTTCCAAAGGTGGAAATATTAGTATGCGTTGCCAAATACAATAGCTCTTTGGGCCATCTACGTGTACATGTACCAACCACTTTACTTGGCATATTATTTTAAACTTTTCTTCCTAACCTGTAGCAGCTGTTTGTAAGTGGTCACTGCCTTCCCGGTCTCCCCCGACAACTGGTACACCGAGGCCTTCCTCCAAATGAACGGCAGGTTTCCAGGCTCCAACTTACACGCTGCATGCATACATACAACACACATACATACATACTATGCCATATTTGGCAAGTAAAACAGATCCACTGTGCAATAGAGTGGCCTGAAGTCAGGGGGGAAAATCTGTACAACTGGCATGAACAATAAACATTGTAATACAGGTCCTGGAGTCCCGGGGGTTAACAACATAATACTGTGCGTTAACACATATAGCTAAGCAATGCGGGGCAAATAAGCACGTATACGCCCCTCCCTCCCTTCTCCTGCGCAGACCTTGCTGGTAGCATCGGGAGGCCAGAGAGAGATTACTAAGTTCCACGGCCAACTGGCCAGCCTTCGCCCACAACTCCACATCCGATCTCTTCAAGTGAGCAGATATAACCAAAATCTGCACAAAAAAAACAGCGTGAATTTATCTGAAATGTAGAAGGCACCTCAGGAGCCCAGCAACCACTGATACTTCCACAACACAACGTGAAGGATAGATGCAATACTGCAATACTCACGTAAACTTTGCCAATTTATCTTGCAAAAAGAACGAAAAAATTTCCCACACAAATTGGGAAGGCTCGTTCAAAATTATACAGACCTGCAGTAATTTCTGTGTGTCTCCAGTCTCCTCATAGACGGTGGAGAGAGTGAGGTAGGGCTCTGGGGAGTGAGGGGCTGTGAGAAAGAGAGAGAGAGAGAGAGAGAGAGAGAGAGAGAGAGAGATCTTGGTAAAGCAGTACCAACAGAGCTATGTAGCAGAAGCAATAGGGGATTTGGCTAAGAAGTTAAATGAAGGGGATTGAACACTTGCCAGTCATTGTGTCCCAAAAGACACTAGTTCTAAACATCTATAATACGTATACAATATACACAGTGTAATACAGCTAGATGTGAAAGTGGAGATAGACCTTGTCGGATGACCTCCAGGCAGAGTTCAATGGCCCCAGCTGAGTCTCCCCTGGCCAGTCGCAGGTTTGCCGAACCCATCACTGAGCGGAGGTGAGCTGGCAAGGCACTCCTTCGTCTCGGAACCTGAACAAATCATCCCCTGTGCGTGAAACGTCACAGTTTGCAGCGTTGGACAACGTACGCGGATTCCCTCCGTCATGAGGTTCCGTTTCTGGCGCGTAAGGTCCACGTCTAGCTCTGAGAAGAACTCGTTCATCTGCTCTCTCACTCCCTCGTCCTCTTCATCTTCCTCCCCCGAGCCTTCCCCACCGTCTCCCTCCTCCCCCAGGCTCTCTGGTGCCGCCCCGGTCTTTCTGCGAACGCTTTTTGCGCCGTCCTCTGTCGTGCTGTCATCCCCCGCCGTTGGGTTCTTCTCCTCCAGCCTCGAGCTCTTGGAAGGCCTCGGAGCTTCCATTTCTGTCATATTTGCGCATGCGCGTGGATCAGACACTGCGCCCATGCGCAGGCCAGCATGCTGGAGTTTGGGATCATCATTGCGCGTAACTTTCCTCCTGCCTCTCTCTTGTAAGTCTACTTTACTTCAAAAAATGCAAGCCTCATAGCAGTATCAGTGTGTGCATTGTAAGTTCATGTGTAACTAGCTAACTGTGCTACATCTAAGTAACTATGAAGTTCTGAGTAAGGGAGGATTGCTGGTCTAGAAGAGCGTGTCGGCCTGCTCAAAGTCAGGCTGCTCAGATAGATAGTCAACATACTCCTTTCCGCCCGTGTCTGGCGAGCTGGGCCGGCCGCGGGCAGCGCGCCCGCCGTCTTTCCCCGAGCCCCGGCTGGACCGACTCTGCAGCTCTATTTCCTCTCCCTCAACGCCCGACATCCTCCGCGCGTAGAGCGGGTTGCTGAAGTCGGTGACGTAATCTCTAGTGGAGTATAACGGATTTTGCTCCACTTGATCGTCATGCCACGCTTCTTCTTCTTGACCCACTAGAGCACTGGTGTCTGACTCTCTCTCTGGTTTGCCGATCCAACTTGTTTCACTCGTCACTTTCTTTATCTTCTTCTGTGCACCGACTCCCCTATCCGGTTCATCAACTGTCTCCACTTTTGTCGTCTTCTTATAGATCAGTGCTCCACGGTTTGGATGGACCACTCCACCCATTTCAATACGCTCTCCATCTGCATTTAGTAAAAGAGCCGCAACTGATAATTAAATCTCTCACACTCAATTTTTTCACCTACCGCTCATTGAGTCTGCAACCGAATCGAAATCTCGCAGGCCAGTTCTCTTGTTGAGTCTTCGCTGGTTCTCCCTTTCCCTCAGCCTATAAACAGACAGACAATATTTCCCATATAGCTATCTGATAGTCATCAAAATTTGTTGGCATTTTTGCTGTCCCATTTGAATCACCAAATTAGATGTATTACGGCGTGACCATAAGCTTAAATTTCACTGAGGCCCATGTAAGGCATGATATTATGGCCAGTAATGTCTCCAGTCACAATTTTATAATATAATAACCTTGAGTATCTCTTCCATACGACGCCGAGCACAAGGAGAAGGACTAAGATGATGATGACTGAGTTCAGGACTATGATAACAGCAATGGCCCATGGGGGAATCTTCCGCAGTATCTCCGGCTCCTCGCTGGCCACGTCCACACTCTGTAGGGTTTTAATATTTCTTGTATTATTGTATAGCAAAAGTCTCCAACCAACAATGTAGGTTCGAGTTGCAAGATACTGTATACGTATTATTGTGGGAGGGTCAAATTTTCATATGGTACCCTTTTTAAGAGTATCAAAAGGTCAGCGTACTTGTTGATTGCTGATGTGCATGTGTGTGAAAATCTCTGTTTGCCCAACTGTTTTTTAGTTTATAGTGTTACGGAAACTTACGACAATGTTGACTCCAAGTCTGATGAGTCTATCGTCATCCATGACACTCACAATCCTGCTGTGAAGGTCAGCTGCCGATATGAACTCGTTGTTAGGATTGATCGCATACACTTCCGCCCGAGTGTGCCTACAAATAAACCATTACGTCATCACGACATCATCTGAAATGTGCACACTCACGTGTCATTGATCGCGACTAGTCTCACGACGTAGAGATCGGCAACTTCATCACCGAGGATGTCTGCGAGGACGGCCTCCAGTAGATCAACCTTTCCGACAACTTCGTCGTAAGGATTGGCGAGAGTTAGATCAACAATTTGCTGTAGGTCAAACAGGCGCACGACCAAGCTACACTCAACAGTGTTGGCAGGCTCTCCCTTGTCTCTCACAATAACCACTGCAGTCAGGGCACTCGAGCCCCCCTGTGGAAGAGACCTATAGGTGGAGAGAGACAGAAAGAAAAACGGTGGGTTAGTTTGAAAAGTTGAAATGCTCATATATAGATGGGGTTTGTAACTGTACGAAAGATTGTAGCAAATTATTTAATATATATACCTGCTGGTTGTTAGGGTTCCATCTTGTCCAATGCTGAACAGTAGCTCCTCGTTTTGGAGCCCTTCCTTGATTTCCACAAACTCAATTTCTGCATTCACTCCTTCATCCGCATCTGTCACCTGCAAACACACAACACACACGATACCATACGTAGCTCGAACCCTTTCACTTTCACTAAAAGTCTCACCATCAGACTTCCAACAGGTTCTCCGACTACTACAGTCCTGTCTAGCTGTATGTCTGGTTGAGGTACACACACTGGAGGATTGTCGTTGACATCAGTTACCTCTACCCTCAGCTGCACACAAAAGAAAGGAAGCAGACGGATTATTCGTGGCCCAGGTAGGCAGTAGAAAACCGAGGGCATGGGCTTTGATTATTCATCACCCAGCTAGAAAGAGCCTTTGAAAACCCTGTATAGTCTTTTAAACAATTCTTCTACTAACATGCTTATTACTTGCGTATTAAACGCACTAACCGTGAGGACTGCGATGTTGAGTGAAATGTTGGCGTTGTCTGGCGAGGGTCCAGGGATTAGCAACCCGCCACCACTTCCACTGCTATCTCCGTCCCTCACTACCATTGTTAACTTCCTCCTCCTCTTCTCCCTGCTCTGCACGCCGCTGGGCACCGTTGGTGGCCTCTATAAGCAGTGTGTATGAGTCTATGTCCTCACGATCGAGTCTTCCGTTCAACTCCAGCTCACCACTGGTTGCGTCGAGAGCAAACAAACCATTGAAGTTGAACCCGTCTTTGAATCGGTATTGGATGTTGCTGGTAGTTTGGTCGATTCTCCCACTGTCGTCTTGTAGCACTGCAGTGACCACATGGATGATTTGTCCAAGACTGTCCTCAGGAACAGGTGCAGTGAGTTCATTTGGAACGAAAGTCGGTCGTGAATCGTCCACAATGACCCTCACTGTCACCTCTTCCGAAAGAATTTCGGCTCCACATGCGGGGTTTATCCAGGCGACGCCGATGACTGCCTCTCCCTCGCTCTCTCCTACGAGAATGTTTCCCTCGCTCACCGACACCACGGAGCTGTTTAACGAGTTTACGACGAGTTCGAGCGGGTTTTGAATGAGGGAGCGGTGACCGTCTTTGAACACCACCGAGGCTGTGACAACCGCCCGCTCTTGCAGGAACAGGACACCGCGAAGAATCTGAAGTGAAGCCAATCCCTCTCCCAGCCTCGATTCGGGTACGGAGTCCAGGCTGAGTCTGAGAGTCCCCACGATTGGATCCAGTCTGTGGATCCCTACATCCGTGTCTTCCACTGTTACCGTCGTCACTAGTGATTCGCCGGGGCTCAAATCTAGTGTGATGTTACTCTCTCCTACTTCCCCCGGCATTGATAGTGTGTGATTCCCGGTCTAGTTCTACTACTGCTTCATTTGACACCACAAGCTGTTCAAGAGCAAAAAATTGACACATGACACATTTTGAAACTCGGAAAAAAAATTTTCTTACTTTGTTGGCAATAAGAGGGAGGATGTTGGTGGCAGTAAAGCTGTTGTCTGCTGAGCTGATTACGGCCGACGCTGTGATACGTGCACTCTGGAACTGGTCTTCGCCTAAACAAGCTAAGAGCTGGTTCCATTCTGCAACTCGGCTGAGACGTGAGTCTGTCACCTGCAATTCCACATCCCTGACGTCCCATATGTAGTAGGCCACGCGGTTTGCCATAGTGTGCACAGGGTTGATACCGAGAGTAGTTGATGTAACAGTCACGGTGACTCTGTCAACACTGTTGCTTAGAGAATCTGGTTTCAGACTGATCTCTTGACAGTCAACTGCAGCAATGACATCATCAGTACATCACATACAGATCAATCCTGCAAGACTTCTACTATCTGACACCCGACATAATTATTGAGCTATGAGTTGGCACACACACACACACGCACACACAAAATCCCTTACAATTGACAGCAGTAGTGAGAGCATCGTGTCCACATCCATATCCAGATCTGTCAGTCACAGGTGAAACGGCTGCAGTAGGCTCTTCAACGACGTTGCTGTTTATGGTCAGGAGCGACAAGGGACGGCTGACAGTTGAATCAGAGAGAGCGAGTGTGTTGACGATGTCTGGCTGACGAGCCACTGCAAAATAGGCGAGGGGCCTGATCTCTTCCACAGTGAACTTCTCTTCCTGCAAAGTTATAAGAGTAGAGAGAGTAGATAGAGATTGAACTAGCTGAAGAAAACTTGCTTCACTTCCAACTGAGGCCTGCTATCCTTGTGGTAGCTAACTAAATTTACATTTATGCAGGCAACAACTTACAATATTTGACTGCTGGAAGATCAGGTTTTCGTCAAATCTCAGGTCAATACTGCAAAGACAAAGTAACAGTTATGTTCTTTTCTCCATGAAAGAGTGAGTGGTGAGAAATTCAATTTTGTGAAATCTACCTCAAGGAGATGGATCCTATCTGGGCAGTGTCTGCTGCAATGAAAGAGAGCTCTGTTATTCTGAGAGGACTACCCAGAGGAAGATCCCCCAATAGACACACCACACTGTTATCCTGTTTTGCTAGAAGTAGAGAGATTACATGAAACATTAATTTGTCAAAATCTCGACGGATGTTTTGAAACTTACTGCAATCCCAAGTGTTGTCGCTGGAGACAGAAGTGAAGGTAGCACCGGTTGCACTGACGGTGAAGTCGATTCTGTTGTAGGCCTCGTAGAGATAGGGGCTTATGGCGTACAGCTCTGCAGTGAAGGTGCGACTGGGAAACACAGAGTGTGCTGGAGGAATGAGCAGAACCTGCTCGCTATCAAAGTTGTGTGTGAGCAAAGGCGACGAGATAATGTCAGCACTTCCGATGAACACCCCGTTGTCGTCAGCACTCAGGAAGTTGGCATAGGCACCGGTGATGGTGGCTGGTTGGACGAACCATGAGTCTGGAGCAGTCATGCTTACGAAGCAGTAGCCAAAATCAGGAGAAGTGGTGCAGGATCTTTCTAGCGGTACGCTTGAGATGTTAGAAAAGATTCTCACACGAATTGGAGTTGGTTCTGCTATCACGTCGCGATTGTCGAACGCCTGAACAAAAGCAACGACTGTCTTCTGCGAGTATGCTACACTAGTCTGTAGCAGTGCCCCTCTTATATATGCAGGGGTGCCCCCAAAGTTAGGGATTTGAATGACATCCTCAGCGACAGTTTCAAGGTTGACGTTCCCCCTTAGTCTGACAGGGGTTCCAATATTCTGCCCCAACTAAGAACCCCACGGGCTGTTCATAGAGCGCATCGCTGGGTTTGGTGTAAGTTCCTACCAAGAAACCTTCCTGTCCAGCGTCAAATGAAACAGACTGGCCCTCAATGGCGTAGACAATGAGGGAGTAAGAATCGTTGTTACTTTGCATACCACTATCTTCCACGAGCACAGTTATTGTGTATCTCGACTGTGTGTTCACATCAAGTGTTCCCTGAAGAGTAACAATTCCGTCAGCTGGATCAATTTGGAACGGGGCTTGAGCTTCCAAAATCGAGAATGAAAGATCAGCATTGCTTCCAGTATCGTTATCTGTTGCTTCAAATTGTGCTATGAACGTACCTTCGGCTGAATCATCTTCCACAAGTATTGGTTGTATAGGGTTGACTAGAGTCAAAACGGGAGCATTGTCATTGACGTCGGTAACAATTACCATGACATTGGCTGATGATTCCATTTTTTGCTCACCTCCATCGACTGCCCTTACTGTAAATTCATAGTTGTCTCTAGTCTCACGGTCAAGAGGAGCTGTAAGATTTAGCACGCCGTCGACATTGATCTCAAACTCTGCCGATGCATTCACAAGCATCAGCAAGACTTCTCCATTTCTGCCCACATCAGGATCAATAACGCCGATGGTATAGTTCCATTCAAGAGTTTCCTCTGGGATTGAAATTGTGTACGATGCTTGGCTGAACACTGGAGCATTATCGTTGATATCCGACAGAGTGATATTAATGGTTGCACTGCTGCTGAGTGGGGGGTTGCCTCGATCTATTGCAAAGACTGAGAGACTGTGCATAGAAATATTCTCCCGATCCAGTGGGATGTCCACAATCAGTGTTGCCATGTCACCGTCTTGCTCTAGCCTAAACTGGTTTAGCGGGTCTGACGTGCTCTCCAGTTCGAAGTATACTTCCCCATTGTCACCGGCTTCTCTGTCACTTGCCTCAAAACGAGCCACAGTGATTCCAGGAGATACATCCTCGGGGAACTCAGTAGCAAAATATGTGACATTTATCATTGGTGTTTCGTCATTCACATCGAGTACTGCAATCTCAATGCTAGCACTATAGATAGCAATAGACACACCCCCATAGACGGTCTGTCCTTGCACAGTCACAGTATAACTCTGCAAGTCTTCAAAGTCAAGTAGAAATTGTATAAAGAGGGATCCATCTGGTGTGATGTTAAACACACCACTCTGATCTGTGAGTGAGTACTGTTCGTCCCTCGAGGGAAAACCAAGATCACCCCTCACTGCAGACACTGATCCAATAGTGGATCTCAATGTGGCATTCTCTGCTACACGAAGCTCAATTGTGGACCCATTAAAGCTGCAGTAGTCGGATCTGAGTCCACCGATCATGAATGTCTGGAGTGGTCTGAATCCGGCGTTTTCTCCGACGGCGGTAACTGGAGTGTCTAGTCTCGGGATGAGTTCGTTTTCTCCCACAGGTGTGGAGGTTAGACCGCCGATAAACTGGACTGTGCGTTCAGGAGACGTAAAACCAAAATCATCCATTGTCTGTACAACAAGGGAATAACCAATGGGTGAATCTCTGATGTCTAGTGGAGTATAGAGTTCCAGAGAAAATGTGTTGGCATTTGCTTGCTGCGTTGTGAACACACCACTGCCTGAATCATAGAGGGATTCGAGGGTGTTTTCTCCCGTCAGAGAGACGTTGAGTTCAGCTGCAATATCAGGATGTGAGATGATGGCATAGACTTTAACAGTGGCAGATGAAAAGAAGCTCTGCTCGAAGGTGAGATTGCAGCCAGACCCGCTCGCTGGCAGTGTGATCATCGGTAAACTGAGCAAAACTGGGGCAAGACTAGTCGAAATTCGGGTCAGGTACACCACATCCCGAATATTAAACACATTGTCCCAGTTAGTGTCGTTTAAGGTGTCACCATCGCCCAGTTGAAGAAAAGCATCGTAAGCATCAATAATGTTCACATTACCGTTATCATCAATGTCTGCCCTATCAAACAGCACATTACGTCGAGTGGGCTCCGAATGAGTGTAGACAGTTGGAGATGGCCCAACTTTTACAGTAACAGAGGTACTCTGCATTGGAATGACACTAAGACCAGTTCCAATGAGTATTGGCAGGTACCCACCAATGCTTACTAGACCCTCGGCTAGAGTTCTAAAAGTTACAGTGGCAACAGTAGGAATGGCAGCATTTTGTTCCAGGTTCCCTGATCCAATCGCAGTTAGTTGAATCTCTCCTACTGGCTCATTGGTACGAACGTTTGAGAAACCAACTTTTGGCTCGACAGACACCAACTCCAGGGCTGTTTTATTGTATGTAATTACTGCATCAAGCACCGTGACTGTATTTCCATTCGTGTTGACCCTTACGTCTACAGTGAAAGTCTCCCCCAGGGAAACTGGTGGTATTGGTATGAAATCTGGTGTGCCGAGATCTATTTGACCAATTTCTGGCTCCAAGTTAGCCGGGAAGCTGGTGCTAACAGAAATATCTCCCAGGGAGGCTGAGAAGGTTACAAACTCATAGTGACTTTGGTCAATGGCGATGGTGTCTGTAGATTCGTCGATGGTACCAACATCAGTAGGTGAGAGAGAGAATGTAACTAGGTCTTCTCCAATGATTTCGCGGCTGAAGGTGGTGACATCTTGGATTAGAGTCCCATCCATGAAGAATACGGAAGCAGAGTACTGGTATAGGGTTTGGTCGGTGCTAACCACACTGAGTTCAATTCTGTCGACCGTTGCCACTTGGTCTAGATGGGAAACTGTGACATTGTTACTGGATTGCAGCTCCCCACTGAAGGCAATGATTCGGCTTGTCCCATACGAGCCCGTCACGGGTTGGATAATTCTGTTGTTTACGTCCAAACTCACGTGGAATGATGTACCATCCACACCAACATTGCTGACTCGTGGATTGAGAATCTGCTCTGCCGAACCGTCAGAAAAGACAGCGTGTACAACCAGTTCAGCCTGTTGCCAGTAACTGGTTGAGCCCAGTTGTTCCAGGTCAATATGGGAGAGACCTTCCTCCAGAGATGCTTCATTTGGATAGGGAAGCAAGCTGGTCTCCAGTCGCTCCACGTTCAGGGTAGCAACCTGTGCAGATGCAGTCAAAGAGCCATACCAGAAGTCAACAGTTGCTGTAGCTCCGGTTGAGGTATCGTTGGCCGAAACAGTAATAGAGTCTGATCCATACATTACATTGAGGGAAGGTGGAGCATTAAACTGAACATTCTCCAAGTCAGCTCTAGTCACAGATGTGCCGTCACTGTATACCAGGGAGAAGTCAAATGTGGCAGATGTTGGAACAGTGGTGATGGGAACATCCCTGGAGTCACCCAGGATCCTGATTGGCGAGTTCACAACCAGTTCAACAGGATATGGTAGCTGGACAATGACATCTGCAAGGGCTGAGATTTGTAGTGCCGGGCAGGTTTCCATGGTCCATTGAACTGAAACAGTTGTCTCTCCACTTCCTACTGCAGTCACAGTGCCTTCAGGAGTTGCAGTCACCACATTAGCATCGGACGAGGTGGTCATCACTTCATCTGCTGTAGGATCGTATCTACTCCCATCAGTGAAGTAGACTATTGTGGCAGTTTCACCTTCAGTGCCCACGGCATCAAATGACTGCGTTGTCGAAGCAGTAGCTATAATAGATGAAGTTCTGTTGAATGTATTATCAGAGAGACTCAGGTCTAGGCTGGTAAACACCGTTGGATAGCTCACAAGTGGACGGATTTTATCGTCAACCACGAAAACGGCTGGTGCAGTACTGTTTACACCTGGTGCAGCTGTAACTGTGATGTTAGTGGTCCCGAGACCAACCCCAGACACTATTCGTCCAGTGATATTAATGACTGTGACATCATAGTCCAGAGGGACATTGAATCTTGTCACGTCAAGTACGGAGGAAGTTCTCTCTCCTGTAGTGTACTGTGCCATAACTCTGAGGCTCGTCTTCTGGTATTCACCGCAGCCTTCTAGTGTGTTGAGAATATGATCGGACACCTCGCTCCAGACTGTGACTGGGTACCACACTCGGAGAGACAGAGAGAAACTAGAACTAGCGCCATCTCTAATCACGATGCTTGTCTGTTCACTGCCCCGAGTTGTTATTTCAGAGAATTGAGTGAATATATCATTACAGCTTGAACTGGCTGAGTCATAGTCACACATAAATTCAGTCGAGACAAGGCTGACTACATCAGCAGTGTTTTGTGTAACTTTCACGGCACTGGCTTTGAGTGTTGGGTACCCATCATGTACAAGGATGATTTCCCCTTGCTCTGCAAATGGCAGATAGCCCAGAATTGTCTCGGGACTAACTGTGACTATTGCCGGTGCGCTGGTTGCACCTCTTTTGTCAATGACTGTGGCTGGGCTGTCAGAGCTGACTTCAGGACCAAATCGGGTCACAAGTGTCCTTACAATCGTGGGAATAGTGTGAGACCCCACAGTACCAGCTACTCTGAGCTCCAGGAACTTTTCCCCAGGGAAGGTGGAATCTTCTGGCAAGAGCTCTTGAGATGATCCTCGGAGACATGTAAAGCTAGTACCAGTTGAACCACTGAAGCACTCCCATTGAGCTGTTGTGAACCTTTGTTGGGTGAATTCTGTACTCAGTTCTATGTTTAACTCGAATGCTATGATGTCGTTTCCTCCGGGGGCACCCACTTTTATGTCGAACTGTTGGCCGGGGAACAACTCGTATGATGGATACTGGACAATCAGGTTTTGCAGGTTGGAAAACGGGAAACTGGGTCTCGGTTGGAGTGTCACATTCTGAATCTGCTGTTCGATACCTTCGCTTACTAGCCACACTTGGACTGTTGATTCAGTGTTGCCAAACCAAGACTGGGGAATTTCAATGCTAATTAGACAACTACCACTTTCACCCTTAGTTGCACTCCCATTATCTGTGACTGTTTCAACAATTAGGCTGTTTGATATCGCAGCTCTCAAGCTGATCTGTGCACCAGCAATAGTGTTGAATGTGTCGTCTTTAGCCTGGGCTACAACTTGGATGTAAGGCGAATCGTATTTCAGTTCGGGAGTAGTGAGAATGCCAGCCAGGGACGAAACAGGTGGAGTGTTTCGACGATAGGTCACATTTTGTGTGGTACCGCCCAGTGAGACACTGACTCCACCCTCAGGGAGAGAGTTACCAAACATTGCAATCTGCTGCTCGTATCCACTGGAGTCGGCTAGTCTGACGGGAGAACCAATAGCAAATCCAGCACCAGAGATTTCAAAATTGAAGGCTGCAGACTCTCCCACTGTCACTCTGACCACTGATGTACAGTTCTGATTATCAATGTCTCGGGCAAAAATCGCGACATCGTAGCTGGTCTCTCCATCAAATCTGAGAGTGTCGGTGGCTGTTACGATATCGACTGTTGTCTCTCCAGTTTTTGTTATGGCAAACTCTGAGCTAGGAGTGAGGAGCCTGAAGGTCAAGTCGCGATGGATAGAACCAACATCAGCATCAGAAACAGTCACGGTGTAGACTATAGTCCCCACACTGGTATCTTCCGGAACTACGGTATAGAGGATTTCAGGACACATCGGTGCATTGTCGTTCAGTGGTTCCACTTGAATCACGACAGTCGCATTCCCAGTCCGGCCGCCCTGGTCAGTGGCAACCACAAGCAGCTCGTAGGCAGTCTTAGTCTCATAATCCAACTCCGATCCTACCGTTATTTCTCCAGTGTTTGGATCAATTGTAAAGTTCTGCGGATAAGGCAGGCTGTATTCTATTATATTATTCTCATCATCATCAGTTGCTTGAACGGTGATCACAGACGAACCAACGTCAATATCCTCAGGGATTGGTATTGCACTGTAGACAGATTGTGTAAATTCTGGGTCGTTGTCATTTATGTCTAGAACATTTATGACTAGTTCTCCATCTCCTCCAAGACTTCCAAAGTTGCCTTGATCCTCTGCATGGACTAATATTTTGTATTGTGGAGTTTCTTCTCTGTCCAGTGAACTATTCAGAAATACTTCTCCACTAGACTCGTTGATGTAGAATTCAGCATCGTTTGGTATGATTCTCTCGATGCTGTAGCTGATGACTGTGTTACGCTCAGAATCACTGTCATTGGCAAAAACAGTGGCCACGAGGGTGCCAGTAGTCGCATTTTCATAGACTTCGACCTCGGTGACTGCAGGGAAGAACTGAGGCTTGTTGTCATTTATGCAGATTGAAGAGGCAACTGTTTGATTGATGGTCCGCAGAGGAGAAGCAATGGCCCACTCCAGTAGGATATCAGTCAATGGATGGTGGATCGTAGCTCTGACAGCTTCAGGGAAAACAGGTGGGAAGCTGTATCTTCTCATGTGGATTACTCCACCGTCGCTCGGTTGGTTCTCATAGCCTGAATGGACTTGAATGAGCATCAGACCCAACTCACTTGACACAAATTCAGACTCCAGGTTTATTTCAAACTGCCCATCTACGATGTCGCTGACACTTGCTAAGAAGACGCCTCCGTTCAAAGAAGCTGGGATAATGCCGTCATCGGTGGCAGTTGTACTAACCTTCACACCTAGCCCAAGGAAGGCAGTTGTACTGTCGTATTGGGCATCTGCAGCTGGGTCCCTGTCATAAAGAGCAATCAGGAGCGAAGTTCTATCGCTGTTGGCTGGACGATCTCCACGGGCTATGAGATCCGCTTCAATAGTCAGCAAGCAATCGTTCCTATTAACAGGGATGATGCTGAGTCGTGGAACAAAGTGTGCCTGCCAGAAACTTGCTTGGAGCAAGAAGTTTACATCGCCCACGGTACATACACCATCAATGTTGAAGTCGGCATTCAGCTCAGGGTGGCAGGTTGGGGAATTCATATTTTCCTCCTGGTTATGTTGGAGGCTCAAGTAGAGGGAAGAATTGTGGTAGAGACTCACGATATCGAGCAAGTTGAAAACACAGTCGCCATTAATATCCCCAGTCTCTTTACCATCCTCACACTCACAGGGTAAGGGGCCAGTGCAGACTGTTGTGTCAGACTCGAGATTCTCCAGAGGTACGTTGAGATATGGTTTAGTTAGGTCATTGGGTGTTCCCACAACCACATGGATATTGGCTGCAGGTGAATCTTCGAGGTGTGGGATGGGTACTGGTGGGACACTGTAGTCCAAGTAGGTTATGATCTCTGCCTTAATGTTTGCTACTCCAGCTAGCCCACCGGCGGTAAAGTTAAGATCAGCAATGTGGAGCAGACCAGCTCTCTCCTCAATGATGAGCCCTCCGAAATGAACAAAACCCCCAAACTCATTCTCAGAGCTTCCGAAAAAGTTGAGTTGGGCGAGTGAGTCTTCTTGTGGCCAGTCAGCTCCACTGGTGACTGAGTCGAGGCTCAGCAAAGAGCTGCTGTAGACAACACCGACCTCAATGGCGCCGACATTAGTGGATCCCGTGTTGATAAAGACAGGGATGGAGAAGGAGTCACTGGGGGATACTGGAGTGGCAGGAGAACCTGTCAACAATCCCAGGTCCAGCTCGTGCAGTGAAGGCTCGAGATTAGCATAAAACTCAAGAGGCTGTTGCAGGCCGTTGCGATCGTTGATGGTAACAGTCAGACTTGTACCGCTTGGAGCATTCCCTAGCAGAGTGATATCTCCAGTCAGAACTGTGATTCTGGCAACGCTGCGGTCGGCAAAGACTACTGTGAAGAGAGCTGGAATGACCTGCTCTCCGTTGATGTAACCCTCTTCAAACTTGGAGCCATCAGAGAAAGTCAGAGCAATGGAGAGTTGGGCTGCGACTGTGTTTTGCTCTCCGGATAGTGTATCCCCTGTGGTCAGTTCGAGCCTGTCGATGGACGAAACTGTGACCTCTTCAGAGGTAATGACGTTCAGGGTTATAGAGTTGCTGGTCAAACCATAGAATTCAGCCTCGACCTCTCGCGCTCCAACACTTCTCGGGGTGAAAATGGCGTCTCTGGTTGAAACCGGGGACCCTACCTTGATCATGTAGTTAGTGTATGGATTTGTGGAAATGTCAAATGTCCGTCTGGTTTGGCCTGGTACGTTGACATAGAGGATGGCATCAAGTTTTGCCATCTGGAAGCTTCCGGTGTTTCCAATTAACTTCAGTGTATCAATTTCGGGAGCACCATCGTAGAGAGGGTAGGGGCGAGCTGTTAGAGTAACTTCTGATGCTTCGACGATAGTAAGTGTTTCGACTGCAGAAGCATAGGATCTGTACGAGGCCTGAATTGATACTCTAGTGTTGGGCGAAATTGGCTCAATCTTGTATCTCCCATTAATGAGAGTGGCACTCGCTGAATTTTCCGGAGAGAACGATACATTCGTGAAGCTATGCTCAGTCACATCCACTGTGACAGTATCTCCATCAACATCATACACGAGTGACACAGTGAGGTAAGTTAGTACAGGGAATGAATCCAGAAGAGAAGCAGAGTCATCTTGGAGGGCTATTTCACGTTCCTCGAGTGAAATCCTCACTTCAGGTGTTAGCAGAGCGAGGGAGAGGGGAACTGGGCGGGAGATCACAGTTTCACCATTGCAGCTAGTCCAGTCCACATATACCTCTCCTTCCCCACTCTCACTTGCCGTGAGCATGGATCCCTCGAGTTCGAAAATGGACGAGTTGTCTGGAGAATACTCCACAAGGTCTGAAACCCAGTACCTCGTTCCATCAGAAAACAGTACACTGCTGGCCAACTCTGCTGTCTCAGTCTCGTACCGCAGTCCGGGGTTCAACCTGACTTGGAATGGGTCTGAACCCTCATACGGTATGGCACTTGGTGCAACAGGCTCAACTGCTCTTCCGTGGAATATCTCGACTTCAACTGCACGTACTTCGGTGTCAACAACGGATATATTAACACTACCGATTTCACGTCCATCGTGGCTGAATGCTAAAATGCTGGCATTGCCTGGTGCCTCACCCACCACCTCAGTTCCAGAGAGTGCTACAATGTCTTCATTGCTGCTCTGTAGTGTCAGGAGGCCCTCAACTCTGGCAGTGACGAAAGTGAGAGAGTTACTTCGAGGTCTGAATTTGGCATAAGCCTCTAGGCTTGTCGTCTGGTATCCTTGGACACAGCTATCATTTTGTTCTGTTCTCTGCCATCCGCCAACAGCATTTAATATCTCGTCCTCAACAATAAGTTCTAGAGAGAGGTCTGGGAACCAGACCTGAGCAGAGATCGACACGGGGAATAGAGATTCCGCTAGTTCAAAGCCATCAAATCCTTCTGCCACATTGTCAGCCAAGAAAGCGATCTCAACAGAATCTCCTTGAGTCTCGCTACCGTCGATGTAAACCTCAAACCTCCCATCACTGCACTCCGCCTGCAGGGCATTGGTGTTGCTACTGGTGCACACCACGCCTACCTCCTGCTGAATAAAAGTCGCGTACGGTTCAGCCGAGAGAACATAGGCATATAGAAGCACGTCAAAGTCTTTACGAGCTCCGGTGAAGACGACATCGTTGAAAATGACAGTCTGTTGCATGGATGGAAAAACGGCCACCAGTTTGTCCTTGGAGATGGTTACATCACCTCTGTTACTGTCACGGCATCCCGACCCATCCACTACCAGTAGATCGGAGAACGGGTCTTCAAGTTCATTGTGAGAAACTGCTTCAATTTTTTGTACAAGTGATACGAGCTTGGGCAACATTGCCATCAGTCACTTCGACAAGTAGTGAACCAACATGTTCGATGCCAGGCGATAAATTTTGAAATTCCACGCGGGTTGCAGTAAGCTGCAAGACATCACGGCTGGTGTAGTCCTCAAACCAATAGGTGGCAAGAAACGATGTTGCATCATCGGTGAAAGGATAGCTGTAAAACCTAAGCCCTTCATCTAGCTCACACGTCATTGAGAGAGCTGTGAGTATTGCTCCGTTTTCCCTTTCAGCATATATGGGGACTTCAAACACTTGTCCTTCGTAGACAGTGTGTGCTGGAACTCTCATTTGTAGCTGTGGCTTGTTGGTGTAGCTAGAACACACGCTGTCGTAGTCAGGGGTTTTAATAAGACTGATCGAATCGGTGATGTAAGCTGGTTCACCAGCTACCCCAAACTCAACGGTTGCTTCGGTGCTTTCATTACTACTACCAGAAAACCAGGTCTCTGGCAGGGTAATAGTTAGGAGAGTGGTTGACCCTCTGTTCAATGTGGTGGTACCAGTTGTATTGATCATAGAGTCCCCATAGGTGACTGACATATACACTGAGGTGTCCTCAAGATTGTAACTGTTGAATTCATCCAGAGCCTGAACTGCAGCCTGGACCATCCGATTACTGTGATAGACAGTCGGAGTCATGATTTTTGCAATGACTTTGGTGGCCGGGAGAGGATCGGTTTGGAAGATCAGAGACCGCGAAAATTCACGGTATGAAGCAGTGAACCTGCTGGGATTACCTATGTATGTGTCATAGAGGTAGTTGTATGTCTGTTCGTACGTGAAATCAGTGCTGGCTGCTTGTGGATTTGAAACGGGGAAACCTCCCTCGACATCGATATTGACCGGCACAGTTTCACCCACGGCGACGTACACAGTCGTAAAACCGGTTTTCGGATTGGGAGTCCCAGTATCTACAGCAGAGATACTGAGAGTGTAGAAATCTCTGTCTGCTTGGTTGAGAATGCTATCGGTGTAGAGAGTGCCTGTATCTTCGTTCATTCTAAATGGGTTGCTGGTAGGTTGGTCCACTATGTAGTATTTTAAAGGTGGGGAGCAAACGTCTGCATCAGTGGCAGACACAGTGAGAATGGGCTCTCCTGGCTCCGCCCCATCTGCAACTATTCCTCCGTATTCTCTGGCAAACACTGGAACATTGGTGTTGTCGTCATAGACCAATATGGATACATTCGTGCTGTTTGTGAAGGTTACTATATCCACTGGTCTATCTTCGGCCACTACCAAAAAGGTGAATGTAGTGTTGGAATCGACGCAGAGTGATCCACTCACGGTGACCACACCGGTCTCAATGTCTATTGTGAGCATATCTGGGTAACTTGTTTCTGTGTCTAGGCGGTAGGTTATCGTTCTGTCTTGCTCATCCGCATCTGTGGCAAACACAGTCAGAATCGATGTCTCAACCTCGGCATTCTCGCTGACTTCTCCGAAATACGACGCTTGGTCAAACACCGGTGCGTTGTCATTGATATCAAATACAGTGATGTTAAGCGGTGCTGTATCGTTCAGAGAAGGGTCATTGGGGTTGTAGGCTATAATAGTCAGATAGTAGAAATTCTGACGCTCGTCACGATCAAGTTCCACGGCAACTCTAACAACTCCCGTGTCATCAATGCCGAAGTCGGAGCTTCCATCTCCAGTCAGATTGTAGTTGATGACGCTGTTTTCTCCGCTGTCGCGATCTGTGGCTCTAATGACCACCTGCAGCGCTGTATTCACCGTGCTGTTTTCGAATGCACCCGTGACATATGACTCCCTATTCAGAATTGGTGGGTTGTCGTTCAAATCAACTATATTAATGGTGATATTTGCTGTAGAGGTAAGGCTTGGTGTGCCAAGATCGTATGCTTCCACTTCCAGCATGTAACTCTGATCCCTCTCGTAATCAATCGAACCGTTCACAGAGACATTTCCAGACACTCTATCAACTATGAAGGGGACGTCCTCCGCATTGAGTAGTGTGTATTCAACGACATTGTCCTGGGAATTGTCTATTTGTATGGTATCTCTCTGACAAAACGGCCCGGCATCAACATCAGTTGTTTGAATCGTCATCACAAAGGTCTCTGCGTCTGAATTTTCATCGACAGAGCCACTGACCTCTCCAGAGAAGGTTGGCGTGTTGTCGTTCTGTTCACAAACCATCACCCACAGAAATTGGACAGGAACGCCAGATTCGATCCCTTCCTCTCTGGCTGTTATGGTGAGAGTGAAACTGTGCATGCCCTCCCGGTCAAATGTTCGATTAGCCCTCAGTGTAGTCTGGGCTGTAGTCTCATCTGTTTGGAGATAAAAATAACCATCTAGGTTATCGGTTCCTTCGAGTGCCACACCGTCATCATCAGCCTCGTGGACAGAATTGATCTCGAAATAGAACTCAGCATTAGTTCCTGAATCTGCATCATCAGCCTTCAGTTCAATGACAGGCACACCTATTTCATTGTTTTCAATCATCACAATACTGTCGGGAGATGTGAATATTGGCCTGTTGTCATTTGTATCAGTTACATTCAATTCGATAGTGAGTTCTGATGACTGAGGAGGATCTCCGCTATCAAACATCTCCAGAGAAAGATTGTAGAACACTCTAGACTCGTAGTCTAGACTTCCGACTAGCTCAAGACTGGCTGTGAATGTATTTTCGTCTGGGTCAGTTTCCGTAACGACTGTGAAGATATTTTCAGATTCCGAGCCATTGTATGTTATGGTGACTTCCCTGATTCCTCTGTTTATACTGCCAGTATCTTCATCAGATCCAGTAAACTGAAATATTACTGAGTCTTCATCTTCCCTAACAGCTATGGAGTAAAACGGCTCGTCTGAAAGTGGTGCATTATCGTTTATGTCGACAACTTGTAGAATAAGCTCAAGAGTGTCTGAGAGTCGAGTGAAGACGTGAGGCCCCTGATCAGTGGCGACTACCGTAGCACGTATTTCGGCGTAGGACTCTCTGTCGAGACTCGACGCAATACCTATATTGCCAGATTGAGGGTCGATCTCCAGCGCCCCTGGTTCTGTGACGTCCTCAAGACTGAAAGCAATGTCTCCAGCTCTTAGGGGACTGTCTGCATCAGTTGCAGATACACTATAAATGGAGGTACCCACTTGAACATTCTCTCTCCGTTGAACGGTTGCCAATCCAGTTCCACCAAGAATAGGAGGATGCATATTGTAACAATCCGTGGCTGTGAAACTGTTGTCAAACAAAATGAGACCGTTGAATGGGCCACCAGATGACAGAGTAGTGGATGTTTCAAAGATTTCAAAGGTAGAGGAAAATGCTGCATGGCTTAGAGGGAGACTGGGAGGACCAGTGAGGAAAACAAGTTGGTTGTCTTGCACTGTACCGTCGAGGGCCAGAACACCGTAAATCACTACAAATGAGATGTCAGTTTGGGCAATTGTGCCTGGTTCTGTCACGATGCCGTACACACCGTCTCCGTATGACATGGGTTCCGACCAGCCGCCATAGGAACCGTCTTCGACGTAATTGTCCAGTTTAGTCCCTACGGCAAAGTCTGTTGCACTGTACTGATCGCTGAAAGACGAATTCTTGTGGAAGAGCCCGAAAAACACAAAAGTGTCATTGAAGGCATCGTCGAGGGTGATGTTAATGCTGAGCATGCAGTCTGAAAACTCTGCATCTATTGGTCGTAGAACTGGATCAGCGATGAGAGGATAGCGGCCGAGACTGGCAGATAGCAGAAACTCCGCATCTTGGAGGTTGATCCTCCCGTTCTTGTCTGCATCCATGGCCTCTAGCTGCGAGTCAGTGAAGTAATCTGTGTCTAGAGTTGCCCTCGTGGCATACATCTGCAGGGCAAGAACATCCAGTGTGTCGAATACGCAGTCGGCATTTACGTCACCCAGTGGTGAAGCTACATCGAGATCTTCGCAATCTGATGGTAAACAGGGAGGTGCAGAGCATCGAATGGTTTCACTTTCTGTTTCCACTTGTGAGGAGTCGTAATTGACCGATGCGGAGTTCGATTCTCGTGGGACGGGATCACCAATGGTATCGAGTGTCGGAGAATATGTGTTGAGGAGGACAACATCCACAGAGAATTCGAGAGTTTCTGTCTCAATCACTCTAAACATGGCAGTGGCTACGTGCATTCTTTCACTTCCGAGAGTGTCATCAGGTGTTACGAAAGCCACAGTCACTTCGCCGTCGGCAAAGCCGCTGAAACTCTCGAAAATAGATGCACTTGAAACGTGGGCCCCTGTGTCCAGCTCCTCCTGGAGCCCCAGGCGGGAACTGTTGTAGCGCAGTCTGAGTTGTATTGCACCAAGAGAAGCTCCTTCAGCATTTATGTAAAGTTCGACTCTAACAGTGTCGTTCACATTCAGTGGATGATTTGCAACCACCTCAACATCGGCATCTCCAAACTCTGCCTCCACATCAACTTCAGATATCACGATTTGGGAAGTGATGCTAGGTTCTGAGATTACTTCAGCTGTAATGAATTGTTCGGTTGAGAAAATCCTGTTTCCAGTGATTTCAAGGAGCCCACTTTCAGAATCGATTGGGAGTAGGGTGGAATCTGAGGTTGCGAATCGAACAAGTCCATCCACTGCTGGGCCTGAGGATGTAAGGGACGAAGGATATAAGGTTCCATCACTAAACTCTAGGGTCAGAGAAGGCACCAATTCGCTACCAATTTGCCCAGCAAGAAGAACATTTTCTGAGCGGACATTTAGACTAAACTCGTTGATTGAAGTAATGTTGAGAACATTCTCTGTGAGCATGAAGGAGATATCATTCACCACGTCTCCTAACTCAGCTGAAACTGTTACATTTCCCTGAGTCAGACCCTGAACTATAGTTCCGTTCAGTTCCAAAATACTGTTGTTTGAGACTGAAAAGGAAGCATTGTTGCTGATGTCCAGCGATTCTCCATTGGACGCCACAGCTTTCACACTTAGCTGGGCCTTCTGGTAGACAGTTTCGTTGATAACTGGGTATTGACTGAGGGAAGTGAGCAAAACTGTGTCAGATCCACTGTAGGCTGGGTAGGGAGTGGCAGAAACCTCAATGCTGGCAATTCCAACAACCTCAATAGATTGGGCAGCCTTGTGCTCAACACTACCATGTGTATACGTGACAGTTATATTTGTTAGTCCATAGGAGTCAGTAGAGGTAAGTGTTCCAGATGAGCTTATTGAGACTTGGTCACCAGAGGAAGAGTAGCTTGTGCGGCTATCTTCAGTGATGTCTATTTTGGTGCCATCTTCGTGGACAAGGTAGGCTACTGTAATAGTGCTGGTTGGAAGATTTAGCAGCGAGGCATGCACAGGAGTGGCAAGATACGTGTCAGAAATAATGACACTGAGATGGGATGTTGGTTGAAAGTTTACATCCACAAGGGTTGAAAACACATCATCCAGTACTACTGAAGCAAGTGGGCATCTTTCAGTGTTAAGACCCCCCCTCAAGAACAGACCACTGCCTCCGCCTCGGACGTAAATCTCTTGCCACGATGAAACCCTGATAACATCTTCATCTGTAGACTCGAGAATAAGTCCATTCTCGTCAGAAAGCCTCAGATATTGTCCGTTGCTGAGCATTGCCTCTGCAAGGACTGATATAGGTTGGTTGAGGTATTCTGGGTTGCTCAGCAACTCCACCTCGGCTGTTTCAAGATAGCTCTCACCAGCAGTTGCCTGGGGCAACGATACAGGGGAAAGCCCCGTGTGAAGACTAAAAGTTATGTCATCGACCACTACACTCAGTCCTGATACACGTATAGACTCCGTCGAGGAGATGGTTGTATCATTTACTTCCAACGTCACATAAGCCTCCCCTGCTCCAGCACCAACTGCCCAAACCTCGCCAGTGGTATAATCAACATCTATAGTTATCACATCATCGTCAGTTGAAGAAAGAAGCCCAGCTACTTGAGGGGTGACTGTGGCAACTTGGCGCTTGCTGCCAGATACAAACACAGCTTGGGCAGTCACTGAGGTCCTTTCGTAAGCAGTGGTGCAGTCAGCATTGTACACTCCCTGTACTGAGCTGAGTTCAGTATTGCCAAAAGTGATGTCAACATTCCTGGGAAACCAGACTTGGAACTTGAGCGTGGAGGAAAACTGGGAGCTTCTAACTGTGACATCCACAGCCTCGGAGCCACTTGTCTCATTTCCATTTAGGTACACGAACTGGCAGTCTCTGTCAACCTTGATGATTCTCTCGTTGGCACTCTCACACTCGTGATTACTGAGGTAGTCAGTGAACTCACCTGAGCTCAGGAATCCATGGCTAACAATATCAACAGTAACCTGTTCTCCGCTAAGATAGGCAGTGTTCAGAAGTCCAGTTGTGGAAGTGTAAGGGAACAATTGGACGAGAGCTGGACTGGCCACAAGAACTTTACCAGTGAGCGAGTTGCACGACCCGTCCTCATCAAAATTGATGTGATACGCCGATATGTTGGACAGTACTTCTTCGCAACTTGCTACTTCCGCATCAATACATGTCACCAGGTAATCTACATTGCAGCTGAGAGTCAATACATCTTCCTCGGGCAGAGAGGTATTGGACTTCAGTTGGAACTCTAGACCTAGAATTTTACCCGTGCTTAAGGAGCCTGCGTGCCCATAATAGGTCCCAGTCACTGCAAGCTTGTCTTCGTGCATGGCATGCTGGATGTTGTAGTCAGAAGGATTCCAGTTTATTCTCACGAACTCCAGCAGGTCCTCGTCAATTGTGAAGGTGAAAAGAAAGTGGCTAATGCTGCTGTTCAAGTGAGAGTAGACGTTAACATTGAAAACTGATCCCGGGAGAATGACTCGGGCTGGCATTTTTACACTCACAGCTGGAGAAGAGAGCGAATTGCATGATTCGACTGCATTGACCCTGACTTGCCCCAAAAGAGTATCTGCAGGTTCAGAGAGGCCATAATAAACAGACACGTTACTGCTCCCACTGATGAACCATGCAGAAGGGATAGTGACTGTTGCAACACATGTTCCTGAGCCCTGAGCACTGGTGCAAGATGAGGTCTCTGAGCTGTCAGATTCGGTCACGACACGGATGAAGACTTCTGTCGGTTCTACTGAAGCTCGGCCAAAGTTTGGCCCCTCTACCTGCACACCAACCACGATTTCTGGGTCATCTGGATACACATCCTCCCTTGCCAGGGCAGCTTCTACAGTGCTTGCTGTGGTACCGATGACAGGGATCTGTGTCCCTTCACTTACTGCTCCGAGTGAGAAAGTGATGTTAGGTGCACGGTTTGTCGTGGACCCGCCACTATCATGCAGCCAGATGCCCTGGACATACCTGAACTGTGTGAGGCGGGAAATGAGCAGAGTTGTCAAGCCGGGCTCTACAGACACTGAGACAGGCAACAGCTGCCCAACAACAACAACAATAGACACAGTTGCGGTGAGATCTGGCACTTCGAAATTCCCCGTGTCGGTTGCACGCACGGAGAGCGTGAAGCTAAGATCTTCTTCTGTCAGGTTTCTTGCAAGAACGATTCTTCCAGTCGTGCTGTTGATGGTAAACGTATCATTAACGTTACCATCGACTATGTCAAAAATGGGGTCCCCAGAACAGACGTCTCTGTCAGTGGTGAGAAGGTCTGGTAGTACTTCGGTTCCCTCTGGCGCCAAGCTCTCCAATCGACTGACATAAGAAGGCTGCTCAAACACAGGAGGGTAGCTGTTTTGTTCAAAGAGTGAGATTGTGAGGAAGGAAGTGTCACGAAGAGAGCTGTTGAGGCTGTCACTGGCATGGAGCGTGAAAGTGTGCGTCTCGTTTGAACTATCGGAGAAACAGGGGAGGTTTTTGACGACGATGTCACCGTTTTCCGAGTCGATTTCAAAGAGCCCGTTTCTTCCCGATTCGAACTCGAGTTCGTACACAGTTTCTGCATTTGATCCGACATCTTCGTCAACGGCTCTGATTCCACTCAATCTCGAGCCAATTGCCTGATTCTCGCCCACGGTGAACGAGTATTCCAACTCCTCAAACACTGGTCTTTCATCGTTCTCATCCGTGACCCTAATAAACACTGTTGCCGTGCTGAAGCCACTACTGGCATCACCGGCCAGAGCAATGAGGCTGAAATTCTGACTCATTTCACGGTCTATGACAAGATCCGAGGTGGCTATGACACCTGTGGTTGTATTGATAGTAAAGTAGTCTGAGACGTCTGATTCTTGGAGGGAGTAGTTGGCAGGGCTCTCGATTGTGTTTCTATCAAACGCTCTAACCTCTAGGATTGAGACTCCTTCTGGGGAGTTTTCCACGGCTGAGCCTGTGTATCTTGTCTGAGTGAAAACTGGACGCTCGTCGTCTGAATCGTGGACTGTCACCATGACGTTGACAGTAGTGTTTAGTGCAGGTTCCCCACTGTCATAGGCTCTCACAACTATGTCGTAGACTTGAAAAACCTCCCTGTTGATTGGAGGGACGCTGACGATATCGCCATTTGGTTGGATGTCGAACCGACCAAAAGCCCCATCGACTATCTCATAGTTTACCTGAGAGTTGGGGTTGCCTGGTTCATCGGCGTCGGTAGCAGTCACAGTGATGACTGTAAGAGAGATGCCATCGTGTTCAATAACTACAGGGCTGTAGGAATCCTCAAGGAATACTGGGGCATTGTCGTTGACGTCAGTGATGTAGACTGTGAGTGTGGAAGTGTTTTTGCGGACCTCATCATCAGGGAAAACCAGGCTTTCGTTTCCAAATGCGCTACCACTCGCAGCTTCATTGTCTCCGCTTGGCATTGAGCCTGCATTGTCCATAGCAACTACAGTCAACTCATACATCTGTTCACCTTCATCAAAATCAAAAAGATTATCGCCGCTGACAGTAATTTCGCCGGTTTCTGGATCAATGGAGAATTTTTCGCTACCCTCTGTGACCATGAGGCTGTATGTTATCTTCCCATTGACGTTCAGGTCATTATCGGTGGCTGACACCTTGAACACAATCGTGCCGTTTTCAGCATCCTCCGCCAGCTCCGTGGAGCTAGGGAGATTTTCGAAAATTGGTGTGATGTCGTTGGATTCAAGAACACGAATGTGCACCAGAGTTTCAGTTTTAAACACGTCATCGTCTGCCTGGACTCGCAGTAGGTAGTAGCGATCTTCGGTCTCGAAATCCAATCGCTCAATGAGGAATAGCTGACCTGAAGCTGGCTGGATTGCAAAACTTCCCGAAATCCGTTTCTCCTCTTCCGTTGTCAATGAGACTGTACTGAACATCGTCATTGGTACCGATGTCTGCATCAGTTGCCACTATTGTACCAAAAGCTTCGTTTAGCCCCAGATTCTCACGGACTGAGACGTAATAGTCGGCCTGACTGAAAATTGGTGAGTTATCGTTTTCATCCACGATTGTGATGGTGACTGTTGTTTGGGTGGATTTTCGTGGACTACCGTCATCTCTGGCTTCTACCAGTAGGTCATACTCATCCCTCATTTCCCTGTCCAGCACAGCACCACGTGCAACTGAAATCAACCCAGAGGTGCTGAGATCAAACGTTGGAGTTGCTCCCCCGATTGCTCTGTACCGTACAAAGTCCCCATCTCCGTCTGTTGTCTCAAGAGTGAGAACTGAAGTTCCGTTCTTCGAGTTTTCTGGTATCTCACCGACTGGTCGTGTGGGGACAAATACAGGAGCTTCTTCGTTGATGTCGGTTATGAGGACATTAAATGTGGCGGTGTTTGAGAGTCGAGGGGTTCCGTTGTCCGTTGCTTGAATCAGGAGAGAGCAAGCTTGTTCTCTCTCCTCTGCATCAACTGCTTCATTGAGAATTACTTCACCCGTGCTCTCCACGATTCGGTACCTTGTTCTACACTCGGCAGGGATAGCATTCAGGATTTTGTAACTGAGGTCGGAATTTTCGTTTGAATCCCTGTCGAATGCTTCCACGATGAAGGCTGTTTCGTTGACAGTTGTATTTTCCGCGACAAACGCTTGAATGAGGTCGTCGGTGAAGTAGGGTGCATTGTCATTGACGTCTGTGATGGTAATGTTCAACACTCCATTGCTGCTTTCGCGGAGGGCTACCCCCGTCAGCTACCGATATCTCAATATAGACTGGATTGGGGAGTGACGAACTGTCGAAATCGAGTTCACGTGCAACTCGAATGATGCCGGTTTCGAGATCAATGCTGAATGAGGAATTTTGGGTCAGGACCCGGAACTCCATTTCCGCATTTGACCCGGAATCAGCATCGAGCGCCGTGACACGGAACACGGACTCATCCACTTCAGCGTTCTCCACCACAGAAAACTCAAACTGAAGGAGGGTAAACTCCGGGTCGTTGTCATTGACGTCCCCAAGAGTTATCTCGACCGTTGCATTTGAGCTCATCGGTGGATTTCCACCATCTGTAGCTTCAACTGTGATCTCATACGAGTTCGGAGGTTTGTCTGCATTGAAATCTCCAGCAATTGTAAAGATTTCACCCGTGGAGTTATCAATGAGGAAAAGGTCCGAATCTCCACCAATGATGGAGTATAGGATGGACCCTAGCTCTTCAAAATCGTCATCATCTGCCACCACTTGACCCACTAGTGTCCCATTAGTGGAGTTCTCAAGGAGAGAGAAGGTGAATGGATCTTCTCTGAAAACGGGGCGATGGTTGTTGACATCCACGACTATGATTTCAACTACGGCAGTGTCTTCTTCCTCACCGTCACTAACTACCACCTCAAGTTTGTAGCTGTCCACCTCGTTCAGGTCCAACTCTGCAGTGAGGAAGAGGTCTCCTGTGAAGCGATCCATCCTGAAGGTGCCTTGTGCCCCACTGACAATGTAGTATCGTAGATTCCCTTCACTGACAGAGTCCTGATCCTCGGCCCTTATTAGCTCCGAGACTGGTTCTGAATCCGACACGACCGAGTCTTCGCGGACCAAAATCTCAAACGTGTGGTTGACAAATCGGGGAGGATTGTCGTTCAAGTCTTCCACGTCGATTGTAACACTAACTACCGAGGTCTCGTTCTCTCTATCGGTCGCCGTGACATTAAAATCCCACTGAGGAACGGTCTCATAGTCAAGATTCCGAAGAAGTGTGATTTCCCCAGTTGAGTTGTCAATCTCAAAAGGAAACGTTGGTTCCTCTATTATATCTCCGCTGGAAACATCCCCACTTGCTACTTCGGGCAACTCCACCCCTGAGCTATTGAAGGAAGTCTGGATGGAGTATGTGATAGTATCTCTACTGTCTCTGTCTACAGCCGCTACCACAAGAACTACTTCTCCCTTGTGAGAGTTTTCCTCCAGCGTCAGCTCGTAGCTTGCCTCCTCGAACACGGGCCTGTGCTCGTTTTCATCGATGACTGTGATTGTAACCGTGGCAGGGACAGATAAGAGCCCCGTGTTGTCACGAGCAACGACCACGAACTGGTATTCGTGTTGGGTCTCAGCGTCGAGTTCGGAGGACACTGTCACGTTTCCAGTTGTCCTGTCGACGTCAAAGGGTATGTCAAAACCATACGAAGTGATTGTAACCGTTGCACCCTCATCCAAGTCTTCCACAGTCACTTGGAACGGATTTCCATTACTGTCTAGCACGTTTTCGCCCTCGTCTGCACTTTCGCTCACTTCTCCTATAAATTCAGACCTGACGAAGAATGGAGGATGGTCGTCCACGTCACTGATGCTGATATTAAGGAGCACTGACCCAGTTAGTGGCACAACCCCTCCGTCCACTGCCTCTATTGTCAAACTATAGAAGGAGACGTTCTCGCGATCAATACTCGCCTCCAGGGTCACCAAACCGGTTTTAGAGTCGATTTCAAACTTGTCTCCGACGTTTCCGTCGTCGATTCTGTACGTGAGCTCTGCGTTGCTTGTGCTGTCTGCGTCGGTTGCGTTGACTGTAATCACTTCTAGTCCCGGTTCCGAGTCCTCGATTATGGTCTGGGTGAAAAAACTCCGCACAAACTCTGGGGTATTGTCATTCTCATCAAAGATATCAATCACCACGGTAGCTGATCCCACGTTGCCCTCCGTGTCAGTTGCAGTAATGGTGAAATTATAGGTTGTGTTCCGTTCGTAGTCCAGCTCCTCTGCAACGGAGATCCTAGCAACCAGCCTCTCGATGGAGAAGTCTTCAATGCCCTGATCTGAAGGAATGGCGTAGGTGAGGGATACCCCGATGTCGGGGTCTGAGGCTGATAGCTGGAGATCTGAAAGTTCGAATTCTACCTCTGCATTCTCACTGAGATTGGCATAGTAGTAGGTGGTCTCTGAGAATTCTGGTGGCTCATCGTCCAAGTCCCGCACTACAAGATATAGACTTCTGCGCACCATGTCACCCGACGTGACATCAGTTATCCTGACGTTGAAACGGGTGCAACTTGCGTCGCTTGGTGTTCCGCTGGGACAGGTATCACGCAAGACCGACGACTCGCGATCAATTTCCTTGGCGACAGAGATATTTCCTGTGGTCGAGTTGATTTCCAGGAGGTTGTCTGTGATGGAGAGAGAGTATTCCAGGTCGCTGTCGGCATCGCGATCGCTGGCCTCTATCACCCTCACAACTTCGCCCACATTTTCATTTTCGTGAATCTCAATGTTATCAATCTGCTCCACGACTATGTCAAATTCGTCTTTGTCTGTGATGGTGATGTACACCATTACAGTATCCGTGGCCTCATTTATGTCCTCCTGGTAAAACACTTCTACCTCCACTTCTTGCGTGGATTCACTCATGCTCTCAAGGTCGTACACCCTGCTTGCTGTGATCTCTCCGTTCGTGCGGTTCAGCATGAACAGATTTTCTGTACCGATGAAGGCATAGCCGATTGTGCGATTGTGAGGGTCCAGATCTGTGGCTTTGACTCGGCCAATAAAGTCGTTGATTTGGTTGTTTTCCTCAATCGTGAACGTGTAGCTGTCCCTCTCAAACAAGGGTTCGTTATCGTCTTCGTTTCTAAGGCGAATGGTGTACGTCATATTAGAACTGAGGGAGGGGAATCCCCCATCAGAGGCCTCAATCACAAGCTCAAATGAAGTGTTCATTTCATAGTCAAGAGAGAGAGCAACGGTGAGATTTCCAGAGGAAGGGTCGATGTCGAAATAATCGGCCCCCGACCCCCCAGTGATATTGAATGAAATTTCGCTGTTTTCGGTTCCCATTTCGTCGGCGTCCGTGGCAATGATTTTTGTCACGTAATCTCCGACATTGAGACTCTCGGAGATTCGGAATGACGTTGGCGTGCTGGGAAACTCGGGGCTGTTGTCGTTGACGTCGGACACGTCTATTGTTATGGAGACGTTTGTTTCGAGCGGACTATCTTCGTCATTATCAGTTGCCGTCACTACTAGAGTGTATCGAGCTTGATCCTCTCTATCTAGTGTTTGGGCCACTGTTATCTGCCCAGTCGATGAATCAATGTCAAACGCTTCACTCTCAATTGAAAAAGAAATCTGGAAAAATTACGACACACACAATTTGGATTACAGTGTAACCTCTGAAAAAGGAGCCTCTCAATGTGGACTCTTGGTTCTACTTTTTCGATTAAGGACGACCTCTGAATAAAGGACACTTTCAACTTCCCCCAAGGTGTCCCTTATTCAGAAGTTTCTCTCAATTATGGAGGGCAATTATAAAAGCCACACCCACCTCAGAGTCAGGGCTGTCCGTGTCGTTTGCGCTGACAGTTCCGACAATCGTTTCCATGGTAGCATTCTCCAGAACTGTAAAGTCATACGGAGTGTCAATAAACTCAGGGGCGTGGTCGTTGGCATCGGAAACAGTGATGTTGACTGTTGCGGTCCCAGAGTCTGGGAGCTCCTCCCCATCTTTAACTTCCACTGCTTCAACTGTCAGTGAGTACGTTTGCCTAGAGAGAGAGAGAGATTATACAAGGGAGGTAAAGAGGCAGAGAGTATAGAAGTAACGGAGGAATAGAGAGGTAAGGAGGGAAAGAGGGTGAAAAATGTGAAAGAGGTGTGTAAGTGAGGGTAAGAGAGAGAGCGAAGAGAAAAAAGAAAGAAAGAAGGTACATAGGAAGAGGAGAACCAATGCTCGACTGACTGTGTCTCAAAATCCAGTGTCTGGGCCAGAGACAGTTCTCCAGTGGAGTTGTCAATCTGGAAGAACTCGCTGGTCTCGCTCAGACCGTAGACTATGTCCCCTAGCCCATCTGCATCTGTCGCACTCACTCTACCAAACGACACGTCAGTCGACAGAGACTCCGCTACTGTGAAACCTGCAACAGAATTTATACTACTGTTGAGGCACTGTGAATGAGTAGCTATTGACTAAGTTTAAAATTGTAGGTATTTCTATCAGTTGTTCAACCTTTTATGTCATGTGTGGGACAGCACAGAGAATGTGCACTTGTCTTGCATTGGCTACCCGTAATGCTAAGCACTTACTGTAGGAGGCAGGGTCAAATTCTGGAGATTCGTCGTTGAGGTTTGCGATCGTTATGGTGACGGTTGCCGGGGTACTCCGGCGAGGATTTCGTCCATTGTCCGAGACGATGAGGCTGAAAGTATACTCGTCTTTTTCCTCGCGGTCAAATGAGGCACTAAAAGAGACAAAAAGCACGATTCACTTTTGCTCTGAGAAAGAAAATGTCCATGGGGAAGTGCGGAAGACTGGCTTTTCTCTGGGAGTTGTAGCTACTGTACTGGAATTCCAGTCACTATTATAGATTTTGCTTCTTGTTCTTACAATCTCTACCTTACGCACCTCAGGCCCTCAATCTAGAGTGTTTTCCACCTTGACTTACTTGGTAAGGATTTGACCAGTGGTGGCCCCTGTGATGTTTGTCGTAAAGAAGTCGCCGTCCTCACCAATCAACTGTATCTCTCCGATCTGTGATGCTTTGATGCTGCGGTCGCCATCGGTGATTGAGAAGCTAACAACAACATCCCCGGGCTCTACATCTTCATCCACAGACCCCTAGCAAGACAGAGAAGAAAAGGAAAATTAGTCTAACCACCATTTCCACCCCTTGCTACCGTGAAAGTGTGTTTCTGAAGGAACCCTGACTTTGGCACCTTGCCATTTGCATAAACCATTGGTCCTTCCATTAGTGAAATTGGCATTTGTGAAAAATTGTGTTCATACCTCATATTCTTCTTCGTCGAGGACAGGGTTAAAGTGGTTGTCAGGCGAGAAGACAACTATTGTCACCTCTGCACTTGCGTTCCTTGTCTCCGGGCTACCGTTGTCCGTAGCTACCACAGTGAACGTGTACGTAATGTTCTGGAAGAGAAAGAAAACTGAGTGTAAGTCTTGCTGGAACCTCTCTAATTCAGACACTAGTGGGACAGAAAATGTGCCGATATTGGGGAGATGTCAATATTTCAGGGGTTGAATGCGAGAAAGGTTCTCGTGGAAAGAAAAGGTTCCCTTATTAGAGAGGTGTCCTAATTTCAGGGGTGTCCTTGAAGAGGAGTTCCGACGTTACCTCCTCATCTTCTGTGATATCTGGAAAGATGTCATCATTGGAGATCTCTCCTTCGGAGTTGATAGTGAAGGTGAAGATCTCTGGTTCCTCAGTGGGTTGCTGTCCACTGGCTGACCCAGATCCTTCCTCTGAGGTGTCGTACGTGATGTTGTAGGTGATGTCATTGTCTCTACCATCATCATCAGTTGCCAGTACCATCAGGAGAATGGTACCTGCAAACAGCACAGTACAAAGGTAGTAGCTACCAGTGTGTATGAATGTTTGTTTTCTTTCAGACTCACCAGCACGGGCAGTGGAGAGGGTTTCCACGGTGTATACTCCATCTGGAAAATCCTCTCTGGAGTACTGGAATTCCGGGGTAAACTCGTTTATGTCGCCGACAGTAATGGTGACGAGGACGGATGTGGAGCGAACTGGATCTCCTCTGTCAGTTGCCACGATGTATACTTCATGCTCCGATGCAGTCTGCAGGGAGCATGTTATACAGTGTGAATGTGGTAGTTGGGTACAGTGAAATCTCTGCAAAAAAGATCCTAGGAATAAAGGAAATCCCCTCTAGAGAGGACACTGTGGTTCTGCACCATAGTGCAGAGATAGGCCATCTCAGTATCTTACCTCATAGTCTAGGGACGAGTCAAGTATCAGTGAGTCGTTTTCGATTCGAAATGGAGACGTGTTTGGTTCCAGGCTCAGCTCGACCTCGCCAGCCAGACCAGTATCGTCGTCTCCTGTACTCACGTTCAACAGCACGTAACCCGTCTCGGTATCCTCGTCAAGTTGTAGAGCCCTTGCTGCAGTCGGCTCTACGAAGTATGGGTCGTTATCGTTCACCTCGTCCACTGTGATGTTGAGGGTGGCGGTATCGTTTAGTGAGGGTGTGCCTCTGTCTTGCACGACGATTTCGAGAACGTATTGAGCTTGTGTGGCTGTGTGGAGGACTCCTTGGACCGATATTTCACCACTCGATGAATTGATGGCAAAAGTTTCATTGAAGTCGTCTGTGAGACTAAATTCGAGCTCAGAATTGGTTCCAATATCGGAGTCAGCAGCCGAGGCTTGGAAGAAGACGTGGCCATCGGTACGATCCTCAGCCACTGTAGCTGTGTAGGGGGTGTCGGTGAAAATGGGAGCATTGTCGTTGGTGTCTTGTACGTTCACGGAAAACGTCTGAGAGCTGTCCTTCGAAATTCCGCGTACCCAGAATCAGTTGCAGTGACCGTGAGAGTGAAATTGGTGATAGTTTCTCGATCGAATGGATCCAAGAGAAAGAGCCGTCCCACGACAGTCGAGGGTGCCGTTTCGTTAAATTCTAACGAGAAATTTTGTGAGTAGTCACTCTTGCTGAGGGTGAGAATAGCAATCCCCTCGTCTCCCGTGTCTTCATCCGTCACATTGAAAGTGAAGACGGTTTCTTCTGGTGTCGTGTTCTCCGTGATATTGAACTCAAACGGCTCCTCAAATTGAGGGTCTGCATCATTAGCCGGGTGCCACCTCGAGAGTGAACACACCAGTCGAGTTGAGAGAAGGTGTCCCCTCATCTTTGACCAGAACTTCGATTTTGTACGTCGTTGCCTGTAGACTACCGTTGATAGTAATCTCTCCAGATAATTCATCGATTGCGAATGGGAGAGTAGTGTTGGTCAGTTGAAAGGTGAAATCAGAGTTACTACCAATTTGATCTCTGTCCTCAGCCTCCACATCAAATACCTCTGTACCGGTCGGTTCCGTCTGGATAATTAGGTCAGAGTCCCTAAAGAGAGGACATCGTAAGTCGATGAAATGATGCAATGTCACTGGGGGCTTACCCGTCGTTGGTGATGGATGGGGTGTTGTCGTTGGCATCACCGATCACCACGGTAACATTGGCAGTGGTGGTTTGGGAGGCGGAGTCGGTGGCAATGACTGTGAATCTGATCTCCGAATGTGTTTCTCTGTCTATGCTGCTTGTGTCTAACAGAATGAGGGTCTCGCTGTTACTTAGGAAACCAAAGATTTCATCAATTTCCTGTTCGAGATTCGATGTCTCTGTAGTTCCTATGGCAACTGACACTGTTCCTTCTGTAAGGGACAAAGGTACGCCGGCTGAATCTATTTTTAGACACTGAATTTAAAATTAGATCAAATGATTACGCTTGGCGACAATGCATCCATCATTCATGTGCGCTACAAGTTCCATTAAACCTAGCTCGAGACCTCCCACTTGAAACACCCTATAGCGTTTTCATCGAGGTACGTGAATGAATATTCCAATCTTCCCGCCTCCCTGCTAAACTGTCAACAGGCACTGCCACACCCATTATTTGCATTCACTGCGTTGGTAGAATCAGAACACCCAGGGATGCCAAATCCTATTTTTCCTTCTCCCTTTTTAATACGCCTCTCTGCAATCAACCAGGCAGCCAGTTGTAATCAATGCCACACTTTATTTAGCTCTCTATAGACACGCAAGGAATCAAAGATTCATGGTATATACCTAGCATCATAACTTTAAGGGATTACAATGTGGAAATACAGTAGAATTATCTAAGAGACATCCAACAAGGACCTTCATCCGTTGCATCCACGTCTCCAATAGTGGTCCCATCCTCTGCATCTTCTCTGAGGGAGAATGAATAGGTCTCTTGTGTAAATTCTGGCGCGTTATCGTCTCCAGTAGTCACTATTTCCACCTCTATCGATGCCTCAATCCTCTGCTCGCTATCTTCAAGTACAATCTAAAGGGGAAAAAAAAATTTTATTACAGTTTTTGGGTAGTGTATGAAAGATATGCTTACATCAATGTAGAAGCTGTCATCGGCGCCGGGATCTATGGTCAGATAGCCGGAGGAGTTGAGGGTAACGTGGTCTTGTTGCCCGTTCGTCACCAGCACGAGCGTGAAATTTACTGTGCCGTTTGGGTTCGTGGGTTCCGCTTCTAACTGGAGCGATCTTCCCTCGCTAGACAAAACGTCCGCGATGTACACAGGCCTAAGAAACTCGAGTGCACCTGTTCAAAAAGGTACGGAGCTCAATCTGTGCAATAAATGAGGCAAACTTACAGCATAAGGGGGTAAGGGATAGGGTTGCTAGCAGCGCTAGCGCGAGGGGCAGTGTGATACTTCCCATGCCACCTCGACTGAGCTCCTATCGCTGCAGAGACTGCGGCTGTCAGTGTTCAATCACGCTGAGGACACTGCAAGTACGTAGATATACACACACACATATACACCTCCCAGCCCCGCCCGCTTTTTTTTGCAAAGCTCGCGCTCGCTCGCTAAGTAATTATAACCCAAACGTCAAACTACTTCCTTCGCTTATTCGTTTTCATGCTCAAAGAATACCTGCAGGGATTTAAATTTTTGTCTGTTACTTAGCTATAGAACTCACAATATTGCTTGCAGTAGTCTTCTTCTCTCCTCACTGTTCCAGTATTGTGCAGAAGAGGGGTGGGCCAGGAATACGCGCGCGGATTATACGAATGCGCAAAAATCTGACACGTCGCGGTTCGTGGGCGTGCCCGCCCATTTTTCGGACACGTGTAGAAACTCAGCAATCAGCATCTAGTCTGGCGTGGACTGAAATAATGGACTTTGGGATTTCTCTCGACCCGCTGGCTGTGTCCCAGAGGCACACACTCTACGATTCTGACAGCGAAGACGAGGAAGACGAGAGCCAACGGCCGCGCGAGCCCGCCGACAGCGGAGGACGGCGCAGTTCAGATTTTCTGACGGGGAGAACCCTACTCGTTGGCGTCGGTAGCACGGCATCCCTGTTTGTGAGGAGTTTCGTGTGCCTCGGGGATGCCCCGTCTCTCTCCCTACCAGCCGAGCCAGTTAGTACAGTGGCGCGGCGAAAAGTATCGCAGTTTGTGGACGACAGAAGAGGACCGCCCGAAGTTGCAGCCGTCGAGTTTTACGTAGCGGAGGGAAACGGGGAGTGGGTCGCGAGCGTTCAACCTGCATTACAGAGGGCTGAGTACAGTAACCGCTGGACGGAAAAGGTATGGCTTTTTGTTGTATGAGAGAGTTTCTCTTTTTGTATGTTGTTTACTACCTATCCCCTATCTGTTTGGAAGGTGTTTGAACAGGGGAAGCCAAGTCATGTAGTGGTCTATGTTTGCCTTTCGCTGCACGACTACTTTAACCCCTCGCCTCTCGATGAAGACACTCTTCACGTGGTGAGGGAACTTCGGAGCTCTGTCTGGCCACACCCACTGGAGGGTGTGGCTCTGGAACCACCCAACTCGGTCAAGGGAGAGACAGCCGCAGGTCAGCACTGAGTTCTCCTCTCTGCTGATCAGACACCAGTTTCTCCTGTCTCCTTTCAGTTCTAACCTACTGTGAGCTTCAGGGAATTCCCTGCCGTGTCCAGATACTCTATGCCAGCAGCTCGCTTACAGAAGCAGAGAAGGCAATGTGCTTTCTACCCTCATTGGAGCACTTGGCTAAAAGTCTTCCGAAAAGTCTTTCGATCAGGGTATATATACATGAAGGCTTATGACTTTATGTAATTTATGCTCTTTATGCTAGGACGAGGAGGAAGGAGAGTTGGTGTGCAAGAAGATACAGCCAAAGAAACGAACTGACTTGGCTACTTTGTACACCTAGAGTTTTGTTTCCAGATCCGAATTGCGTTTTTTGTTTGCGGCGCGCATGCGTATAAAAGAGCTCGGAAATAGCCGGCCGAGGATATATTATATCGAAATAGCAGTTTTTGGAAGGAGCATAGAAGAGACGAGGTAGAGAGAATGGATCATCTGAAGGCGGTGGGGAAAGCGATAAAGAACAGTCCACGAGCTCTACGGAAGAAGTTTGTCCACGTCGACCATCACGAGCGTGAGTCTGAACGCCGCCTTCAGCCATAAAGTTACGTAGAGCGGACGGTTAGATACGTAGGTATCTCTCTAGTATACACACATAGCATAATGTGCATTAGCTAGCCACCCAGCTAGACGCATATGGAGCTTGCACTGGTGCGGCGAATGGCCAATTCTCTACGAGGTCCCTGGTCCAGGGAATTGAACTCATTTTTGCACTGCTAATCTAACAGTTGAAGGGACGCGCGTCAACCAGTCTTTGTTGGTGTTCTGCGGAGCCTGAAACCGATTAGAAAGCACTGTCACCGGTCTGTGACAACTACAAGCCTCCATTAGCTCTATACTTCACGTGTGTACGTGTTTGTAGTAGTACCACAAGCTACTGTAACTAAACAAGGGCTGGTGCTGTATATTTACGTTTCTCTAGATTTGGACGAAGACTGGTACCACTCTGAAGACCCGGTCAATGCAGGAGTCACTTTCTTTGTCAAGGTATGTGCCAGGTTGAGCACAATACTGCAAACACGATATCTCATTTCTTTAGGGAATGCTCTAACTAGTGATCATATCTATATGTAACACACCTTAGCCACACGGACCACAATTTGGTTTTTCAAATTAGACACCTGTGCCTACCTATTCTGAGCGTTAAGTTTGTGTGTTTGAATAACTTATAGCATTTTCCTTCTCTCTCGTGGTAGTATCTTGGCTGTACGGGTGTGACGCGGACACACGGTACCGGATCCACTGACGAAGCAGTCAAAACCATCGTCCAGGATGTAAGTCTTCCACTGGTGGCAGAAACGAGGTCCCCTTGCCTAAAAATCATGGTCCCTTGAATGAGGGCCCCCGTGCCCATTGAATTAGGCCCCCCTTGCTGTTCATGGCCCTTGAATTAGGAACTAATTGTGTTACCACGGCCCCCTAATTGAACCGTGGAAGTGGAATCACCATGTTTCTGTACAGCACGTAGTGTCCATTTGATAAGGGGTCATGGAGGGCGGATGAGTTGAGACATTTGCAGCAGTCTCGTTTTCAGGGTTGTACCGAAGCCCTATGAATGAAAGAATGTGAAGTTTCGCATCAGTATCAGTCGTTACGTGCCACTTGCCACTGGTGTGTACGTTATCAGCATGCAACAGGGATTCCTCCCACCTGCCTCTCTCCACAGGCCAAAGCAAGAGGAGGCAAACTCCAGAAGGTCCAAATAACTGTCTCGTCAAAGTTTGTCCGACTCATCGACGTGCAACTTCAGGTATAACCCTCTTACAAGAGAGTCACTCACACGCGAAATGGAGCCACACTCTAGCTACGGGGCCGTGGTAAAAAAGAAATGGTGTTTATTCGACCAGTCTCTTGAGCATTAACTGTATGTGTATGTGTGTATTGGTGGTATTGTAGACAATAGACAATGCTTTTCCCTTTTGGTTCTCTGACAGTGCATACAACTGCTCTTATGTGACCTCATATTTCGGAATGTGCGTAGCTGGGCACATGGATTGCATGTGCTCTGGGCCTAAACTGAAGAAACAACACATGTCGTAAACCTCATTTTCCTGTTTTGATTAAACCGTCGTCTTTGTGGTGGTGCTAGGATCCCACGTTGGTTCCATGCGAATAGACACGCACTGTTTCTGGACCGCTATGACATTGTGTCTTGTAGGACGGGGATTTAGTTGGTGACATGTTGCCATTTTTAGTTGCTGTTGATTTTCGACCTTTCTCTTTCTCTATAGATGAAGCTTGACGAGCTACCCTTGTACAGGTGCGTGCGTGTGTGTGTGTGTGTGTGTGTGTGTGTGTGTGTGCGTGTGTGTGTGTGTGTGTGTATGAATGTCAATAAAAACAGGAGAACTGTTTTCCAGTTTGCCACTTCTACTGCTCTGTGTGTGTGTGTGTGTTTGTTATATCTACATGTATTCTCAAGGGTGTACGCACAGTTTATAGAAGACTGAGTAGGTGTTGTACTTCCGGGTTGCAAGTTGGCAGGAAGTGTGGGTATGTAGGTCAGTTTCCAGCCCTGGTATAATACGTCAGGTACAGGATGTAGTATGTACTTGGACTTGGCTGCAAGAGTCCTCAGCAATTGGAAATGAACTTTATGAAGTTTCAGGAAATGATCGGTCACACACCGCACACCCCCATCCCCTCTCACCTCACTACCCATACCTACTGTGGTTTAAAATTTGATCCTGACAACACTTCCTGTTGAATTAACCTCACATCCTGCTCCACCCTGCAGAGTGTCCTACTGCACCGTTGATCCATACTACGACAAGGTCTTCTGTTACATATCACGAAATGCCGAGACCAAGGGACTCGAGTGCCACGCCTTCCTCTGCACTAAAAAGTCAAAGGTATATACCAATCTACCATTATAATGGGAAATTTTGAAGGAGAATTCACCCGCAAAAGTTTTTCTTACAAAAAGTGGGGTTGGAAAGGTTTCCATGCATAAGGTGCTGTATTTGGGGAAGCCTTCAAGGGTTTTGAAAGTCGCCTTTTCAGCATTTTACGTCAATTTATAGTCATCCCTGTAAGTTTCCCAACTCTCATGTATAGCTAACATAGACCATAGTTTGTTCCGGCTAGTGTTTGTGTTGCCGTGGTAAGTTTTGTCTAGTGCGAGTACAGCATGATGAGTGTGTGTGTGCCCACATGGTATTGAGATCCTCTGGCTGGCAACACATACACACACACACAGGCTTGTCACATTGTGAGTCGTTCTATATCCTCATATAGGCGGAGGCCATTACCCTGACGGTGGCTCAAGCATTCAACATTGCCTTTGAGAGGTGGCAGGTATGTTCACTGTATTGAAGGTCTTCTTGAGTGTCAACAATGACAGGCATAATTGGAACTGTTGCATAATTGGAACTGATTGCATAATATTCCTTTCCCTTCCCTTTGCTTTTCCTTTTCCCTCCCTCGTCCCTCTCTTGCTCACTCTCTCTCTCCCTCCCCAGGCCTCTAAAAAGCGAGCGGCTCAAAAGGCACCATCGACAGGTATAGACATTGGTGACAGAGCGACAGCTACAACCGCCTCAAAAGCAGCCGACACACCCAACGGAACTTCAGGTAACTCTATTACCTTCTTCAATGTGTGTACACATGTGGACGTACTTTCTAGAAGTGACACCCCTGAAATGAAGACACCTCTCTAATTAAGACACAATTTCTTTCCCCAAGAAAGTTCCTTGCATGCGATTTAACACTGGAATTAAATACGCATCACTAATTTCTTCTGTTTGATTGCTGCTGCATATGTGTAGGTGCAGCTCGGAAGACCACACCCCCAATACAAGTAGCCACGCCCACCCTTGCCCCGCCTCCGTCAAACTCAAAACGGGTCACCCCCTCCCCTCCTCCTCCCAACACAAACAACGACCCCGTCCTCAATATTGACGTGACGGCCCCCACGAACCCCCCACCCCCTGTGGTCTATCATGTACCGGTGGAGAGGAGATCTTCTCGGGACGACAGCCACCTCAATATTGGTCCACTGGCGGTCAAGTCAACCATTGCCAAAGCCGTCAGCTTGGTGAGAAAAAGTCTCAGCCTAGACTGTGTAATAGGAAACTTAGGAGGACCTCCCTGGAAAGTGATCTGTATGACTCTCTCCTTGCCCCTCACTGTGTGTGTGTGTGTGGAGGAGACTAATTCGTAATTTGGCATGGGGTAATCCTCAATCTATGGTCTCTTGGAAACAGCCTTCTACTGTAAGTGGCATGGATAACGATTGCCATTTTGACCCACCAAAATATTGTTCTTTGTATACCCAATGTACATGTTCCACCTATTGCATGGCATGTACAGGCAACATTTACCACACATGAGAAACGTCTGAGGGGAAAATATTCAAATTTCTCAGTTTTAGAGCATTTAACTAGCCTCCATATGCTATATATCACTGTGTATTGCGGCGATCATAATGCTCTCTATGGTGCAGGACTATCTCCAACTGGAGGACAATTTCGACATGGAGTTTACTCGCCTTGCGGAGGCTCGCTCCAATCCTCGCCTGCCCATCGGGGACCATATAAGGTCATCGAGGTTCGAAGACGACGTGGCAGGCTTTCTGCAGGGGGAGCGTTCGTCCAAAGACGTTATGCAAACACGCTCAGTCGACGACCTCCTTGACTTGTGAATTTTAAAACCAGGAGTTTGTTTTTTTCCTTTTTTTTCTGAGTCGTTTTTCATGAACTGCTTTTGTGTGTTTCTCTTTAAAAGTGCATGAATCATTCTCTTTATTTTTACCATTTTGTGTCACTAAAATTAGCTACGTGTTGGTGTCTGATTTTTTTGAAGTGGCTCTGTTTTTTGTGTAGTTTTTCTGGATTTCCCCAGGAGCTCCTTTTTTTCTCTCTTCCTTCTCTCTCTTTCTCGCTTCCTTTTTCTTGTGAAATGTCCTGCTGGGCCTGACCCCTTCTTCAGACACGCCCACTTTCTTTGCCGTTTTATTTTCCCCACCGTTATCCTTGCCGTCTCTACGTCTGATTTCAGTCTTTGACTGTTCGAACCTTTTTCTCGCAGGATCGCTCTTTTTCACTCGTGCCCCACCAACTCTTCTCCCCGCTCTTTTCCTTGTGACAGTTTTCACTGCTTCTGCAGCCGTCTTGACTTGCGTCCCCGAAAACTGTGCGACAGAACCGGCAGCTCTGTGTGTCCGACTCGTGTCCTTACTTTTCATCACTCGCAGTTTCTGACCGTTCAACTCCGTCTTTCGGCTGCTCTGCAGTGCAAACATCACTCCACTCCTGTCGCTGTAGGTCACAAACCCAAACCCCTTCCCGATTCCGGTTTTCTGTTCTCGTACGACTCGCACCGATTCCACGTCCCCGTACTTCTCAAACGCCGTTCGGAATTCTTCATCGTCGACTCCATAAGGGAGCCCTCCGACAAAGACGGATCTCTCGTGGATGTGTTCTCTTCCTCCAGTCGCCACATCTACTCTGATGTGCCGATCGCCAACCGATGCTCCGTTCAGCTCTAGAGCTTTCCTAGCACTTTCCTCCTCTGTGTAAACCACATAAGAGTTTATGGTTGAGCTCGATATCTGCTCCTGTTTTCGTTTCGCCACCCGCACTGGAAGACGTCCCTTCTCCACCACAATAGAGCGAAGTCTCACGCTTTCAACCTTCCCGTGCTGGCTAAACAGCTGCTTCAGTCTCCTCCGAGTGATGGTCGGCGGTAAGTTGCCCACAAACACGGTTCTCTCCTTCCGAGGGTCTTCCGCGTGTCTCTTACGTCTGCCGTACTCCGTCTTCACGCCTGGTGTTTTGCTTTCACCAGCTCCGCCGTCTTCCTTTTCCTTCGCAGTCTTGTCTGTGGGTATTTGGAGGCGCGGTCTTCCAGTCTTGTCCGTCTCTAGCACCTTAAACTGTGGAGTCACAGCTCTGTAGCCTGAAAAGAGCTCCTCCATCTCTTTCCCACGCGAGGATGTTTCAAAATTACTTTGTATCTGTTGTTCGTTTATTTAGAGCACGTTTCACGTTGGCTCTGCGTTCCGTTTACATTCTACAAACGGAAGCGTGTGGTTTGTATGGGTGGGTGGGTGCAATCCGGCGCTGGCAAAAAGCTATAGTAGCTGGAAGTGAAGATCAAGATGGCAACAAAGAAATCTGTGGGGACTATGCAAGTGAGTTAGCTTCTCTGCCTAGATATGCGGGGCTGTTGAAACAGTCCACGCTCGTAACCAGCAGGCGCCGACTGTGTGTTGTTCCGGAGAAAGTAGCTTGCGTTCTCCCGTTTGTAAAGACAGACACAGCCGGCGTCTTTGCTATATAGTTCTGTGTAGTAGCTAGCTAGTAAGATCTTGAGACGGCTAGCTCCTGGTGAAATTTGTGCAGTCAAATCAATTCTGCATGCTGCAGTTTGCACGCCGCCCGTCGTTTTTAGAGCTTCGCATACATACTTATGTCCAAACTTTGCATAGCTATGCGTATTAATTTGTGGCTCTCTGTCTTTGACAGCAACAAAGGAACAAGGAGGGGCTCCTGGAGCTGGAGAAGACCAAGGGACTCAAGAAGATGTGGAAAGCTTACATGTTCAAAGTCAGCGCTTCCACATATCTCCTCTGTTTCAAATCAGATGTGAGTTTTGTTAGTATTTTGTAGCCCACACATTACAAACACCTGATGAGGATGGCTAGGTAAAGAGTGGTGGCTTCTGCAAGTAATGCCTCATTTTGTTGACACTGAAAGTTCTTGGACGTTGTTAGAGGGAGCTTTGCAAAACTTTATCATTCTCTCTAGACCAAACATTAACTCCTTTGACTAAACATAATCCTCTCCTTCCATGACCCAAGTGCCCAATCCTCTGCCATTCCCAGGCCCCATGGCCACAGGCTCCAAGGCCTAGGTTATGGAGTAGTGTGTGGTTTTGTAGTATGGGTGAGCTGGCATGTGCTGAATCAGACTGTTGTGGTCAATTTGAACACGTTTCTCACTCCCATCCCCACTCTTTCTGTGCAGATGTCCAACCCAGAAAGGAAGCTCCTGCTAGCTGAAGTAACCAGGGTTCTTCCATCTGCCTGTCATGGAGCTAGCTTCCCCTTCGAGGTCCACTTCAGAGGAAAAGGGTCACCATGGAAACTGAATGCCGGCTCTAATGTATGTTACACTCATTAACCCCTAGATAGCGACCTCCTCACTGTCTTGTCAAGTGTGCATTAGCCTTATTAAAAGTATTTTCCATGTTTTCGAAATCCATTGAAAATGGTGTCCTGTTGGTGTGTTTTTACTTGTCGTTCGATTGACAGAAACAGATATACAGTAGAACCCTTCTAATCCTGACACCAATGGGACTGAAGAAGTGTCATTTTTTGGGTTAAGAAAAGGTGTCTTATTAGAGAGGTGTCCTCATTTCAGGGGCCTCCTTAGAGAGGGGGTTCCACTGTAACATGAATTCTTATCAGGCAGGTAGACTGTTGTCTGGTAGTTGGATGGATAATAGCTTTCTACCCTGCCTTAGACAAACTCAGCCAGTGATTGTAGGGCCCCTTTTCTGTGGACATTGTGTTGTTTGTGAAGCACTGGGTGGTTGCTGTATTCATGAGTTATATCTTTCCAAGAACTAACACATACTGTATTTTTCCCACCACCAATATTTCTGTCTATTCATCCACTGATTTCGCATGTGTACTTATTAATGATTGACACAAGCCAATATGTGTGTACCTCTAGGTGTGTGCAGATTAAATTTCAGTCTGACATTTTTCTTTGGCATGTGAGGTAGCAAATATGTGTGGTCACCAAAGTGCCCGTATCTTCATATGTACCCCCACCCTCTCTCCACCCTCCTTCTCTCTCCCTCAGGAAGAAAGGATCAGTTGGATGGACGCCATTCTTCCTGGCTCCAGCAGTTCAGTTACTCGCTTCCAGCAGAGCCTCTCCCCTCCGCTCATGACCGACTCCTCCTCCTCCGCCCAGTCTTCCTCTCTCCCTCCTCCCTACACCCCCACCAACACAACACCCTCCAGGAAACCAGGTCAACACAGCGCGTCACTCGGGAGCGACCCGCGCTTCAGAGCCGCCGCCAACCCTTATATGGAGGTCCCCAAACCAGCCTCCTCCGCGTCGTCCAGTAAAGATCTGTTGAGTGATGCTGAAGACGATGCATTTCTGACAGCTAGTCTTGGGGCACAGACCACCCCAGTTTCAATACACGTCCCCCAGAATTACTTGGTTCCCTCTGTAAGCCCACCACCGGGGACATCCGAGGGGTCCAAAACCCACGCTCCCCCCAGACACTCGTCCAGTGACGGCCAGTTTGTCAAACCAGTTCCCTCACCTAGACCTAGACCTAGACCAAGGCCTCGCGCTTCTCCCGCCCCCGAGCAAGGTGACGACGATTACATCAAGATGATGTCGTTGCCAATCAAGAAGAGGACGCTGCAAATGACGGTATCCGAGGGGGAGCTCCCGCAATATATGGAGGTTGTTGGGGACGACAGTGATCCAACACTGGACGAGGATAATTACGTAATCCCCGACTCACCTCTGAGGTCGGAAAAATCGTCTAATAGTCTCCGGAGGGGAGTGGGCGGAGTCAACTCTCCCCAGGGGGCGGAGCTGAGAGGGGGCGGGGCTTCGGGGAATCTCGTGGAAACCATATCGCAGCATTTCAACAAAGAGCAGATTGGAATGTTGATTCAAATGCTTCAGGAAGTCAGGTTGGATGTTCATACTGTATACAGTGGGAATTAGATTTCATCGTATTATGTACACATATTTGCTGTCAAATCGTACAAAATCGTAAGCCTTGCAATGAGTGTAAATGGGTGTTTGCCCACGAGGGTCAATGACTTCAGACCGCAAGTTTTTCCCCTGAAACTTTCCCCAACAGGTTGCATAGAGTAAAGAGCAATTCACTCCCCTCCTATCAATTCCTCCTCCCTCTCCTTCCTCAGAGTGGACGAGCGTCAGACGGCAGGGGAAGAGGCGAAGGCGTGGGAAGTCAGATCCCCCTCCTCCCCCACTACCAACAGCAGTGAGGACTCCATCACTCTCAGAGGAAATCTCAGTGAGTACCCCACCTCCATTCATCCAACAATCCACTATATGGCTATATACTTGGACTCGACACACACACACATTAGTGATTTATACGTGTATAAGTGGCTACATTAGAAGTGAAGAAATGCTCTTAATGTTCCCGTTTAGTGCCTCTTAGCGGTCCGTAACTTAAACCTCCATACAATTTGTATGCAAACCAGTGTAGCTGAAGTAGAACATTGGTCTGATGACAAAAACTTGGCTAGTGAAAGGAAAGGCAGGGCGACTACACCTTGAATAGCTGTCAAATTATCCAATGTAGCTGAAGTAGAACACAGCTGCATTAGTCTGACCAAAAAAAAACGGGACAATAGCTGTCTACAGTTAGTTTTTAGTCATGTGAGTGGTATAGTAGGCGTATGTATAACCTAGTATGGAAGAGGTATACAGAATAGCAGTAGTGAAGTATAATCATGAGCACTGCTATCTATCTATGCATAGTGTGTGTGTGTGTAACTTGATCGATGTGTTGTCATTGGGCGAATTATATTTCCCCACAGCTCGAGCACTCAGCTACGCACCAAACTTCTCAGAAGGAATGTAAGCCACTAATCATAAAGTATGATAATTATGTCTGTATATACGTGTAAAACTGTGTATATAGTATGCTTCTTGCATAACTGAGCAGTTTAATAAAATCATGTGCCATGTAAGGGATTTCCCCCAGTGAACTCCCACCTCCCAAATATGTCCTCCACAGACATTCATAGTTCCAGTCAACCCATATAAAATTATAGTAGTGTGGTCTGAGTATAGCCCTGTAAAGATTAATATAGTACAGTGTGTGCTACAGGTAGTAGCCTTGCGCATGGCTTGATATGTGACTCGTGGATGCACTGTGCAGTCCAGAGTGAAAAGTTCACTCGCTACTAAATATAAAATTAGCACTAGTCTGGGTGTGGATTGTGTAGGTAACTGTTCCGATGTTGAGCAATTTCAAGACCGACTCTCAGATGGCGTAGTAACGAACGTGAGATGACAAATTTCTCAAGAAAGCTAAAACACAACAGATGCTCGTTTTCACCTATCACACTATTAATATGGCAAAAGCATGAAATGATGCAGTTTCGATTTAGCCTAACTAATAAGGAGTGTGTGAGCTATGTATGATGAACGATTGAAAATGAGTCATTGTTCAAATATGTTCCACCGTGTAGTTTGGTGACAGACGAGGACAGCGATGAGTCTTATGAGAAAAGACCGCAGTGGGCTAAAGCAGGTGAGAGGGCGGGGAGAGAGGGCGGGGAGAGGGTGGCGAGAAAGTAAGACTGCCGATAAAATAATCACCATGAGAGGACCCTTCACGTTTGCCGAGGAGCAAAGGTCTGGGCAACGAGAGAATGAGAAGCAAGGAATGGAGACTCACTGCCTTGTTTGTATCTCTCTGCAGTTCCTGCCAATGGGAATCTGCCCCAACACAATGAGCAGCAACTGGACACGCTCACCAACCTTCAGCAGGAGGCTCTCTATCTCTTGAAGAATGACATCAGAGACCTCAGAGTCATTGGACATGGTGGGTAAGCATGCTGAACCCCTCTAATCCAGACACCAATGAGACTAGTGAGGTGTCCTTATTTCATGGGTTAAATTGAGTGCAAGAACTGTTCTGTGGGTGTCCTTAGAGAGGGGTTCCACTGTAGCATGCTTACTTCATTTGCTTAAAACGCTGCTCCAACTTGACAATCAGGTTGCTGAAGCTTTAGTGAAGAAATACAAACTCTGTCGGGCTAAGCCGTCGACTATTGGTCCGCAAAGTCCCCATTTCTTCATTTCAACAGGTCAGTTTCGGCGAGGTGTTCAAGGGGGTGTTGCAGCAGCGAGGGGCGGAGTCAATGCCAGTGGCAGTGAAGATGACAAAGAAGACGATAAGCGAATACCTCCAGCAGTCGTTCATGAAGGAGATGACCATCATGTCTCAGATGATGCACCCCAATATCGTGCGGCTATACGGGATTGTCAGTGAGGGTACGTTTGTCTTTCTTCCCCTCTTCCTCCCTTGTGTCCTTATCTCTGACTTTGCATTGTGAATACTCACCTCCCCATACAAAAAAACTTTCCAAAAATATTATGCATACGTATGACTTTTATCAAACCAAGACCAAAAGAAAGAACCAACAGACTCTTAAGGTGTTTTTGAGACTAAACGTTTTAATCAGCGAGCATTCAATTAATAGGTGTTGTCTTGTGTGTGTGTGTAAGTGTGTCTCTCTATGATCCTTCTCCATGCTAGATGTGCCGTCACCATGGATAGTACTGGAGTACATGGAACATGGAGATTTGAAGAGTTTTCTAACTGTAAGCAATAAAGACATCCACACATTCACACTGCTTTCTTTCTCTCATTCCTTGTCGGAGTATCAGTTCCCCACTGGAGTTTTTTCTTTTTTTAGAAGAACGAGCGATCGGTGCAACAAATGGTCAAGTACATGGTGGACGTTGCCATGGGAATGCATTACATATCAGAGAGAGGGCTGGTCCACAGAGTAAGCTGCCATCACAGTGGAACCCCTATTTAACCATCTCTCTAATAAGGACACCTTTTTCTCCCGAAGAACAGCAAGCAATTTAACCCCATGAAATAAGGACACCTCACTAATATGGACACTTTCTTCTGTCCCATTGGTGTCTAGAGTGGAAGGGCTCATTTATGTAACCCTTCATAATACAGTATATACCCCTAAGGTATCATAAGCATAAGTGAGTCTTTGTCTGTGTGACAGGACTTGGCTGCGAGGAATGTACTGGTGGGAGCAAACGAGATATGCAAGGTTGCCGATTTCGGTCTCCTGCGGGCGATCCCTCGCGACCTCTCTGTGTACACGGCCAGCCACAGTATCCCCAGCCCCATTCGCTGGATGCCTCCGGAGAGTATCATCGACAGGGCGTTCTCTGCCGCCTCGGACGTCTGGAGTTTCGGTGTCCTCGTCTGGGAGATGTTTAACCCAACAAAACTACCCTTTGAGAAATACGACAACATGGCTGTGGTGTCCAATGTAGGTATTTTTTTAGAGTTAAGCGAATCGCTATAGCTTTGGATTCTAGGTGCAAAAGCTTGAGTTACAAGTTCCTGCTTTTTTTGCTGTTGTTGATGCGTTATATGGGCCAGTCCCTTTGGCTTTAAATGTATAATGCCTCCATATATACTCGACAGGTTAATGAAGGGGCTTCGGCTACCCATCCCAAGAGGAGCCCCCTCTATTGTGGCCAAGATAATGAAGGCCTGCTGGCACAGGAACCCCAGCAAACGACCATCCTTCCTGCTCATATCTACCCTCCTCTCCACAAGAACTTCCTTCTGAATGTTGTGCTTTCCATAGAGAGAGATGTTTATACTTTTACCCGTTGTACATAGCGATCTGTATGTGATGCGCATGCGTTTAGAAGTCGAAACAGTTGTAACGATGGCCCGCGGCCGACGGTTCCGGCCGGGGCGGCATCGGCGGAGGATAAATGGAGAGAGAGCAACGGAGGAGAGGGGTACCTGGAGAGGACTTCGAGCGAGCAACAGTGCGAACTCATGATGGATGCGCTTCGCCACGAGCTGGACGAGATGAAGGTCTGGAGAAGGAACCGCGCCGTGCGCCTCGCTGCGTGGTAATTATTTCCCCCCGATTGCAGAAAACCAGCTAGCATGGCTGACCTATCACCTGAACGAGAGCTCTAACTCTGCAACGGAGGGAGGAGAGCATGAGGCCGAACACATCAGATCCCAGTACGTACACAATACCACATTCACTTAGGCTATTATTATTGCAGATCTTCTGGAGCTAGATCCACAGCGAAAAATCTCTGAAATCATCAACTTTTTGAGTCGCGCACTTAGCGACGGCGATCAAGAAAGCCACAAAAGCTGCACTTGCAGAAATTAAAGAAAAAAGGTAAAACCCTTTCAGTGAAGAAACCTGCTTTAATGACAGAAAACTCACAGCATTTTCTGGAGGTGGTTGACAGAGCTGAAGACGCCCAGAAACGGTTCAGTGATGAGTACTTGAGACTACTTCAGGTCCACGTGGAGCTACAGAGGCAGCAAGTCCAGGAGAAAAGCAGAGGTGTGCTCAGGAAAATGAGGCTCAGAGGGAGAAGGGTGAAGGTTCGTGCTGTTTCGAAATACATGCATCACTAAGTAAGGTAGTTATAGGGCTGACAGGTTATCCAACATCATACCCATACATTTGAGAAATTCAGGTTTTATACAGTGGTTCCCACTGAATAATTATATATATAGTTGAACTGCAGCTGTAGCACTAGGCCCATAGACTAAGGGTATATGGGGGTGTATCCGTGCTTTTTACCATGGTCGACGGGACAATGCTTATCTTATCATGGTCAGACAGAGGGTTGTGTTCTCTGAAGAAAGCTTGGAGAGGGGGAATGCAACTACTCTTAGCAATGCATAGAGAGTCTAAAAAGGGAATAGCAATGGGAAACGATGGGCAGATTACTGGTGCCTGAAATGCAGTGCATAGGTAGTTCATGTGATGAGGTGCATAATAGGTGGTTTAATGCGAGCTACATAATCATTTTAGTTACAGACATATAACTTGCTTGTGCATATTTACCACCACATAACCATGAAATTAGTGTGTGCCTGGTAAAAATGCATGACTGCACATTAGCTACTGTGGAACGAGAGAAAAATACTTGATAGGAAGCCATGCCAGATTTAACTCACTAATGAAATCCTGACACACTTCTCATTGAGCAACATAAACTGGCCTACAACATACAAATGTATGCCTTTAGTGAATCAGTCTCACCTACACGCAAACCTCTCTTGGGTTTAAGTTGCAGAGTGACGTGGTAAAACGAATTTTATGCCGCTCACACATGACCTCAATATTAGTTAACTCTTGACCCTACTTTGCAGTGGCACATGTCAGTTTTTAGTGGTTGTAAAGAGAGCATGTTGGTGGATGTTTTATGCCACTTGGCTTAAAGCACTTATAGGGCTTTCGAAAAAGTAGTTCTCATCCAAAGTGGGCCGCAGACCAATCTAGATGCTGTGTATCACAACAACAGGTGGGTGGGGGTGTATAAACTGTGGGTGGAAAGTTTGTACTGATGAAAGCTTGGAGAGAGTGAGGGAGGATGCAAATTCTGCTCTGAGGAAGGAAGCAATGCATAGAGTCTATAAAGGGAATGGCAATGGGAAACAGACAGGCAGATTACTCGTGCATGGTGCTTTAATGCGAGCTACATAATCATTTAGTTACTGACATGTATAACTTGCTCGTGCATACTTACCAACACAAAACCAACAAACTGAGTTAAACTTTTTCAAGTGAGGGTATAAACTGAAGAAACCCATGTCATTTTACGGAAAAACTTCCTGCACATTCAGAAATGTGCAGGAATAATTGCAAAAAGTGTAGGAAGAATTTTAAGAAGTGCAGGAAGAAATGAAAAGGTGTAGGAAATATTCCTGCAAAAACCCCATATTTTTGACATGTGCAGGAAGAATTTACAGCTTCCTTATAATTATTATTCTTCCTGCACATGAGCAAGTTGTGCTGGAAATATCTTACATTTTGCTTGAAATTCCTGCACATTTAGGAAATTTCCGGCACATCCCCCATACATTATGATATGGGTTTCTTATAAATGAGAGTGTGTGCCCGGGGAAAAATGTGACCACACATTAGCTACTGTGGAACCAGAGAATAATACTTGACAGGAAGCCATGCCAGATTTAACTCATTAATGAATTCCTGGCACACTTCTCATTATAAACTAGATAGCTACCAGGACATACAAATGTATGTCTTTTAGAGCATCAATCTCACGTACACACAAACCTCTCTTGGGTTTGAGGCACAAAAGTCGCAGAGTGAAGTGGTAAAATGCTGCTCACACATGACCTCAATTAATAGACCCTCCTTTGCAGTGGAACATGGCAGTTTTTAGTGGTTGTAAAGAGAGCATGTTGGTGGATATGTTTTATGCCACTTGGTTTTAAGTACCTATAGAGCTTTGGAAATGTAGCTCTCATCGAAAGTGGGCTGTAAGATGATGTGTATATCACAACAATGGGTTGTGGCAGAGAATGCCAGTCCTATCCTCGTCAGACACTAAGGCTATGAGCTGTGTTTCACCCTTCTATCACAATAGTAACTACCCTTGTCCCACTTGCAGTGATAACATTGAGACAGAGGGGGGTAGAGGCAGTCCTATCATGGTCAGACACTAAAGCTGCAGAGGGTTGTGTCACAATAGAAACTTCCCATCTTACAGAGATAACATTGAGCCAAAGGGGGCTAGAGGCAGAGAATATCATGGTCAGTCACCGAGGCTCTGTGCTGTGTACTATGTCCACAGAAACTCCCCTTCCCACTTGAATAAACAGTGGCAGCAGAGCCTAGGGTCCAGAGAAGCAGAGTCTGAACTTAAAGTTCCTGTTTGTAATTTTGACCAATTACAAAACCATTTTTTAGAGGATGTGGTCCATTTTGGACTTTCAATTTGTGAACCTGGGTAACAAATAATTGTGTTGGTATTGTAGTAAAAAGTGCCCATCAAACATAAGGTTTGCAAATTTGTCATCTTGTTGCTCAAATTTATTGCTAGTTTTCAAATGACCGAATAGACAGAGATGGCACTTTTTGGATAGTCTAAAATCTGACACAACAACTGTCAGAGTAAACGCTAGGGACTGCCCCTGAGATGGCTGCAGGGTCCTCATCTTGGCCAAGTTTTGAACTGCTACAGGCGTAGTCAGTGTAGGACATTGTAATCTGGTTCAGGTATACTGGCGTACGTAATTACATAGCCAGCACCTTTTCTCTGACGAACGGCCAAGACTGGAAGCAATTAAAGATAGGGATCCCAAGAGTGTCCCACTACCATGTTGGACCTACTTTTATGCTCAACTCTTACAAAATCTTCAGTATAAAGCCAGTCCATAATCTAGTCCATAATCCAGTCCTGGTCCAGAGTCCAGCTTTTGTAGTGTCCCATACAAGTGTGCAGATGAGATAGGGACATTAGCTGAAGTGGAATGCAATCTTATCATGATCATCGCAATGCATTTCCAAGGAAAACAGAGCTTTCCTAGGAATCCAGGTATCAACTGAGTTAGTTACCAGGGCAACTCTGCAGGTAGCCCAGTAGGGGTTCGAAAATACAACACAACATGGAAAAATCGGGGTAGACAATGCTAATTAAATTAGCATTGTGTTGGTACCTCAAATCTGCCGAATGTTTGTGGTTGCCCCGCTGGTTGCCCTTCAAATTCTGCCGATCTAGCTGCAATGAATGAAACTGTTAAAAAATATAAAATCCGTTACGGATCATCTGCTATCAAAGGTCTCTCTCCTGCTTGTCCCCGGCCATACACCTAGTCACCCTGCCTCCTCCTGCAAGGAGATCCTCCAGCTGGCCCCACAGTCTCCCTCAGGTCTCTTCTGGATGAGTGGAACTAACAACAAACCCAAACACATGTACTGTGACATGGAGAGGAGCTGCAAAGGTGTAGCTGGAGGCTGGATGAGGCTGGCCTCTATCGACATGACTAAAAATGACAGTAACTGTCCATCTGGTCTGAGGACCCTCATTAGTCCCCGTAGACTGTGTACTAAGAACATTGATGGTGGTGGATGCTCCTCAGTTGTGCTGCCGGTACAAGGAGTAGAATACAGTCGAGTATATATGCGGCAAGATCATTGGATACCAGCAGGGGTCTCCAGATGCATTCAGACCAACTCTTTCTCGTAATCAAATTATGTTTATTGAATCAGCTTAACTCATGGAAAAAGTCCTCGCCAACACATTTGGAAATTCGTTGCAGCTCTTCATGAGTACAATTCTCATACACATAATGTGTGCCCTTGTACTAACATTCGCAACACACCACCTCCTTCAGTACCTGGCTTTATCGGAGATGATTACTTCTGTGACACCGGCTGTGCAAATCGTTACTCTGGGATGGAGCTGGATGTGGTGAGTACAACACCTGCTGTGACTGGAACTCTCCACCATGGTTCAGGAAGAGAGATCTCTCCTCCAACCAGTGATGACATTGAGATGAGGCTGTGTACTGATGAAGATGAAAGCAATGAGAATGTTTATATTAGGTCAATGGAGATCTATGTCATGTAATTCACGGAACTTTGTAGCTACACATGCAAAATTCGCTGAACTTTGAAAGCACACAGACAGTAATTATGGCTTTAATCAAGAGAAAGAGCAAAAAAAGTCTGGTGGAATGTGCCGTGGAAGGATGCAGGATGCGAAGAGCAAGAGTTGAGAGTGATGTGACTTTTATGTGTCTGTGTGTCCAACATTTACCTGGCTTTTGTGTTTACTCCTCACTCAGTGTGCGGATTTCCATAGTATATACTTATCGTGCCACGGTGAAACATTAAAAATTGCACATGCACTAAAATGTCTGGGTATAAAGTTTTCAGTGGTCTGTGTACAATAGATGAGCATATGTGATTGTTTGGAAAAAGCTGTCTGTGGCATAGTACTCTTCCATATCCTATGCCTGCTCTGGAAACAAAAGTACGAGAATGCGTCCTCAACAGAACTCAGAGCTGGGAGCGAGAGGAATGCCTAAGACCAGCCAGTTGCTGAGTGTTGGCAGAGCTTTGCACGGCAAAATGTCTCGTTGCAGGTGACAGTCTGGGTACCACTCTGCAGACGAGGAGGGAGTGCATCATGTTCTAGGCTACAGTCTGGGTGCCACTCTGAAGACGAGGAGGGAGTGCATCACGTTCCAAGTGACAGTCTGGGTGGCACTCTGAAGATGAGGAGGGAGTGTGTCTCGTTCCAGGTTGCACCTAGTGTTTGAATTTGCACTTTTACAAATGTACAATTGTGTGAGAGCGTACAAAGTTAAATGAATTATGTGCGGACTATAGTTGCGTGAGTTATTGATGAACTTGGATCCCAACTGACCTACAGAATCTTTGAACCACTCTGTTATTTACAAGATAGCAAACATTTTATGTTTAATTCCTCTTGCACTGTCCTTCTCACACATATAATTATATACACCACATTTACTCTAGCCTTTTGTCCACTGTCCACCTAGGCATATATCCGGTCCGAAGGCGCGAGCTATGTGTACGCATGAGTCAAAAAGTGAAATGCCTCGTTTCAGGCGTTGGCCAGCTCTTGGTGTTTAAAAGTGTATATTTAGTCGAAGACAAGATTGAAGACAATATTTCTCCCCTGACTGGTACACTTAGCAACTTGATGTGTAGTTTATACTGCCAGTAAATGATGAAGCACTATCTGAGGCAATCGACAACATGCACAGAACTGGGCACTCTGTGCTTTCTTTTCCACTTGTGTAAACTGTGGGTGGAAAGTTTGTATAATATTGACATCTGAGCCTGGGTGGGGGATATTAGCATAGGGAATCCAAAAATGCAACGGAAATGAGAGGCAGATGACTGGATGTGATGCAGTGTTAGGTTGCATGAGAGCCATATTATACTTATTAACCCTCGGCGCGCATACGCAGCGAGGGTTACAGTAGTTGGGTTTGTCTGTCTGTCTGTTACTCTTCATCTCACTTCTCGAGTGTTCTTTCGTCTCACAAAGGATACCACCTACTTAACGGGCAATGAAGGTCAGAAAATAAAGGCAGTTTTCTCTGAAAACGCTCCGTTGCAAAGCTAGAACGGGAAAAAGCCAATATGCAAACACACAACGGCTTACTACGGCGTGATCGATCCGCGTGCTCTGCTTACCTATGAGGCACCAGAAGATGCAACGCAGGGCGTGTATCGCCTCTCGCATGCTATCTAGTAGTGTAGTTAGCCCGCGTCAGACTCTGCGCGAGCTAGCAAGAGACCACGAGTAACAGCTAAAACTAAACCCAGCCCATCAATTAGTGGTACGGCGCATGCGTTTACTTACGCGCGCGCATCACAGTGCGCCGAGGGTTTGCACTTCAGTGCTTTTCATTGATGTAAGTTGCTCATGCATATTTACACTCACAAAACCAAGTAATTTAGTTATTGTGCATCCTGGTAAAAGGCATGTGACTACGCATTAGCTATTGTGGAACTATAAAATATTAATTACTATACAGAAAGCCAAGCTGGATGCAATTTACTAATGAATTCCTGGCATACTTCTTCTTTAGCCGTATCGTTTCCAATAAAAGATAGCTACAAGGATATACAATGTATGCGTTTTAGAGCATCAATCTCACGTATGCACAAACCTCTCTTTTTCTTGCTTTCACCTAGGTGGTAAAAAAAGTGTATGCTGCTCACACATGACCTCAATTTGTCAACCTTTGCCGACCCTCCTTTGCAGTTGCACATGCCAGTTTTAGTCGTTGTAAAAAGAGCATGTGCATAGGTATTGTGCCAGCTATGGAAGCTGTAAATAGCTCTCATCCGAAGTGGGCTGCATACCTATCATGGCCAAACACTTTTGTATAATTGGGTATCACCATAGTAACTACCTTCAACTTTAAAAAGTGTTGGTGAAAGGTTTCAGGGTTTGTCTGAAGAGATAATGGTAGATGTATTCATATAGGAAGTCCATAAGTTTATATAAGGAACAGGAAGTGGGGGGGGCAGAGAATGCCAGTCCTATTATTGTCAGACACTAAGGCTCTGAGCTTTTTCACCCTTCTAGGGGGGTGACACATGTCCCACCTGCAGCGATAACATTGAGACAGAGGCCTAGGGGGACAGAGGCAGAGAAATATTATCATGGTCAGACATCGAGGCTCTGAGCTGCAGGGGGTTGTCACAATAGAAACTTCCCTTCCAACTTGCAGAGATAACATTGAGCCAAAGGAGGGCAGAGACAGATAGTATCTCGGTCAGTCACTGAGGCTCTGTGCTGTGTACCTCCTGGGGTGTCACCATAGAAACCCCCCTTCCCACTTGAATGAACTGTGGCAGCTGAGCCTAGGGTAAGGTCACTTCTATAGGAACAGTCTCTCAATTTAAAATTCCGTTTCTTATTTCTAAAAAATGTTTTCCTTTGAGAAAAGGTACATTTCGGCAAATATAGAAAAGTTTGATAGTGGGCTTTAGAAGACACGGTTCATTAAAATTAATTTGGGAATGAGTAATACTATAATCGTGACAATTGAACCCTGGAAAATGGTGGGTAACAACTTCTGAACCGCGTGTTGATATTGTGGTAAAAAGTGCCCATATTTTTTTGTTAAGAAAAATGACATGAAAGTGCTGAGTATTACATGAAAATCTGAAAATTGGAAATGGAACTATTACTTCAGACACTGTTCAGGGCAAAAGATGCCTCAGTATGAACAATGGGCAAAGACTAACTAAACAAAACAATGTTAGCTATGCAGGACACTTATTTCCAAGGAAAAAAGAGCTGCCCCAGGTGGGATTCGAATCGACAACACTCTGCACTGCACTGACTGTGATGCTCTACAAACTGAGCATAGAGCAAAAGTTGGGGTAGAAAATGCTCTCATATCAGTTCTGTGTTCGGATTGGGGCACCACCATACTTACTTACTCAACGTTCCACTGTATAAACTGTGGGTGGAACGCAAGTGTGTAGATGACATTAGCCATAATTGGGGATCAATCCTATCATCACTGCAGGACATTTCCACAAAAAAACAGAGCCTTCATAGGAATTCAAAACACTGCACTACAGGTGAGTGCTATGTCAACCGAGTTAGCTACCAGGGCAACTCAGCAGGTAGCCCAGTAGGGGTTCGAAAATACAACACAAAACATGCGAAAGTGGGGGTAGAGAATGCAAATTTATCACGGTCAGACATAGTGCTGTGTTCTGTGCAGGGGGGACCCAGTACATTTCGCTTGTGTAAGTTATGGGTGGAATTGTAAGAGTGTACGGATACCATAGGGAGCATTAGCCAAGTGGGTGACAGTCTTATCATGTTCAGCTCTCTGCTGTGTATAAAAACAGCTAAATTATAAATTCTGCCCAATTGTGACTACACAGCCAATTTTTTGAAGTAGCTGCATAATGACTTACTATGCTGCCTTCGCCACCATATTGCTGGTTCATTATGCAGCAGTCTGTGTCGGTACCTCAAATCTCCCGAATGTTACTGGTTGCCCTGCAAACACCACCGACGCCAATGCTGCCGACCTAGCTGAAATAAAGGAAACCGTTAAGAATTTAGTATCAAAGGTCTCTCTTCTGCTTGTCCCTGGCCATACACCCAGTCACCCTGCCTGTTCCTGCAAGGAGATCCTCCAACTGGCCCCACAGTCTCCCTCAGGTCTCTACTGGATCAGTGGAACTGACAACAAACCCAAACACATGTACTGTGACATGGAGAGGAGCTGCAATGGTGTAGCTGGAGGCTGGATGAGGCTGGCCTCTATCGACATGACTAAAACTGGCAGTACCTGTCCATCTGGTCTGAGGACCCTCATTAGCCCCCGTAGACTGTGTGCTAAGAACATTGATGTTGGTGGATGCTCCTCAGTTGTGCTGCCGGTACAAGGAGTAGAATACAGTCGAGTATGTGGCAAGATCATTGCATACCAGCAGGGGTCTCCAGATGCATTCAGGCCAACTATTTCTCATAATATTGATTCAAATTATGTTGATGGAATCAGCTTAACTCATGGAAAAAGTCCTCGCCAACACATTTGGACATTTGTTGCAGCTCTTCATGAGTACAATGCTCATCCAGATGATGTATGCCCTTGCACTAACACTCGCAACACACCACCTCCTTCAGTACCTGGCTTTATCGGAGATGATTATTTCTGTGACACCGGCTGTGCAAATCGTTACCAGTTCATCTTCTATGGAGACGATCCTCTCTGGGATGGTGCTGGATGTGGTCCGTTCAACGCATGCTGTTCCTGGAACTATCCACCATGGTTCAGGAAAGAGATTTCTCCTCCAACCAGTGATGACATCGAGATGAGGCTGTGTACTGATGAAGATGAAAGCAATGAGAATGTTTATATCATGTCAATGGAGATCTATGTTATGTAATTCACGGATCTTTGTAGCTACACATGCAAAATTCGCTGAACTTTGTAAGCACACAGACAGTAATTATGGCCTTAATTAAGAGAAAGAACAAAAAAAAGTCTGGTGGAATGTGCCGTGGAAGGATGCAGGATGTGAAGAGCAAGAGTTGAGAGTAATGTGACTTTTATGTGTCGGTGTGTGTGTCCAACATTTACCTGGCTTTTGTGTTTACTCCTCATTTAGTGTGCGGATTTCCATAGTATATACTTATCGTGCCACGGTGAAACATTAAAAATGCACATGCACTAAAGTACCTGGGTATAAAGTTTTCAGTGGTCTGTGTACAATACATGAGCATATGTGATTGTTTGGAAAAAGCTGTCCGTGGCATAGTACTCTTCCATATCCTATGCATGCTCTGGAAACAAAAGTACGAGAATGCGTCATCAACGGAACTCAGAGCTGGGAGCGAGAAGACCAGCCAGGTGCTGAGTGTTGGCAGAGCTTGGCACAGCAAAATGTCTCGTTCCAGGTGACATTCTAGGTGTCACTCTGGAGACAAGGAGGGAGTGTATCACGTTCCAGGTGACAGTCTGGATGGCACTCTGAAGATGAGGAGGGAGTGTGTCTCGTTCCAGGTTGCACCTAGTGTTTGAATTCGCACTTTTACAAATGTACAATTGTGTGAGAGCGTACAAAGTTAAATGAATTATGTGCGGACTATAGTTCCGTGAGTTATCGATGAACTTGGATCCCAACTGACCTACTGAATCTTTGAACCACTCTGTTATTTACAAGATAGCAAACATTGTATGTTTAATTCCTCTTGCACTGTCTTTCTCACACATATAATTATTATACACCACATTTACTCTAGCCTTTTGTCCACCGTCCACCTAGGCATATATCCGGTCTGAAGGCGCGAGCTATGTGTATGCATGAGTCAAAAAGTGAAATGCCTCGTTTCAGGCGTTGGACAGCTCTGGGTGTTTAAAAGTGTATATTTAGTTGAAGACAAGATTGAAGACAATATTTCTCCCCTGACTGGTACACTTAGTAACTTGATGTGTAGTTTATACTGCCAGTAAATGATGAAGCACCATCTGGGCACTCTGTGCTTTCTTTTCCACTTGTGTAAACTGTGGGTGGAAAGTTTGTATAATACTGATGACATCTGAGCCTGGGTTTGGGATGCAACTACTATTAGGAAGCAATGCATAGGGAGTCTAAAAATGCAACGGAAATGACAGGCAGATGACTGGATGTGATGCAGTAGTCGGTTGCATGAGAGCCACATATTATACTTACTGATGTAAGTTGCTCATGCATATTTACACCCACAAAACCAAGTAATTTAGTTGTTGTGCATCCCTGTAAAATGCATGTGACTGCACATTAGCTATTGTGGAACTAGAAAATATTAATTACTATACTGAAAGCCAAGCTGGATGTAATTTACTAATGAATTCCTGGCATACTTGAGCCATATAGTTTCCCTTTAAAAGGTAGCTAAAAGGATATAAAATGTATATGTTTTAGAGCATCAATCTCACGTATGCACAAACCACTCTTTGGCTTGCTTTCACCTAGGTGGATAAAAAAAATTTGCTACTCACACATGACCTCAATTTGTCGACCTTTGCCGACCCTCCTTTGCAGTTGCACATGCCAGTTTTAGTCGTTGTAAAGAGAGCACGTGTGAGGTATTATGCCAGCTATGGAAGCTGTATATGTAGCTCTCATTTGAAGTGGGCTGCATACCTATCATGGCCAAACACTTTTGCTATGTATAATTGGGTATCACCATAGTCACTACCTTCAACTTTGGTGAAAAGTTTCAGGGTTTGTCTGAAGAGATAATGGTAGATGTATTCATATAGGAAGTCCATTGGTTTATATATATAAGGAACAGGGAAGTGGGGGGCAGAGAATGCCAGTCCTATCATGGTCAGACATCAAGGCCTCCTAGCTGTGTTTTGACCCTTTAGGGAGTTGTCACAATAGTAACTTTCCTTGTCCCACTTGCAGGGATAACATTGACCCAAGGGGGGCAGAGAATTCTCGTCCTATCATGGTCAGACATACAAAGGTTGTGAGTTGTGTTTCACCCTCTAGGGGGGTGTCACAATAGTAACTTTCCTTGTCCCACTGCAGGGATAACATGACCCAAGGGGGGCAGAGAATTCTCGTCCCAAAGGCAGAGAAGAGCTAAAGTATGTGCATGCATAAGGAAGTGTATAGGTTAATTTACATTGAGCCAAAGTGGGGGAAGAGAATGCCAGTCCTATTATGGTCAGACACTAAGGCTCTGCGGGGTGTGTATTATGTGGCGTGTCACCATAGTAACCCCCCTTCCCACTTGTGGCAGAGATTAAGGCAAGGCCACTTCTATAGGACTTTTCCCTAAAATATTCTCTTTTGGTAAAAATGTAGAAAAGTTTGGTCATGGTTCATAAATTTGGGACAATGTACGTAATACTATCCATACTACATAGTGAGACAAATACGTATGTGAACCCTGCAAAAATGTGGGTAGGCAACATAAATTTGTCATCCCAGTTTCTCAAATCTTTTACATGAAAGTGCTGAGTAGCTATTTCAGAAAATTGGAACCTGAACTTTTACTTCAGACACTGTTCAGGGTAAAAGATGCCAGTGTATCAACAATGAGGTCTCGAGGCAAAGGCTAACTAAACAACATAATGTCAGCGATGCAGGACACAAGAGCTGCCCTACGTGGGACTTGAATGCACGGCACTCTGCACTGTAGGTGAGCTGTGACGCTGTGGTTCTACCAACAGAGCAACCAGGCAACTCAGCCGGTAGGTAGAGGTTCAAAAAGGACAACAACAGAAAGGGGTGATTGGAGCAAAAGTGAGTGTGAAGATGCCAAGTGTGGTGCTATCTAATGATCATGCAGGCATTAGTTCCAAGATAACAGAGCCTTCCTAGGAACCCAAACCACTCTCACTGCAGGTGAGTGGTGTATCAAACTGAGTTACCAGGGCAACTCAGCAGGTAGCTCAGTAGGGGTTTGAAAATACACACAAGACATGAAAAAGTGAGGGTAGCGAATGCTTATCTTATTCATGGTCAGACAGAGGGCTGTGTTCTCTGAAGAAAGCTTGGAGAGAGGGATGATGTCAACTACTCTTAGCAATGCATAGGAGAGTCTAAAAAGGGAATAGCAATGGGAAACGATAGGCAGATACTGGTGCTGAAATGCAGTGCATAGGTAGTTCATGTGATGAGGTGCATAATAGGTGGTTTAATGCGAGCTACATCATCATTTTAGTACAGACATATAATTATAACTTGCTTGTGCATATTTACCACCACAAACCATGAAATTAGTGTGTGCCTGGTAAAATGCAGACTGCACATTAGCTACTGTGGAACCAGAGAAAAATATTTGATAGGAAGCCATGGCAGATTTAACTCACTAATGAATTCCTGACACACTTCTCATTAGCAACATAACTGGCCTACAACATCCAAATGTATGCCTTTTAGAGCATCAGTCTCACTTACAAGCAAACCTCTCTTGTGGTTTAAGTTGCAGAGTGCGTGGTAAACGAATTTTGTGCCGCTCACACATGACCCTCTGACCCTACTTTGCAGTGTACGTACATGCCAGTTTTTAGTTGTTTGTAAAGAGAGCATGTTGGTGGATGTTTTTATGCCACTGGCTTAAAGCACTTATAGGGCTTTCGAAAGTAGTTCTCATCCAAAGTGGGGCCGCAGACCAATCTAGATGCTGTGTATCACACCACAACAGTGGTGGGGTGTATAAACTTGGTGGAAAGTTTGTACTGATGAAAGCTTGGAAGAGTGCAGGGAGGATGCAATTCGTACTCTGAGGAAGGAGCAATGCATATGAGGCTATAAAGGGATGGCAATGGGAACGACAGGCAGATTACTCGTGCATGGTGCTTTTAATGCAGCTACATAATCAGTTAGTTACTGACATGTATAACTTTCTCGTGCATACTTACCAACACAAAACCAACAAACTGAGTTAACTTTTTCAAGTGAGGGTATACGAAGAAGCACATGTCATTTTAACTGAAACACTCCTGTCACATTCGAATGTGCAGAATAATCAAAAAGTGTAGGAAGGTTAAGAAGTGCAGGAAGAAATGAAAAAGTGTAGGAAATATTCCTGCAAAACCCCATATTTTTGATATGTGCAGGAAGAATTTACAGCTTCCTTATATTATTATTCTTCCTGCACATGAGGCGCCGCAGTGTGCTGGAATACTGCTTACATTTTTGCTTGAAATTCTGCACATTAGGAATTTCCTCCGGCACATTCTCCGCATACAGTTATGATATGGGTTTCTCTATAAATGAGAGTGTGGTGCCCGTGGGAAAATGTGACCACACATAGCTACTGTGGACACAGAGAATACATACTGTGACAGGAAGCCATGCCAGATTATAACTCGTTAATGAATTCTGGCACACTCTCATCTAATAGCAAATAAACTGGCCTGTACAAGATCGCTACCAGTGGACTTATCCAAATGTACGCTGTTAGAGCGCATCAATCTCACGTACACACAAACCTCTCTTCCGAGGTTAGCGGCAGCAAGTCGCAGAGTGAGAGTGGTAAAATGACTGCTCACACCTGACTCACTTAGTTCCACTCTAGATGTGCCCTCTTTGCAGTGATTTACATGGCAGTTTTGAGTGGTCTGTAAAGAGAGCATGTGGTGGTGGCTATGTTTATATATTTGCCACTTGGTTTTAAGTACCTATAGAGCTTTGGACATGTAGCTCTCATCGAAAGGGGCTGTAAGATGATGTGATTATATCACAACAATGGGTTGTGTGGCGGAGAATGCCCTAGTCCTATCGTCGTCAGCCCTAAGGCTATCTATGAGCTGTGGTTCACACCTTCATAGAGTGTCACAATAGGTAACTACCCTTGTCCCACTTGCTCAGTGATAACATTGAGACAGAGGGGGGTAGAGCAGAAAATACCAGTCCTATCATGGTCAGCCACTAAAGCTGCAGGGGGTTGTTGTCGCAATAGAAACTTCCCATCTTACAGGAGATAGCCAGATGTAGCCAAAGGGGAGAGCAGTAGAGGCAGAGATATCATGGTCAGTCACGAGGCTAAGGCTCGTGTCCTGTGTACTATGTCCGACAGAAACTCCCCTTCCACATTGAATGAACAGTGGCAGCTGAGCCTAGGGTCCAGAGAGCAGAGTGTGAACTTAAAGTTCCTGTTTGTAATTTTGACCAATTTTTTCCCTCACAAATACCGGAGGGAAAACCTTTTTTAGAGGACGTGGTTCATTTGGGCCGTGTATTACTTTAATTTGTGAAACAGTGGGTCACAAATAATTGTGTTGGTATTGTAGTAAAAAGTGCCCATCAACATAGGTTTGCACAAATTTGTCATCTTGTTGCTCAAATGTTATTGCTAGATGTTTCTAAATGATGCGAAAGACAGAGATGGCAGCTTTTGGATACGTCTAAAATCTGACACAATAACGGTCATAGTAAACGCTAGGACTGCCCGTTGAGATGAGCTGCAGGTCCTCATCTTGCCAAGTATTGAACTGCATCAGGCGTAGTCAGTGTAGGACATGGTAACCTGGTTCATCGTAAGACTGGCGTAGTTACATAGCCATGCACCTTTCTCTGAGTGAACGCCTAGACTGATGGCATTAATAAAGCCAGTCCAGTAGATCCGTCCATAATCCATGTCCGTGGTCAGAGTCCCGCTTTTGTAGTGTGCCCATACAAGTGTGCAGATGAGATAGGACATTAGCTGAAGTGGAATGCAATCTTATCATGATCATCTTAATGCATTTCCAAGGAAACAGAGCCTTCTAGGAATCCAAAAAACTGCACTACACTATATCACCGAGTTAGCTACCAGAGCTAGTTAGCAGGGCAACTCAGCAGTGTAAGGGGTTCCACAATACAACACAACATGGAAAAGTGGGGGGGTAGAGAATGCTAATCTTATCATGGTCAGACATAGTGCTGTGTTCTGTGCGGGGGACCGGTACATTTCGCCTTGTGTAAGTTATGGGTGGAATTGTATATAAGAGTGTGTATATAGATGCCATAGGGACCAAGTGGGTGGCAGTCTATCATGTTCAGCTCTGTGCTGTGTATAAAAACAGTTTAATTCTGGCCAGTTGCGACGACACAGACATACTTGAAGTATGTACATAATGACTTCCTACACTGCTGTTGCCACATAGTGCTGGTTTATTATGGCGGCAGTCTGCGTCGGTACCTCAAATCATCCACAATGTTTGTGGTTGCCCTGCTGGTATGCCACTGCAAAATGCTTGCCGATCTAGCTGCAATGAATGAAACTGTTAATAATTTAATATCAGTTACAGATCATCTGTCTATCAAAGGTCTCCCTCCTGCTTGTCCCCGGCCATACACATAGTCACCCTGCCTACTCCTGCAACGAGATCCTCCAGCTGGCCCCACAGTCTCCCTCAGGTCTCTACTGGATCAGTGGAACCGACAGCAAACCCAAACACATGTACTGTGACATGGAGAGGAGCTGCAAAGGTGTAGCTGGAGGCTGGATGAGGGTGGCCTCTATCGACATGACTAAAACTGGCAGGTAACTGTCCATCTGGTCTGAGGACCCTCACTAGTCCTCGCAGGCTGTGTGCTAAGAACATTGATGTTGGTGGATGCTCCTCAGTTGTGCTGCCGGTACAAGGAGTAGAATACAGTCGAGTATGTGGCAAGATCATTGGATACCAGCAGCGGACTCCAGATGCATTCAGACCAACCATTACTGAAAAATTGATTCAAATTATGTTGATGGAATCAGCATAACTTATGGAAAAAGTCCTCGCCAACATATTTGGACATTCGCTGCAGCTGTTCATGAGTACAATTCCCATACAGATTATGTATGCCCTTGCACTAACACTCGCAACACACCACCTCCTTCCGTACCTGGCTTTATCAGAGATGATTATTTCTGTGACACTGGCTGTGCAAATCATTACCAGTACATCTTCTATGGAGACAATCCCCTCTGGGATGGTGCTGGATGTGGTCCATTCAACGCATGCTGTTCCTGGAACTATCCACCATGGTTCAGGAAAGAGATCTCTCCTCCAACCAGTGATGACATTGAGATGAGGCTGTGTACAGACTCTAATCGAGATAATGAAGACATCAACTTTGAAGTCTTGGAATCTATGTGCAGTAGCTAAATTTCCCACAAAACAATTGACATACTAGTGCTAAAATGACAGAGTATGTTTATAAACAGCCGAGATGTAAACAGCTGTATCCACTGGACTTACTGTTTCTATCTATTCTTTGATTGGACACAACTAGCTAGCTGCCACATAGCAATGAAAAAATAGGTTTGGTATATCAAAAAAGTGCTAATTGCATGCATGGCTGTTCGCTCGGTGACCTTTGTGCGTCGGTGTTCTGTGTGGGGCATCACCACACTTACTAACTCAACATTGCACTAAACCGTCAAGTGTGTGTAGTGTAACCAATTTGTACCACAGGAATGCGCACTAAGACAACTTATTAGTATGCATGCCATGGTGTATGAGAGCTCATTACACCACATGTGAGTGTATGGCTGCATACACCACATATGGGTGTATGGCTGAGTCAGCACACCATACACCATGGCATGCATACTAATCGAGTTGTCTTAGTGGCGCATACACTGCGTGCGGTGCCTTTGATTTCTAGGCTTCTGTGGTACAAGCCTGGTCGTACAAAAGACGCCTCATGACACCAGTAGCGTTGACTTTGGTTGTACCGAGCAATCTGCATACTTCCTGCATCATTTCAAAAAGGAAGGTTGGTCCACAATCCAACAATAAATGTTCTGAAACTGTGCCGAGCCACTGCATGTCAAACAGTGCAAATGTCTCAGCTTTCTGGTCATGTGTTCTATGATTTAAGGTCACTTTGTGAGATATCATAATTATTGCGAAGACGGACTGAAGAGAGGGTCACTGCTTGCGTCCCGTACCCTTCCAATAGGCACATACAATTTAGCAACGGACCTCATTCATTTCCCCCCAATATATATTTCTCATGGTGAGAATTGATTTTCCTGAAATGACAGTGAGCTTTCTGTCATGGTGCTCTTTCATCAGTGTCTGCTTTAGCATTTGAGCACAGCCAATCTTGGTGCATGTGGATTGGATGGACTCACAGAGAACAAAACTCCGACAGCTCAGCTTCCAGGACTGAAGGACGGGCTGATTTCTCTTCTTCATGCAACATTCCTTTTCATCAAAGTCTAGGAGAGTGGTGTTGATCATGATGCTGTAGCTATATAGTCGTTTGATGTCTGCTTCCAAGTTAGGCAAATTCAGAGCACTAAAGAATTCCTTCAGTCTAGACGGGGAATGATTTTCCTTGAAAATTATCCATTTCTGAGCCTGAGGACTTCACTGACTGAAATTTCAACACCTATTAATTGCTTGTCCCGGCTCTGTGTCGAATGTGTAGATTATGTAGATTGTGCTCCTGGATAATCACGGCCAGTTTTGGAAAACAGGCAGCATGGTCTGTGAAGACGATGCAACGTTGACCCAGAATGTATGGACGAAACGTTTCACTGCTACATTATACCAAGGGTCCCATGTTCAGTAATAGCATAGTTTTTTCGTTGCAGTGAGTGAACAGGAAACAAACGGAATTAGATTTATTTACCTTGGCACAATCTTGTTCTTGGACAAATCCTTTGGTATATTTAGCATCGGTTTCCAGAATGAAGGGGTTGGTTGCGTTGAACTGAGGGTAGGCTAACACAGGTGCATTGATTAGAGCTTATTTAAAGTTCCAATGATTCAATGCAGTCTGGCCACCACTAAAACTCCGAGTCTTTCTTCAGCAACAGGTGCAATGGGGCTGCGATTTAGCGAATTCTGGAACAAACCTCTGATAATAATATAAGGCAAGTCCAAGGAACTGTCGAACTTGACTGGTGCAGGGTAATGACGAATTCTCTCAGTTTTTGCTGGTTCTGGTTTAGGGCATGGCAAATTATTGGTCCCACTGAAGTAACTTGGTCAGTAACAACAGTACCAATTTAGGATTTCTGACGTTTAGATTAGGTTCAACTGCATTGCTGCTGGAAGTTGCTCCAAGTGATGCACAGATTCTTCCTCTGGTGTATGATATGTAGACTTCTTTCCACCGTTTAAAGGTGTCTCACTCCTCCAGACTGGGGCCTGGTTTCAGGCTTGATGTTTGGTGTTTGGACAATTCCGTTGCGGACGGTTTAGGTCTCCACAATTTAAGCAACCTCGAGTCTGTCCGAATTCTCTTTCATCATCTGACCAGCATTGCCTTTTGGAATAGTCTTTCTCTGAGAGTGTTTCTCTTCGACATTGAGATGAGGCTGTGTTCTTATGAAGATGAAAGCAATGAGAATGTTTACATTAGGTCAATGGATATCTATGTTCAGTAATTCATAGAACTTTGTAGCTTCGCATGCAAAATTCACAGAAATTTGTACACACAAACATAATAGACAATTTTAGCCCCAAGTGAACATTGTGAAGAAGACAATGCTGGTGAGAAGGGGCCACGAAAGGATGCAGGATGTGAAGAGACGGAGTGGAAACTGATAATTATTATATTTTTTATGTGTCTGTGTGTCCAACATTCACCAGCCTTTGTGTTTACCAGTTCAATGAAATATATAGCAGTGTGTTGACTTGCATATTGCTAATCGTGCAAATGCGCAGCTATATAGCATGAATGCAGCATTCAGCGACAGGCATTTAGGTCCAATGCGACAGCTGCTTTATTTTAGTCTCATGAGTTAGGGGATGTTTCTATCCTTCCCCATGTAACTGTCATGAAACAAGTGTAAAAATTATTTCTTCAAAATGAAAGGGGGATATAGGGATGGCTTGAAGCACCAAAAAGGAAGAAACAAGGGGTCATTACACACCAAAGTTGCACAAAGCTACATGACACCATCCCTATATCTTTGTTTGATATTGTTTGATATTAAACTTTGCTTATAACAATAAAACAAAGATATAGGGATGGTGTCATGTAGCTTTGTGCAACTTTGTGTGTAATGACCCTTGTTTCTTCCTTTTTGGTGCTTCAAGCCATCCCTATATCCCCCTTTCATTTTGAATAAATGGTTTTTACACTTGTTTCCACTATTTTTAACAGCTTATGGCAACACTGCATTTATTGTTACAGTCATTCTGATGTTAACTGTTGAAAGTAGTAGCTAATGGGGCTGCTAGATACCGCATTCACCTCATGTATTATCTTCAACAAGGATGTAATTAGATTATTGCACATGGTTGTGGTTTCATTGGCAGGCTTTGGTAATCAGGCTACAACCTGGGGGGGACAAACAATGAAGGCCCATTTCACTGAGTGCCCCGCAAGGCTCGCGTAACACCGCGCTGACTCTGGCAAGTTTCTCTTCGTGCAAATCAACAGCAAGATAGCCAGTTGGAAATGTGCACACTTACTTACAGAAGGTACTGGAGGCTGACAGTTCCTCTGCAGGTCTGCCAACTCGCCCGGTAGAATACGCTCGCAAGCACATTGGTCAACGCCCCTACCTGGCGCATGCGCGCGGATCACTGATGCTGAGTAAGCAGCAAATGGCGTTGTTCAGCTCGACCATGGAAGAGCTCCGTGATCTACCGTAGTGACTAGCGGCAAGAAAGAAACGATCGCTTGGTGTCCGTGCACACCTCCGGCGAAATTGGAGACCTTCAGTGAAAAAATCAGTGCTTGAACTGGTACTGGTAAGGAGATAGCGGGTTTAAAGAAGAAGAAGAAGAAGAAGAAGATGAAGAATATGATGACACCAAAATCGTGAAATCGCGTATGAGCGAATTCTCGCGTGGACGACTGAAGGTGCGTATGATGTCTTGGGGGACATGTATAGGTAGATATGGGCCCGTAGACTATTGCTAGTATGTTTTTAAGGCCTAGGAAGTGATTCTCACCGAGTTTTTAGTCGTTTTGTACGCGGATCACGTGAGATTTCACCCGCGTCATCCCTATACAGAGAGTCTACCGACTCTCTAATACTGGTTTTGCACAATACCGTTCTATTTATCACTTCTTCGATGTTTGAAAGGAAAAAAACCAAACCAAATTTACCAAAGGTCGCTAGTAATGGCATATGACAAATAGTCACTTTACCCGTAGCAGGTCCATATTATATCACGTTGCATGAAGTGTCTCTGGTGTCTCTGTTATCTTTGGCGTCTCACGTGTCTGTTGTGTCTGGAGCCTTGGAATTATACACATAATCAGAGAATATCTCTGTTCTGGTTGAAGAAATATGCAGCCCAGCCCACGATGCTCTAACCACGAAGCTGTGTTTACTCAACTTCCAAGGGAAAACAATTACTGATGTTTCTTTACTCTTCTTGAGCAAATACTACACTTCTAAAATATAGACTTCCTAGAAGTTAACAATATATACCTATGATCGGTTTTAAGAAATATTCAGCCAACTGACGCCTACACATTATTATAGCTATACATTACATTCAGAGGCCCCACACGTGTGACTGCAGTCATGGGCTACCACCCACAACTGCTTCAGCCTATAAATACTGTAAGAGTGAGACCTTCAGTTAGATAACGCTCACTGTACGACAGGAAGCAAACTGAATCTTGGAAACAAAATAATGAGAGTCCAACTCGCAACCTTTATTGTCGCAACAGTCTTTTATGACTGCAAATTCCTTGCCCTCAGAACAAGAAAGGGCGCCTGACTACCCAAGTGAGCTGTTATGTTTGCACATGTATGCTTTATATTATATTGGTGTTTTTAGATTTTTTACAGGAATGGGTGAGTGAAGAAAATGAAGATTACCATAACACCTTTGCTGGTCAGTTGCTCTGTCACTCTGTAGCTCCGTTGTCTTGTAGCTATAATAATTATAACAAGTTGTGTTCGACTATCCTTTTCGGGGGTTTTACACACAACTAGATATTGGGGTCAAGTGTAGTATATAAGAGACTCCTTAAAGTGTGTAGGTTTCTAACACTGTAATATGCACGCTTTTAACCCAGGGGTGTAGCTAGCATTGAGGCAGAGGAGGCAGTTGCCTCCTCTGTTTTTGCTGACCTATGAATAGCTACGTACAACTTTTCGCAGCGTAACCAACGACGAGCGCCAGCAGCGAGAGAACGCAGTTACCACTGGGTTACACCAACCAAGAGCAGACATCTCACTCAGGGTGTATCGACAAGACTGGGGTCGCTTCGGGCATCGCCGTTTTGCTCTGGCCTTCCGCGATCAAACACTGACATTGCGCAACGTCATTGCGCATGCGCGCAATTAATCTTGCTAATACTCATTTGCCTCCCCTAAGATTCAATCCTGGCTACGCCCCTGTAACCATGTTCAATTTTCCTCTTAATAGGCGAGCAGGTGGATAATAATTACGGCGACGGTCTCCAAACTCAGTACATCCTTCCTGTTGAATCTCTGGAGGTCGGCCAGAGTATCACAGTAGTCTTCAGGAACCCTGACTCCGGTCGAGTGGGGCTGACTCTGGTCACCGACAATGGCGACTTTGTCCTCCGTGCTGCTGTTCGGGTTAAGTACAGAGGCTCTACGAAAGCCTTCTTACTTAACACACGAAAGCATAACCGCTGGGGATCGATTGTAACACCCCAAAACTTCCCGTTTCCAACAGGTTCGGTGTCTACAACAATTTCTATGACAGTTACTGTTAAAGATAGTAAGTTTGTCATAACTGCAAACGAAATCAAAATAGCCGACTTCCCATACCGTGGATCTCTGACCTACAACAAAGTGGCCAAAATCTTGTGGGGTGCCAATGAAGGCACAGCCACAAAGAAATCAAAGTTGGAGAAGATCTCAATCTCGCTTCCCTAAGAGGACAATGATTTAGCATGTCAAGACTGTAGGAATTTTGGACTGCTTCAGATATTGTATAATTACTATACCTGTGTGCTATATCGTAGAATATTTGAATAAACTAAGGTATTCTTTCGCTATAGCTTTCCTCCTAGAGTGAAACTTGATTTCTTTATGTAGTTATCCATAAAGGAATGCGCTTCTTGTGTGATGGTGGCAGCTTCACTCACATCTAGCATATTATTGTTCATCTGCAGTAGGGTATCTAATTGTACTCTAAGAAGAGTGAAACTTTATTTCCCAGTATTTAATTGGTGTCTGACACGTGAAGGGTGTCCTTACCATCTTGTCCCTGCACCAACAAAACTGTCTCACAACAGAAGAGATGCAGCAACTTTCGCTGTGCATGACGAGGTAACGAAGGCAAGTCAACTACACCCTGCACAGCTCTTTCTTTTCAAGGAAAGAAGAATGGCTGCCCCGGGTGGAATTCGAATCCACGACACTCTGCAGTCTAGGCGAGCATTCTACCAACAAAGCTACCAAGGCAACCTAGCTGGTAGGGGTTCAAATGATCAACACAGTGCAACACAACACAAGGCAAACCTCAAACCACTGTGCTATGGCACAGAATACCCCACTCAGTATGTACCAAGGGTTAATGCGGCTTGTGCGTTACTTAACTGAGATTCATAAACCTTAAATAACCATTATTTTTCTGCCTTGTGCAATACTTTATCTGTGCATGGCTGGTATGCTATCAACTATAATTTCATGCACCAATGCACACACGTATTAACTGTTTAGCACCCATTTTTATACATTCACACAGACTTTTTTACTAGTGTGTTTAATTTGTGTGGTATTATGAGCAATGAGGATGCGAGTAGCTATAAGCAAGAGGGGGTAGCATGTGGGCGCAACTTGATGCAGCCATCTGAACATGTGTTGACTGGCTAATTTGGGCGAGCGGAGCTAGTCGTGTCTTTGGCTCGAATTTTCTATATCTATATATTTATTTGCGAGCGGGAGCGATTTTCTGTTAATATACGACCGCGTACGTCGTGTAAGTGCGCATGCGCGGCTTCGTTACGCACTTATTTTTATCCGAAAACAAGTGCTATGCGTCAGCTTATACACGCTGCTATGATGGCTCGTGCAGATACAATCATTGTGTGCTCGCTCCCGCTCGCCAAAAATGCCATGCATTTACTAGTTGGCGAGCGGGAGCGAGCTAACCTAGTGGTCCAAACGGCGCCATTTTAACGACTGCGTACGTCGTGTAAGTGCGCATGCGCGGCTTCGTTACGCGCTTCTTTTTAATGAACAGCAGTTTGGGAAAAACAAAAGTGAAAAACGATCGTTTAAATTGTACGACAGAAGAAGAGATTGAATTCATGTGGCAAGGACTGATTTCCAAACTATGTTCCAACTATGCATAGACAGCTGTATACTGTTAGAGAGGCGTAGTAACAAAAGAGCCACTTACCTATTGCCGAACACTACATAATACAGCTACTGTACTACCCTGTGCAGTGTTCATTTCAGCAAGAGGCACATTGCACTAAAGTGCAAACCCTCGACGAACTGCGCATGCGTGGTACTGCTAATGGTTGGGCCGGCTCACCCGCGGTCTCCAGCTAGTAGCCCGCGGAGAGTCTGACACGGGGTAGCTACGGTAGTAGATAGCATGCGGGAGTCGATACACGCCCTTCGCTGTGGTTTCTTGTGCCAAGGTACTCAGAGAAAGCGGATCAGGTCGAGGTTAGCCCGCAAACCGCGTTGATCGCGACGCATGCGCACCGCTTATTGACCACGCAACGCGATCCGCGACCGTGCCAGTTTGTCACTCTCGAACGCAGTCGTTTCAGGAAAATTGCCCTTTCATTTTCACGCTAGGGTAGTTCTGAAGCCGTTGGTATTGCTAATGGGCCGCCTCGTAGCCTCTAGTGCAAGATTAAGCGTCGACACATACACAGACAAACAACTAGAACCCTCGCTGCGCGTGCGCGCCGAGGGTTAAAAAACTACTGCAACGAAGTGAGAGGTGGTTTTACAAAAATGAGTGTACGACAAAGTGGCTACATCTTTGAATGGATGGCATAGGTCTCAACTGTCCCGATTTAGGCGGGACGGGACAGTACCGATTTTCACAGCCTTGTCCCGCCGGGCGTACTTGCGCGGTTGTGAAAAAATACGTTTTGCAGCAGAGCAACGAATCATGGACAACTGGACTCTGGTACTCGGTACTCTTTAGCACTGCGTAATTATGTCAGTGTACTGATGCTTCAAGCATAGACGCGAACGATCGCGTGTAAATACTAGTGGGCGGGTCCTGAACTAAACCATACGCGCATGCGAACTTGGTTGTTCGCGCGTATATTATGTCCCGATATTGAGCAATATATATATATATTTTGATATTCACAGTCCCACCTACTCCTTCTGAAGGTTGAGACCTATGGGGTGGTCAACCACATTTCAATAACACCCCTGAGTATGGCCAGGTGGAAAGAAAGGAAGGAAAGGGTATGTTTTGACAATGTACACAGCCTGTTGCCACTCTTGGTGCTAGGCTATGAAACTAGTCATTATTGAACTTGGCACTCTCTTTTCCTCTTGAGGAATACATTACCACTAATACTTCCCTTGCTAAAGGCATTACTCACTGAAAGTATTTGGACAAGGGCTCCTATGTAAACTGGCCGTGACAGCTGGCACACAGATCACCATCAGAGCCTCGTCACTGCCAGCACAGACCATGCGAATCATGAGGCACAACGTCGGCCACACTGAGGAAGCTAGTGGACAGGGTTACAGCTGAAAGAGGTCACACTTTTGCTGCTTCTTTCATGCTACCTTGCCCCCTCATTTGCCAGGGCTGCAGTGTGGCCACAATCAGGACCACAGTACTACCAGCTTACTAGAACAAAATTATCGTTAATCACTTAGCTTCCTTTTCTCTATAGACTTTTGAAGAAATACTAGCTACCTGTAATCATTGCGGTTGGTCTATATACCAAGATGTGTAGGAAAAGGTACTTTCTGACTAAAACCTACACATACACCAAACAGTCAGGGGTAGTGTGGCCACAGTCTGGCCACAGCACTACCAACCTACTAGAACTCCCTAATCACTTCAGTTTCCTTTCCTCTATAGACCTTTCAAGAAATACTAGCCACCTGTAATCGTTGGGC